TGCCAATGTCCTATGAACGTCTCGCCCGACATCTGACGCATTCCAACATGCCCGACCTTCGTTGAAGGAAAATGCTGACAAGCTTGGCATACAGAGCCGTCTCCGGGAACGGCCAATACGGATGATTGGTACTAGAAGGGTTGCGTGCTGACGAGACAGATTTAGCGCACACCACCAATATCCCGTACTGACGTCATAAGGAGTCCGAAGGTAACATTGGAGCAAGTACGCCAATGCGATAGAGCCGGTGAGGCGGTCTAACCATTCTGGCAACGGGAAAAGGAGATGCGTGGGATAATTCGTCGAAGCTAATGCGGGAGTGAGAAGGGATGTCGACTCTTAGTAATGGAAGCCTGCTTGCGGGATAAAAGGGCCTCTCCAACGGGACGTCTCCAGAGATTCTTGTCTTCTGTGACGAGACGAGCCCCCTAGAGACAAAGGAAGCTAGACACCGCCCAAGGATTGAGGTAATGAATTGACGTATACGATGGGGCGCCGTGTGGAGAGAGAATGTTTTTGGAAGGCTTCATCCACTTTACATTCGAGGAGTTAGTATCCAAATACGAACATAACAATGCATAGAACCGCACCTAAGCTTCTCCTGTACTAGTGTACCCCATACAGCATAGCTCTCGGTCTCTTCACGCCGAAGATACCTGCATATATGCGGCAGACATGACTGATGCAGTCCTCACTACAGCAGTCGAGGCGTCTAGGTGATACTAGGATCACATATCGGCATATGTACGCATACAAAGACATTGGGGACCACCTTTTCCTGTTCTCTCACTCACAGATTTGCGATGAGCCAAACGAAGCGTAGCCTGATTCCGAGTAGTACCAAAGTATTTTGAACGTCAGATTGAACGACGATGACGGGAACCAAACGCAAAAAATCAACCGGACGGACGTTGAAACGAAAAAAATGGGCAACGACCTCCGTAGCAAAGAGCGACGATGGCGTAGATGGTGGTAGAAGGAAGACAAGATGCGACGATCTCAAATGCCTCGCGTTGGCCATGTTTGGCTGACGCGTTTGATCACGTGACGAAACGCGTACAGATTCATTATCCAAACGCGTCGATGAGAAGTTTGTATACAACTACAATGAAAGCTAAGTGAGATAAAATTCATGTTCATCCGCTGAGAACGCAAGTTTTGTCATTGTAACTTACCACGAGTTACCGAACTTCACGGCATCGCTCCAACACAACGGACGCTAGTGACCGTATCCCGTTTGGCAATGCTGGCAAAGAGTGAGGTTTCAGGCGGAACATCCTGATAAGGATCAATGAATTTAGTAGCGCAAATATATGGAATTTTTCCTCCGAGAATTCACGGCCAATCTGAGAAAAGAGTACCACAATGAGAGTCCAAGCCCAGCTTCAACACAAAGCACGACTGCAGGCAGGGTAATGGGCACTACTCAAAGACGAAACGAGGTTGAGAACGTTGTTTCCACGCACGAAAACAAACTGGAGAACGCATTTAGGACCATGCTTCCTCCACATTGTTAGATAAGAACAGACAAATCCATAAACGACGACAAGTCGAATAGCTCACCTAGTGCTAGCCTTAGATGGAATACACTTCCCCCTTGCTATCGTATTTTTAGATGTTCCCGTAAATATGCTAGAAGGGATTGACTGGAACAGCGCAGTCGAGGCCCGGGTCCGAATCCACAGCTCTAATAATAGGTCGGCCAATAAATTCCTATGCGTGCAAGTACAATTCAGAGGACTCACTCGCATGGCCCAGAACGTTTGGGCGCCCATGTACCTTGCGACACGGATGGCAATGACACTAGACATGAATGATGGTCGTGACCCAGCGACTCTTCATCAGAAACGGATATAAGGTTAGCTTATACCGTAGAAATGGAAGGTAGAAGGATACGCACTTTCTGAACTATGATAGAAAGGCTGGTATTACTGTGCAGGCCAGGTATAGATTGGGAATTCTGAATACCACCCATGACCTAGGATATCAGGGAAGGACTGATCCCTTCGCGGGAGATGCTGTTGCACGCGAAGCTGAATAATTAAAAAATTCAGGGTCCAGAGCGGCGCAGTTGAGGTGTAAGATTAATATCTTGGCAAAGTTCAAGGAAGGGAAGGCGATACCTGTGAGAAATATTCGTTCAATCAGATGTTTCCTGTTTAATAGAACCGCAAAAGATGGTTTCCAACGCCTCTCAACAGCTCACCTAGGACCCAACGAAAAGCCAAGCTCGAGCCTCATGGCGGTAACGATCGTAAGTGGCCGCCGGCATTTCAAGATGAAACGTAATCTCTTATTTTAGCCGGAATCTAAAAATATGCTTTTATCACGCCACCGAAAATATCCTTCCGTTGGGAATTTCTTCTCCGCCGGCCCCTACGTACAGCATCCACCCACGGTCCGAGCACTGAACGACGTATACGATGAACGAGAGGGCTGAATGTCGGAACTCTCTTCCTTCAACGTTACATCTACGAAGGTAGAGCAGCTGCATCAGTACAAGGCAAATTGCGCGAGTGCTACGGATCCGTGCCGTCGGCGTTATTGCTGATCCAAGCTACGAATCACTCCAGACCGGCCTCCGCCACGCTCTCGCTCCTACATTTTTCTTCCTCCCTGCCACGACCCCGCTTTTCCCTCGCCTCTTCCAAGGATTTTTCCGCCCCCACTTGTCGGCTACCGCTCTTCAAAAAGCACTTGCCAAGCAAAATCCCGGCTTCTTCCCACTTTTCTTATTCCCTTTGACTGTGACCATGCACCGCGCCACTCTGCTGGCGCTCGCCCTTCTCGCTCCTTTTACTACACTCGCTCATGACATACCCCAATGGCACCACCGCCGCAGCATACCCTCCAAGCGAGCTATAATCGATTCGTCTTCTCTTTCTGACTCATACGACTACATCGTCGCTGGGGGCGGCTCGGCAGGTCTCGTTGTCGCTTCAATTCTTTCCGAAGACTCAAATGTCACCGTTCTGGTTCTTGAGGCTGGCTCGAGTGGTGATGAGGTAGCTACCCGACGTGGTAAGCATCATTCCATGCTGTACAAATCACAATTACATCCCGGAATATCGTGGACGTCCTCCGTTTTGCCGACCCGTTAATGAAAAAATTGATCCACAGATACACCGGGAGACACCTACTACGATGGCCTTGGAGGCACCTCTTACGACTTGGTCCTTCAAGACAACCGCACAATCCAATCTCGCTGATCGTGTCCTCACATGGTCCCGCGGCAAAATTCTGGGTGGATCTGGTGCTACTAACTGGCATGTACTTTACACGCCCACCGCAAGTCGAAATCGATGCTTGGGCATCATTAATTGGTGACGAGGACTACTGGAACTGGGATAACTTTTACAATGTGCGTTACTTTCCTTTCTTTTCTGTTCCCAGTATTGATTATGATCAGGTCATGAAAACCATCGAAACATTCACGCCACCTACATCCGATGCTGAGAGCGTTGGCGACATCACATACGACACCAGCGTCCACGGCACCTAGCGGTCCCTTCCATTCCTCGTATCCCGCTGTGTACGTACCCCCTCTCCTGAGCTCGTTTTCCTGTTTACTTACCCGTACTTAGTCCAACTCGGATTCAACGGAAACTGGACCTACCTCCTGCCAAGCAGCTGGTATCGAAGCCCGAAAAGATCCTCACGGCGGAGAGAACTGGGGCGCGTTCGTAGTCCACGTCTGCGATCAATCCGACGAACTGGACTCGTTCTTATTCCCGCTCTGCGTACATCGACCCTCTGCCGCCTAAGATCGAACTTGGCCATCCTCCCCAACGCTACCGTCGTTCGCATCAACTGGGACACCTCCAGCAGTAATATCAAAGCCAAGAGTGTCGTATGGCAGGAGAGCGCGAGTGATAGTGAGCACACGATTACCGTCAACAAGGAGGTTATTCTCGTACGTCGTCCCAGCTCTTCAGATACACAGTGCATTGATTATTCCTCTAGGCCGGTGGTGTCATCGGTTCCCCGCACATTATGCTCCTCTCCGGTGTCGGCCCCTCCTCCGTTCTTTCAGCCGCCGGTATCAATGTCGTCCTCGACCTTCCCGGAGTCGGCCAGAACCTCCAAGACCACGTCGGCAATGGTATCAACTGGGCCACGACGGAAGCCACCATGATGACGATCGAAAACTCTGGCTCCGACTTTTCCAAGACCGCAGAATGGCTCTCCTTCATCTCGGACGCCATCGCCTACGTCAATCTCACTACTCTCATGGGCGACAACATGACGAATTGGATTTCGACGGTCCGGAATGAGTACACCGCTTCGGAAGCCTGGATCCCCTCAACGGATTCGACGATCCTCGCAGGATACAAGAGCACCTTTGACGTGATCACTCAGACGTACTACCCTTCTTCGATACCCCAAATTGAGATTCTCCTCTCACTCAACGCCGCCAACACCGTCACCATCCAAGCCGCCCTCCAACACCCTCTCAGTCGCGGCCAGATCACTCTCAACTCCACCAGTGCATTCGACCAGCCGCAAATCGACCCTGGATACTTCTCTCACTGGGCCGACAGGGATATCCTTCGCGCCGCTTTCAAGCTTGTTCGGAAAATCGCTGCTGCACAGCCCATCGCTCAGTACCTCGGTACTGAATCATCTCCCGGAACGAGCGTTAGCTCCGATGATGATCTCAACACATGGATGAACGCGAACGTGCACACGGATTACCACCCGCTGGGTAGCATGAGCATGTTGCCCAAGGCTCAGGGTGGTGTTGTCGATAAGTACTGCTTGGTATACGGAACTTGTGAGTTACATCCTCCAGCATTTTATTCGTTTCGTACTTACAGCTTTCTTTCCAGCTAACGTCCGTGTTGTTGATGCGTCGATTTTCCCTATGTCGATGTCATCCCATACCGGATCCCCCGCATTCGCGTGAGTGTTCTGATCTGTCTTCGTTCTCCACCCCTCCTCACCTTCTTGCAGTGTCGGGTACCAAGGCGCTACCCTCATCCGGGGCATCAACAACGGAGTCATTTCTACGACCAACTCATCATCATCCTCGAATGCGTCGTCTTCCTCCGGCTCCACGACATCTTCAAGCAGCGCTGCTACGACGAGCAACAACGGCGCCACGTCAGTCCACCTCTCCGCCTGGGGCGCTATCGCTACTTTGTTCTTGGGCTGCATCATGGTCTAGTAAACCGAGATTATGGATAATTGTCATGACGGTGCTACGTATACATGCTACGAACTCAGACTTTTCAAATACGGACGATAGATATTATAATTACGTTGGCACACGCCACGGACGCTCGTTTTATACCACACTCGTTTTTTTAAACTCTACTTTCATCTTAGGAAGACGGGTTTTCCTCCTACATTTGACGGGACAATTATTTGCGTAGTCTAATGGATGTCGTACTTAGTGATGATTGCTCTGGAAAAGCTTGTCTGTTTGACCTCGGTTAAGAGTCCGGAAGTTTATAACGGAACTGGAGGGACACTCGTTCAAGGGGATCTCCTCTAAATTCGGCGATGCAAGGGGAGAGAAACCTTAGTTGTGTACATTCAAGATTGCGCTAAGGCCCGCCGAACATTCCGTCATAAGAACGTCCATCAATATGATTCCTCTATTATACTGTTCGACCAATAAAATCTATCTGGACGCAACACATCAGTAAAGGTATCGAGAAAATGGTCGGCATACACACATATGCTACACCTACGTCGTTATCTGCCGTCTAAATCTTTGCGAACGGCCGTGGACTTGTGGGTACGACAGAATTGATGAAATCCATTGGCATCACTGGCATCGTCGGCGGTTGCAACTACGCGGCAAGATAATGAACACTATCTCGGGCAAGAATCAAGCAGTATATCACCTGTGCAAAATAAAACTGGGGAACCATCCTCGAAATTCTGCCAAGTTTAAACGGCGGGGAATTTAAACTCGTCATCAGAGCAAGCAGTGCTAACGCCGTAGGTCTCATCGCAAAGGGTAGTTGATCTTACTTCGCAGACCTGATTTTATGTTTTCAGAATCCGATGGTGGGTGCGCCCGCCGCCCGCAGGGACCAGCGCAGCGGTGATGGTAATATGAAAATGGTATCGGCTCGATTGGGCAAGGGAAGTGTGCCTAAATCTGATTCTTTCTCCATCGCCGTACCTAAATGAGAGATGCTTGGTTGCGTTTAATCGCAGGGATTTGAAGAATCACATGGTTCAGGTCTGCATTTCTCATTTGGAAGAGTTTGTTGCATCGGCTTCAGCCTCGGGTTGCATCATGCTTGTTTGTGATTGTAGTTGACGTGCTTATCTTCTTGAGCGTCAGCCGTGATTATTATTTCCTACGTTCAAGGCGAGTGGCGAATGTCATTGTGAAATGAAGCCGTATTTCCAAGAAGTAATGGTTATCGTCTATATTTCTTGAAGATCGACCACGGCTAAATGCCAGACGTTCAGCAATAATTTCCCACCGTTGACAGGATATCCTTGTGGTTGCCGCCTATAGCTAGTCGAGAAAGCAGTCGATTTCAGAAGGGGATGTTACATTCACGTTCGAGGTCCCATAGAACTATTCGTCAGAAAGGACACAGCGAACAGTCTTGGCGTCAAATGCGGAGTAGGTATTCGAAAGAAGAATATAACAGTATACCCTGTACCTGTCATCATGGTCTATGCGTCGAGTATTTCCAGGATATACATCAGGAAGGACGGTCAGTCGCTGATACAGTACCTCTCCATTGCGGAGAGCTTGCGATCGATTGTTACCCAACGAATCGTATAGGATCTAAATAAACGTACCCTTTGATGATTCGCAGCCATTATCACCACAGGTATTACTAGGACACATCCTGTCAGGACGATAACATATTCATGTCCGAGAGTCACTGATCTACTGCGTATGAGCACGTCATCGAGGAGTAAGAAGGAAGCTTACCATATCAAGCCTCGAGGACAGAGAGTTGGAGATGCAGAGGTATTCGATACATTACTGAAATGGGTTGTATTCGAGCCCATTGGATCGATGGAGCAGAATTATAAAAAATGAGTTGGGAGCCATGGTTTTTATTTGAAAAAAAGGACAAAGCACTACCAGACATTGCAATTTCAGACTCGAACCTTCGCGCTTGGTAACGTCAGAACACGTCGCTTGGATCACTTCCGGAAGGTGGAGGGAGTCACGGTAGATACCAGTAGATGGCCATCCGTGCATAGTGGTTGGTTTGAGCGCTACACGGTACTATAATTGTTGAGGTGACCGGGAAATCGATTATGCTTGGGAGTTAACCTCGACTCAGTAAGTAACAAGTCAAATGGATAAATAGGCAATTGCTCACCCATACGATACTGGTTAGTAGCCCTTGTGGATTCAAAATCAGAATTTTTGTTCCGAACGAAAGAACAAAATAAAAGCCATATATGAGGGCGACATATCATTATGGTTTCACGTGTCTAATAAGGAATACCAGTAGCACATTTCAGAAAGATGAAGGTACGAGTACTGCCCCGGGAATGGCAATACCGGTGTCGAGTAACGGCCTGAAATCGGCAATCAACGACCAGCCCAGAACGATCTCAGCTACCTAAATTACCTGGTTCCCTGGAGAGAGGTTGGGTTGACGCATGGTAGCACGTTAGCTCCCGCTTCAGTGCATACTGAGCATAGGACGGCGAGAAAAACGGAACCAACTTACCTTACGAGGAAAGGGCATAAAGCAGCACAGGAAAGGGAACAACAGTCGATGCGATGTGTATCGCCCTGCCGTATCGGAAAGAAGAGGCGAGATCACGAGAATATCGCAAAACCATGCATGAAAAGAGGCGAGAAGTGCGCTTCTGACAGATTATTAGCCATGTAGGATGAAAAAGGAGACTGGATGAGAGCATTGCCTCTGTGATGTGGGGCAACAACCTAATATGCGGCTGATCAGAGGGAGAGCAGAAGAACAAGTTGGCGATCAACCTACCTGGCGTGATAGGATAGCAGGTCGGGAAATGCTAGAAGATACCAGAACTTGGCGAGTCCAGACGTGGTGTGTTACCAGAATGCTGAAGACAGACACGTATCAGGACGCAATCAAGAGGGATGATGACGCTGCTCAAGAATCGGCATCTAATCCTCCTCAGCAACATGATTAGCGAGACAGGCAGCCTCTCACCAGCATGAACGTATCTTTACCCAATCGCGGCTTTTCTGGACCTTCGAATAGTCGCGGATTTCAAACCAGGGTGACCGTTCCGTGCTCTTTAGGTGGAGAGTGAATGGTCCATCTCATCAATAGGCGTTGAAGGGATTGAGTAAAGGGGAAGGGATATCATGGATGGAGGCAATGCCAGTAAAGGATGTAAACACAACTAAAGCGCATATATCCGGGGGCGTTGACGTCGAGTGAAAGAGAGCGCAAGAAAGAAGCCCGAAATTTGAAATTACACTGAGCGTCGGTAATCAACGTGTCCGGACCGGAAACGGCACAAGTTCACAAATCGTGAATGAAAAACAGCCCTTTCTCTCTCCCTGTTCTCCAGGTCATGACGTAGCGTTATTCCATGGCACATTCCTTATAAACGCAAATGTTGGGAGCGTTGGCACGGTCCGGTTCCCTCGTGATCACGTGCACCATTTCCGTACACTCCCGCCTGTTTTTAGCTACACAAGCGACTATCACTAGCCATTAGGCATTCTCCCTCTCAGACCTAGCGATACGGTTCCAATGTATCGAGGATCAAGAAAGCGCGACATCCTCACATTGTCTGAAGAAGGATTCGAACCGCCACTGGCACGGCAAATACACGCCTTCCCCTGATCCAAGAAGCCGATACGTCTCTGCTTTCACGCCAAATGAACAGACGATCATGATAAGGACATACAAAATATCTCGATTGTCCAGGGTCCGACTTTTCATGTCGGAGAGAAAGGCTGACCTGGATACACGACTATAATCCTGATCAAGACGACAAGCACGGAGTTTTCTCAATCAAAAATGGCTAGGTTTTCTTGTCCCCAACCAGTCTGTTCTCCTTTTTTCCACCGCTTTGACTGGGTGTCGACTGGCCATTGATTCGCTTACCAGGCGATGGCCTCGATTATCCTGCCAAGAGTTCAGATGTACTTGTCAGGACAACGGCGCTAATGGTGGAAACGTACGAGGGTGGTAATAGTCTCAGTTGCTAGACTTAGCCGTCGAGGTGGTGAAGTGAAACCCGCCCTTTCCAGGAGACATTTAAGAATGAACACCATGGAACGATTATCTCTTACGTTGGTAGCAGAAATACAACCGCCTGTCGATATCACGGGCGATTAGTACATCAGCAAAAGAGTCACTTCGTCTTTGTGGTATTTCAGTACTTTCTCAAGTCATACAAGCTTTGAAAGATACAAAATACAACATCTTTCCGGAAGAAGAAAACGTATTTCACAAGACACGTACCTTATCTTGTCAAGCAGATTGAAACTTTGAAAGACCGGCCCCTCGTCTTTCATACGGCAACATCTTTCATATCTTTCGGTTTGCTTATTGGAACGTTCCGACTGATGAAAGAGCATAGAAAGCATATTGATAATTGGCATAATCATACTACATGTGCATAATGGGCATATGGCAAGCAGGAACATTTAAACAAGTAACACGAGTACGAGAAGGCTTGATTACACGGGGGAAGAATGCCTGAGCTCTGGTGAGGAGGACCTAGTAGCTACTACGCTGTCATGCTCCACATCCATGGCGGAATCATTGGCATTGTCACATTCACCCTCGTCCGTATTGCACTCTGTTGTGGTACCACTGTCGATACCAATTGGAGTACTGTCACGGTAAACGGTGGATGACGTGTCAGTTTGATTGGCATCGTGACAAAGCCCACCATCCTGCGAGTCTGCATCCTCCTCCACATCTGATTCCAGCACGGCCTGACCATCATCCTCGAAATCGATGCTCTCGCCAACTGAGGATGTCGTCGCAGTGGTCATCTCAGTGCGACGCTTCCGTTTTGAAGCAGAATCATCTACCAGCTTCTTCACGGGATCGAGGATCTTCTTCCAGGTCGTATTGTCGAAGTCCTTAACCATCTGAAGGAAGCGCGTTGCTCGTCGGATTCGACGTGGTTTGCCGGACATGGACCGCTCCCATTTGTCACCCCAATTCTCAACGGAGAAGTGCCCTGAGCTTGATGTGTCGATAACAAGGGATCCGGTTTGGTACATCCCCAGGGTACGCTCGACCTAGAAGCCATGCTGAGTGTCTGTTCAATAGAGAGTTGAGCCGAATACGCACAGCTTGTATAGCCAACAACAGAGCGCCGGCTGGTTTTGGTACTGCCTCAATGTCTCCAATCGCATCCAAGGAAACATAGTGCGCTTCGGCAAGAGTGCGAAGGATGAGTATGTTCCGGAAGCGCCCCTGTAGATGTTAGTACAATACTGAAACAGTAGCTATTGTAGAACATACTGATTTTTTCACACCGCTACCCCAAGACTTCCAGTGGAAAGGAGCAGTATCATCCAAATGAGTTGTTGCCCACTGGGTATAATAGGCGATGTCCTCTTCATTGACGAAGTAGTCAGGATTATCAGTGGTGAAGCGTCGAAAGGACTCGAGGCTGGCTTTAGTAAAATCATGGCGCCAGTCGCTGATATGGTAACCCGACTGTGACAAACATGAGAGCAGGCTTCAGATGGCGAGCAAGAACATACCAAGCCCATCCAAACATCATTTTGCTTCACTTCAAACTTCTTTGTACCATAAACCTCGTCTACCAAGCCCTGGATCTCTGCAATTGTTGGATTTGCCCATGGTTCCAATGTCCCTGTAAACTCTCGCAGGCGTCTAGTAAAGACATCGGCAAACTTGATCTGAGCGCCTTCAGGGAGGTGACTGGCTTTCCATCGCTTGTCGCCGCCACGGGCCTGCTTCTTCGTGAGTGCTAGAGTTTCGTGCTGAGATATTTTAACGTTATTGACATCCTGCATAATGTAATCAGTGGAAATATTGCAGGAACCACGAGAACTAAGTACCTTGCCTAGCTTTTTCTCTTCCACGGTGTCGACGTTCATCTTCTCCAGTTCATCTGTCTCGTTATCGTCAGCATATCCACCAGGTTGGAACATTTCTTCGTTATTTCCATCGTTGGTGCTGGACTCGTGTTGCACTTTTGGCTTGACATGCCATCCTAGTAACACACCGGCAGGCTTCCGTGTCAATGGGGGATTTTTCTGTTTCTTTGGCGCCACCTGCTGACTATACCAAATGTTCAGACAGGCAAGCAACATAGATAAGAAATGCTTACAATTCATCGTCTGCCTTGCGTTTGGCAGTCGTGTTGCTGCCAGCAGCAGTGGTGGTGTTACGAAGAGCCACTATTTTGGCTCTAGCTACCTTGTTTGGGCCCTTGCCCCTTTTGTCCTGTGCTTTTCCCTCCTCGGCCGCTTCAACATTGTCATCGATGCTACTCTGTGAATCTCTTCCAATTTGTTCTTCCACGCTGGGCTGGTCATTACTCCTAGAATCGTCATCACCACCATCTAAGAGAAAATCAAGATTTAGTCAAGATCTACTATCTGGCCTTAGTCGTACCATTAAAAGGCGTCTTGCTGGCAGCAGCTAGGGAAACTTGGGCGACTTTTTTGGCGCTGATGGCTTGTCGTGGTTGCTGAGCTTTTGTACCTTGAACTCGAGGATCTTGAGTACAAATTCCGATGAAATGGTGTACAATACCTTTTGCGGTAGCTTTAGAGATTCTGGAGGATGAATGAACTTGGGAGACTTTTTCTGGTTCTACTATGGCCGCTGGCGACGCATCCTTCTCTTGTTCATGAGGTTGAGAACCTTGTACTGCGGAACAATTAGCATGGACTCAAAGAGATTACAGCGCCATACCTGTTTTTTTGGTTATATTGGTTGTCTGAGAAACGGAGGCTGAGAGCGACGGTGTCTTCGACTTATGTGCAACCTTGAGAGCCGTGGCTGACTTTGCTGGAGGAGGGTGATTAGCGGTGATGTTACGCTGAACATCTTCATGACGCATATAGTCTTCCGCATCAGCGACAGCAGTATGTGCCGCTTTCTGCTTTTTTTCCTGCTCGTCTTTTTTTACCTGAGCAGCAGCACGGTCAGCAGCAACTTGCTCTGATGTACGACGTTTTTGCACTGGAATGAGATTGCCGGGGTGCTTGCCCTTGTTTTCAGAACGAGTAGAGATGCTACGAGGAGGGAGCTCTGCGGAAATTTTTGAAGCCATGGTGGAGTGTAAGGACGATGGTATGTTTGTTTATCTGCATTTGTGTTCATTTTTTTTTGATTGTGAGTCAGCTTGCTGTTTTGTTTTATTGAATAACACGGTCTCTCGCTTCAAACCAAACATTATGCCTCGCCAGTCATTCAAGAATCGAAGTATTCCTTGCACGTTTAACCCCAAGTGCGCTAAACTCTTCACCTCCATGGGTGGGCTTAAAAACCATGTGCGAACCGTCCACGATGGGAGTTTCACTGGCTTCAATACGCAGGTGCATCATTCTCAGCCTCAATCTGCAGATTCTTTGCCACGACCAACCAATAATCGTAATGCGCATGATGCTCATAGCCCCATTCTCAATCACCATGACTCAGAGTACGATACCAACCCTCTTGGTCGGGATCAACCACTGCCACAGGAACTTGAGGAACCACCACTGGAGCGGAAAGAGCAACATCCCTTGATCAATGGTACGTTATTTTCACTTTCCAAAACAATGGTAAAACCAACATTTATTACTACAGGACGACCATGCGATGCAGATGGTGTCTATCTACCTGACGGATGTGTCCCGCCGCCCTGGGATTATCTGCCACCCAATGACTTCGCACCCTTTGAGCATCGTTCAAGCTTTGAGTTGGCAGATCTGATCTATCGGCGGGAGCAAATGTCTGCAGCAAACATTAATGACCTTCTGCAAATTTGGGCAAGCACTTCACATGAAGCCACTAACGAACCACCATTTGCCAATGCGAACGATCTATATGAAACTATTGATGCTATCACAGAGGGTGAAGTGCCTTGGCAATCCTTCAAAGTCTCATACAGCGGTGCTTTGCCAGAGGGCCGGGATCCAGACCCATGGATGACTACCGAGTATGAGGTTTGGTACCGAGATCCTAAGCAGATTCTTCAGCATCAACTGGGAAACCCAGATTTTGCTAATGAGATAGATTTGGCACCGAAGCGAGTTTATGACAACAAAAACAAATGGCGTTACTGTGATTTTATGTCGGGCAATTGGTCCTGGCGACAGGCGGTAATATCAGTTTCCTTGATATGCTTGTACTGTATGAACTAATCATCCAATTCATAGGATGAGCTTGCTAAGAATGAGGATAACCATGGAACTGTCTTCTGCCCTGCAATCTTAGGGAGCGACAAGACTACTGTTTCTGTAGCCACCGGTCAAAATGAATACTATCCAGCTTATATATCCAATGGCCTCATCCACAACAATGTTCGTCGAGCTCATCGAAATGGGCTTACCTTGTTTGCCTTTCTTGCAATCCTGAAAAGCATGTGTACTATTATTTCTGGCCCCAATGTTTGAGCTAATATTATCACTGTTAGCGGATCGCGAGCATCATGACAGCGCTGAGTTTCGCAAATTCCGACGGAACCTGTTTCATGGCTCACTTCGTGAGATATTTGAAAGCCTTCGTCCTGCAATGGAGACACCGGAGGTTGTTCGCTTTGGGGATAGACATTTTCGGCGTGTAATATATGGACTGGGACCATACATAGGTGATTATCCCGAGCAGGTTCTGCTGGCCTGTATCATGTCTGGTTGGTGTGCAAAGTGAGTTTCTAACCATGTGTATCTGGATTGTATTTATTTCATCTATAGATGTACTGCAGCAAGTAACGATTTAGATGGTGAGGGTGGTCGAAGGCAACACAGCCATACAGAGCATTTGTTTCAGGCTATGGATGCTCGGGAACTGTGGTATAATTATGGAGTGATTGATGATATCATGGTGTGTAAATTCCTTCCAGAGGGATGGTCTATTCTTATGACAAAGGTTGTTCAGCCATTTACGCACTATTTTCCCCGAGCCGATATCCATGAGCTTCTGTCCCCCGACTTGCTCCATCAGATCATCAAGGGAACATTCAAGGATCACCTCATGACATGGGTTGAACAATACATCAAGCAGGCGCATTCTCCACAAGAAGCTGCCAAGATTCTAGCAGACATTGATCATCGGTATGTCATTATCTATGTGTCTTTATGTGCTGAGATGCTTTGTACTAACTATAATCTTATTAGAATCGCTGCTGTGCCTGCGTTTCCAGGTCTGCGCCGGTTTCCAGAGGGTCGAGGATTTAAGCAATGGACTGGTGATGATTCAAAAGCCTTGATGAAGGTGTGGTTTCTCTTTTGAGCTCATAGTTGACTGCTTCTCATTGTTTTTGTACAAGGTTTATCTTCCTGCAATTGCCGGACACGTTCCTGGACAGATTGTGAGAGCTCTTAGTGCTTTCCTCGAGTTCTGTTATCTCGTCAGACGACCTGTAATCGATGAAGATGGTCTTGTTGCAATCGACAATGCCCTGGACCGCTTTCATCTTGAACGGCAAATATTTGTACATGAAGGCATTCGACCAGATGGGTTTTCTCTCCTGAGGCAGCATTCCATGGTCCATTATCGGACACTCATCCAGGAGTTTGGTGCTCCCAATGGCCTTTGTTCATCAATAACAGAGTCAAAACATATCAAAGCCATCAAGCAGCCATGGAGACGCTCTAGTCGCTTCAATGCACTCGGCCAAATGCTCACAATCAACCAGTGTCTAGACAAACTTGCAGCAATCCGTGTACATTTCCATTCGCATGGCATGCTTGCCAATTCTGTGTTTACGCTTCCTGATGATGGAACAGCTTCCACCACTGACATCCCAGATGATAATGATGACGATGATGAGATTATCGAGGGACAGAAAATCTTAGGTGAAGTCAAACTGGCCCGGAAATACTGTGAGTATGGTTTCCTTGTTCTAGAACAACACTTTCAACTGAATTCACTTGCTCAGTGAAAAAATGTCCCCGCAATATCGTCCAGCTCTCAAAATACCTCAAGCTCCCCCAGCTACACACCCTTGTTTGGCAGTTTCTTTATGAGCAAGAACATGAAGACCTCGACATTCCGTTAGACGATGTCCCCTTGGATGACTGCCCTGAGTTTGAAGGGCGGGTTTATGTTTATCCTTCAGCTACGGCAACATATTACGCACCTAGTGACATCTTGGGGATTGGGGGCATGCATCGCGAGCGTATTCGGTCAACAAGGTCATGGCGAGATGGACCGGCAAGGTTTGATTGCGTCTTTGTCGAGGCCAATCCCGATGAACCTGGATTTCGTGGCCTGCATGCAGCACGAGTGCTTCTATTCTTTACGATTCAATATCACGGTCTCACAATCCCATGCGCACTGGTAACTTGGTTCTCTACTTTCCAGGACAGGCCCTGTGAGGATACAGGTATGTGGATAGTCAAGCCAGACTTGGACAAGAATGGCGAACGTGTTCAGGCTGTTATTCACCTTGATGCTATACTTTGGGGTGCTCATCTGATTGGTGTTGTGGGAGAGACCATGATCCCACAGAAATTCAAGCACACAGATTCCTTAGATTCCTTCTATTCATACTATGTGAACAAGTACACAGATCATCACGCTCATGAAATAGCATTTTAGTTCATGTGCTTTGCCATAAGATTAGCCCCCCCGTAGCCATAGCCCTCAGTAGGTCTCAGTAATTCAAGCTGATGGTAACTGACCAGTTGCTACTGATGGTAAAACTGCTTTCCAGATGGTCTATTCGCATTCTCTGGATCCACATCAGGTGACGATGAACCCTTCCTGTTGATCTTGACCTCAATGATGACACTTTTATCCATGACCGTCGACAACAAGCCAGAAACATATCATGACTGCATCCTTGGAAGCTCATTCAATGGCAAACCAAAGATGGTGGAGGAGATTGGGAGCTCGTGTTGGGTCGAAGCTGCTAGACAGGTGTGTATATCTATCCGTCTTGATTTGTTCTATTCTTGTACTAACCATTTATTGCTAGGAAACAAGCTGCTAGTGGTCCCAAGTATAGCACATTCCATATCCACATTGAAAGGACCATGAGTCTGCGTTTGCCTGCTACCAGTAGTGCGGCTTTCCCTCCCCAAGACCCTGGTGTTCCTTCCACACCCCAGTTCACACTCTTTGGCGAGCCTGTATTTCTTCTCAGCCCCAATGATTCCACTCCCCCACCTGTCTACTACCAGCATATGCTGCAGATATCTTCGTCTGCACTTTTTTTCATCCGTGCTCTTCGTGCAACAACTGATGGCTCTGCTGTCATGGCTCATATCGACATCAATGAGCTCAACCAGCAGCTCTTTGACATGGTGAAGAGCCTTGAATTCGTTGAAACAGAGGTTCCTCACCACCTGAGATCCCATGGCCGAGTCGTTATAGCAGCCTTAGTCGACGAGTCGGATAGTATTGATGATATGAGCAGGATTGGGACCTTGGGACATGTGTAGCGTGGTAATATGGCTATCAAGGAATTGGATGGCTGGAGTCATTTCGCGGGGCTTTTTTGGATTTTGCTACATGGTTGCGAGAGTCTAATACTGGTAGTAGTTTTTGTACTAGGCTCGAGTTGTATTCATACTGGTACTTATACCAATTGCGTGTCTTCTCTCTCTATCTGGCTTTGAACAGAACTTTTGCAGTGTAATTTGAATGGACTTGGAAGGTTTAAGTTGACCTGTTGCATGACTACCGCCAGCACCGTGAGGCCTCAATACACTCAAGCAAATGCGAGGTCTGAAAGACACTCAAATAAGATCACCCCAAGATCAAGGCCCAATGATAAAGACAAAGAGCTCAAAAGATGCTATCTCAAAGTGAAACATCCGAAAGACAAATTGACCGTTTTGCTGATGTATGCAACGACAGAACAGGAATCTTTTCGCTTACCTTCATGAGATCTCAGCATCAAGAGGGAAATTGACAACATTTCACTGATGGCCTCTATTCTTGCCATATTTCGCATCTCAAAGCATTTCGAGCATCAGAATGGGAGGGCAGAAAATTCCCATTAGATTGCATCATCGCAGACTCTCCAAGTTTGGCACGGTAGCTTACACTGGAGTATTTTTGCAGAAGGGGCGTTAAGCCCGTCTTTGGGCTGTTGATGTGCATAATTAGCTTAGGAGAACAACGAAGGAGCACTGATCTAAACTTTACAAAGAGGAAATGCCATCATCTAAAGTAGTGTTAGCAGCGAGTTCCCGGAGTCAGGACTTGGAAGACTTACTTGAGAAAGGGAGGATAGCGCATGGCATAGCGGGTTTCATAAGATGAAGAAGCTCTGGATGTACCGATGCCGGACGAGTGCTGGGATTCAATTAGGCTTAGTAACGAGACTTAGTAACAAGGAAAATCGAAAGTTAAATAACTACTCACCAGCACGATGCTTGATCATAGCTCTCTGCTACGTGGTACAAAAGCAGGATTAGTTTGTGCGGAATAGCACAATACACATGATAGATGAAGGCTTGAGAAGTCCGAGAAGTCTGATTTGTCGTCGCATTCATTATCGTTACACATAGCTAACGAGGAATTTCAGTAACTCGTTTCACAGACGAAGATAAAATTGACATGAATCTGAACCCTGCGCAAGGTGTTCCAATGCTGAGGTCGAATGGTCGAGCCAAAGACAAAAAAACGGACCGACACTTCAACTTGGTAATGGAAGATCAGGTCTTGGCAATCCCGGTTACAGGACAGCACATTAAATGCGCGTTAATGGACAAAAGAATGGGAAAAAAAGAGTTTGATGTACAAGAAAGGGCATAAAGCACGCATGGAAGAGCATAGCAGACGACGTGTCATGGATCGCTCGGTCCTTCTGGAAAGAAGAAACAACTTTGTAACAGATGAGATCAGTTGGATATGGCGACACTGTACATAAGAGGATGCAAGACTGTTGGAGACCGCAGATAAACATTGACTAACATGTGGATGATCGGACGGGGAGCGGAAGGATGAGATGTCAACTGGCAACCTACCAGGGTTCCGAAAATAGACAGGCATCGAGGCTCATTAATAGCGATAAAGAAGGATATGCGTATTCACCTATAGTAACCCATAAGACCAAAACTCCAAGCCTTCGCTTATTCCAGGCATTTGTCAGTTCCGCGGTCGCTGAGAACACAGTCCTTGGAATATTATGAGGTAACTGCACTTTCTTAGAAGCGACAACACAAGGCTACCCAGATGCAATGACCTGCTTTGGGTATATGGGCCAATCGTACTCGTCTTTCTTGGCACTGCAGTGCTTGGGACCATCGCCGATCATGAAATCAAAGGCGAACTAGGCCAGTATAACCGGACGATCATATGTCCGGAGAAGGGATCTTCATCGAAAACTATGAATGTGTTGGAGCCTGTGGACACAATCATGATCTAATCAGAAAAACAAGGGCATATACCGCACACGGCATAATAATGCGAACCAATCTCGCATATATGCCAACCACTGCTCCTCCTTAATTATTTGTGATATACCGTCGCGGTCACTATTGGGTCACTAACCTTCGATACATTTCATCCGCGAGGCCAACCTTGTTTCTGCAGGACTCTGGCCCAAAGACTCGACTGACATTGCCTATTCTTTAAGAACATTGGTTAGCATGATGCCTGTAGCCTTCCGAAACCCGAACCAGGTTGAAATAAGAGCGAGTTAGTTCAAATTCAAAGGGAGAAATCACACGTCCTTATTGACTTCTTGTGCAAAGTAAGCTGTTATCCTAATTTCAGCAAAGAAATATTTTATCAACTTGTGCATCACAAATCATCGAAGGATTGAAATGTTCGTCAGGATCTGCGAGTCGGATCACTGACACTTTTTCAAACTTCCCATCCCTTCGTTGCCTCCCGACCACCCAATATAATGAGGGTTCATAGTAATTATAGAAAGAATTACTGCCACTGATGAGGGTATATGAGCCATCAGGTATCGGGTATGCATGATCAGCAACAACATTGATTATACAGGCTGCCCTGGTATGATATTCAACCACCAACTCACCCTGTCGAGGGATCTCTTTGTTTGATACCTCGCCCAATCCTTGCAAATAACCTGACTTGAAATAGGGGCCCTGATACGAGTCGGCACCTTGTCAGGTCTTATGTCAAGTTAAGTTACTTAAGTATCAGCTACTGAGTTTCGTGGCTATATCCACGAGCCAGGTTGTACACGTGGCCGGGGATAAGACTCCTGATGGTGTGAATATGCCGTGTTTAGCAGCGGATCTCGCCAAGGCAGCTGCAAAGAGAGCAGTGGAGGATGCAGGAGAGAAAGTGATCTTCATGTGCTTCATTTGGGTTGGGTCGAGACGGCGATTATTCCGTCAGAGTATATAGTGTTATCTGAGGATACTGTGTAACCAAACGTCTGATTGTCTACAAAGAGACACCTCTAATTCATGGATGGTATAATATACAGTGGTAACGACACAATGGCGATAGCATGCAGATAAAAAAGAAGCTAAATAAAATGGAATAGCTGCGGAGCATGATACCCCTGGAGAAAAACTTTCAAGCCTGACGATACCACAGAAGTGAGTCCTTGTTCCTTCCAGCGACAGCAGGTGTCTGGTGAGGTTGCATAGAGCCTCGGAGAGTACTACAAAGGTCAGTGTAGGTCAACTTTGACATAAATCTGATCTCAGTGTTGAAACCAAGGCATTGGTGAAAATTCCGGTGATGTTTCCGTCGTTACTCCGGACCTCCCTCACAAACTCGAACTCTCTACATGCAGCAATAACAACGTGAGATGTCATATCGGGAGACCGGTCTTCCACTAGCACCGATGGAGCTCCAGGACAATGCTTCTGCAGGCTCTTGTCCGCAGATTCAAACACACTCTCTTGTCTGTGTGATACTGGTGGCAGATCCCGTGTGTGCCCCGGGGAGCAGAAAGCCGATATATTGCGGGTGGCACTTCCTGAATGACAGCAGTCGAGAATGAGAGTGATATGATCACCCTTGGTATCACGGATTAGGGAAATTATGGTGTTGATCTCCCTGTCGCTGATATCAGAAATGGGACGGCCGTCTGTATCAAGCTCATTGCGGTCTGCAGGATAGATGGCTTCAATGGACCCCAGGTGTGCAGATGCACCGATATTATCTTGGAAGTAGTTCGAGCAGAAGTAATGTGATCCGTGACCCGAGAAGTAGATGATAATGGAGTCTCCTTTCTCAACGAGACAATTACTGCGAATATCATGAAGCGTTTTGATGATGTTTTCACGTGAAGGAAACAATGAATCCGAATGCGTTAATCCATCGAGACGACCCAAGAGTAGTTGTATGCGGCACTTCAGAACACCTAGGTCAATACAATATTTCTCCATTGTTATTGCATCGAAGACGCAGCCTTGCAATGGAAGTTGTCGGTATGCATCAATTCCTATAATGACCACCCAAAAGCGAGAGGCGTCTATCGCACTTGGAAACTGAATAAAAGAGACCATTCAAACAGGAGGATATGAAGTGAAAGAAACACACGTACCGGATTATTTGCTGGTTCTAGCTCACAAGCTTGAAGATCCGATACAATTCTGAAAAGCCGGAGCTCTGACAGACTACGCCGAAGCTTGTATAGAGAGTCGAGGAAAACAGCTGTCTGAACTGGCTTGTCTTTTATCTCCAGGGGACCCTCGTCTGTGCTAAGTATCACGTCCTTCGCTTTCTGTAGAATCACAGGTGAATCAATCTCTTCTGATTGCATTCCATACTCCTCAGCAATCTTCTGTTCGAATTCTTCGAAGGAGGATATTCACTGCTCAAGGATTTGTATTTCTTCCTCGATCAATGGCGTTTGGTCCTTTTCAATAATCGTTGGTCATATTAACAATGCCAATACGGATTTACTTACCGATCCTTGGGATGCAGATCCATGCGATGAATAGTCAAGGAATGGGCGAGACTCTGAGCATCGTGGAGTGGATGTTTCACAGCTGTTTGTTAAAGGAGCTGAAAAATATCCTATCGTGGAGGAAGCATTATCCGAAGAGTTGGACATTGTCAAGTGCCGAGAAAGTGACATGAACAGAGTTTCACAGCCCTCATCTTTAAAGCATGAAATATGACACCATAGTAACTGCTTCCTTCGGTTGAAACGAGATCCTTCTTACTCAGGTGACAGCTAAGGATCGATCCATCACGGGAGAATTCCAAGAGTATGAATAGCAATTGAATGTAGTGCGATTCTTTCAGGATAGCCTTCTACGATGTCTGTACGAGAATGTAGTCACTGTTGTACATCATTTAAGTAAAACTGCTGTTGCTTAGCCTGGAAGTCTGTTACAAAGATGTATTCTCCTATTTTTGTCGACATGCTGTACTGATTCGACAAACTGCATCCCAAAAAATCACAGGTTCATGGCACAGCATTATTCAATTACAGAATAATGAAGCTGTTGGAGTGCTGTCAAATATGCGATGCCAGCCAGAGGTGCTGTGGAATGTATGCCATGTCTGTGTTAGGCGAATCACAAATGCTGTCCAAGCTGTGAGGACTGTGTTAAGAATGGTTCCTTATTCAGAAGATGCTCTCACTCGTACATGTTACCAAAAAACACCAAGAACCTGCACCTATAATGATACTTCTATAGCTTTCATACACACCCATTTTCTCATTCAGCTATAACGTATAATCCTGCATCAAATCCAGTCCACAAGTTCTGATGCTCTCACTTACCTCGATGTTCAATGACTCCCTGAATGGGAAGTTCAACGATTCTAACATCCCACTCCGCAAATATCCCCTCCTTTTAACAGATCGCCCTGTACCCCACGGAATCGTTGAAACTGCCGGGGCCTCAATGGGTTCATCTATTCCACCTCAGCCTCTCCCAAGCCGTCATGCACTACTCATAGGTGTACAGTACTATAACGAAAATCCCCTTGATGGATGTCTGAACGATGTCCAAGCTCTCCACGACGTCCTCGCTCTCCAATATCATTTTAGTCGAAACGACATCACTTTGATGACAGACAACGACTGTAGGCGACCAACTCGCGCCAACATCCTTAACGCTATTCATAATTTAGTCCATAACTCCTAGGAAAATGATAGTTTTCTCATCTACTATGCTGGGCATGGAACTCGATATTCAGGATCTATCTAATCCAGATCACCTTCAATGCAGGAAGACGTTGTGGAGGCAATATGTCCAATAGATCGGGGGAGCATCGTTAATGGAGAAATGGTATTCGATATCACCGACAGAGATATCGATGCTATTGTTTCTGGGGTTTCCACGAGGATCACCTTCGTGCTTGATTGTTGTCATGGAGGCACAATGGTTGATGTCCTAAACTGCAGGTCGGGGAAGGTTCGCTATGCGAATCCACTTCCTGACATGGGAAAGGCTTTATACCAGAAGTCGGAAAAACATCTACTTCGGGAAAGAAGTTGGGAGTCCCATATTTTTCTTGTTGCATGCAAGGACTATCAGATTGCATTAGAAGCTTGCGCAAACTCGAGTGCTAAGACACACGGCGCTTTCACCGAGGCACTTCTCCATGCCCTAAAGTCAGATGAAGAGAGAACCATGACTTACGAGCAGCTCATGGGTCGAATCGGAGGTCTTCCTTTGCAGACGCCTGTTATTCATGGCAATGGAATTGAGGGCCGTCTGTGGAGTGTCAGTGAGTTTTTTTTCTCTGTGAAAATGCCTAATACTCATTTAAACATCGTTAGGTGATGACTGGACTTATAATAAATGATTCGATCCACCTTATTAAATATTGCCATCAGAACGAACGCACCAGTGAACCTGTCATCAATTGCTAACCCACTGCATATTTCTTCCCTTTTCTGCTACCCGTTTGACTGTTGACTCTAGGATCTTAGCCCCAGAATGTTTGAGTAGTTACATTGTCTAGGTTCCGGAAATAAGGAGGTAGGTAGTTAGTATTACGTGGCAAGGCCCACCGGGGGACACTGAGAGAAGATAATATATCGATGATATACATCAGTCCTTCTGCATGCTCTTCCCCTCTCCTGTACTTTAAGATCCGTTTCAGTACAAAATTGAGCGACGATGACACCATAGCAAGGCCTTGTATGCCGTTTCTCGGATTGGGTCGAATGAACAAAATTGCATGCATGACATACGATTTTCGGCGATACTGTGACCTGCTGCCTTCAAAGGAATGTATATAGGAGTAATCAATTATTGACACTGAAGTTCCTTATGAAGTACCCAGCTGCTTGATTAGTACAGACAAATCGAGTGATGCTACTGCTATGCCGGAGCACGACCTTAGAGCAACGCCCAATCACCCAAATCTTCATTGAAGAAAAAACCCGACAAAGACGATGGCGAGGGCTCGCTGGCGCTCCCACCTTGATAACCCTTGGCAAATGCATGATAGTATTTATCTCTCATCGGCCGTCTGTTTTTCTCTGCATAATTAAATCCGTATAGTCAGGTTTTTTGAATGTATAGAGTATTCAAATAAGAACCACCTGCTGCACTGGCAGTGGATTAGGGTCAAGATATGCGTTTTCGTGTAGTTTGGCGTGTCAATACTAGTTAGTTTTTCGTTGCGAATTCCTATATACATTGAAAATCATATGATACTCCTATAGTCATTTTATTAACGTCTCTATATCCGTGCATACCTTCCATAGCACTGTCAGTCTTAGAAACGAACTTACGATGTGCGGAAGGTGGTGGAACTCCCCCGAACGCAAGTCGGTAACCTGCTTCAGCGGTCTTAATTCACATAAAGAGCCCTACCCAATACCGGCTTACGTATAAAGATAATGCATACAAAAGTAAGGCAAATCAATAATGCAATGGCCAAATAGAATCGTAAGAGGTATCTCAGCAAAGAGAGGTCACCTCCCAAAGCACTACGACAATGGTATCAAACAAGCGTTCCAGATCCTCTGCTCATCCGTAGGCTCTATCTCAATGAATCTCGTATTCTCGAGCAAGAAGTCAACTCTCCTTATTCCCTTCCTCCTTCCCTCTTCTTCCGTTCCTTGTGCCCATTTTGCAAAGGCATTCATCACGTTTCTATCTCCCACTGCCTCCATCTCCGCCTTAGTGACCTTCGTGCGCAATGCCGTATACAACGCAACAAGCATGTCCCTAACTGAACGCGTCGAGACGTGAATCCGCCATGGAAGGAACTTGGATATAAGGATCACGTTCGCAGGAAGGGAAGATGTCCTGACAGGTTCATCGGGGAGCATGGGGATGTATGGTGATGTGTCTTTTGACAAGTCGATGTTGACGGGCAGTCGGCAGAGGTATTTACTGAGATCGCCCGCACTTGGTGTCTCTGGGGAGTCCTCCTTGACTGATGGGATGGAGATTTGGTTCCATATTCCTTCGGGTATTGGAGGTGGTGTCGAAACCGGTCGAGATGATAAGGGGGGCAGATAGGCGAGGGAGTTATGAGTGGTTAGAGGAGGAGAGAAGGTCATCGAGGATGGCAACGGAGAGTAGTTGTAATCGGGAGAAGGAGTATCATTCATTAAGCGACCGACAATAATAATACATGTACGGATGCTGGTTCTTGGTGGTGGATGGCGGCTTTGGATATGAGCATGTCGCAACAGGTGAGGGTATATGGTCGCGAGCATATGCATACAAGTCGTTATGCGAATCGGCGAAACGGACAGTTTTTGTGGTTGGTTTCTTGGACGAGATGTGGTAGGGCATTACGGCTTTTCACCGAAATGCCTTCTCGCATTTATACACCCATCCTTTTGTAATTGAGGATGGTGGTTCCAATATGGCCATTCAACAATCCCCGCAAGGCGTCAGATGCTGTGTTTAGTGCACCACAGTCCTACAGGAACGGACCGAGACAATGGTCTGGACCAAGCGCAACTTGCATGTAGCCCATGATAAGCGTGGAGACTCATTGTCTGGACATCCCCATGTCGGTGGAGATCCTGAACGTTATTAAGTTGTGAGAAGCCGTGGTACCCACAAAGCTGTATTAGGATCTATCAATAGTCTAGGGATGGTGCATTATGCACGATGCTCAGCACTTGTCTCCATCTTCAGTGACAACTAACGGTCAACACTTATTGGATGGAGATTTTATTCAATACTGCACAGCAGCAGTCGATCGTAAGAATCCTGCTCGTTCAGAAATCATATGCTGATTATGTTGATCCTGACGATAAAATTAACCTCGATGATTTTAAGCTGTTAGCATTATCTTACTTCAGGTGGCACACGCACGGAGAAAGATCCCGTCGTGACGTTTCTTAACAGCAACCCTTCGTGGCCGCGAACAGCACCACAGCACTGTGAGAAGTGATCCATCAAGCGTGAAGTACTTCAGCGGGGGCATATCTTCCAAAGCTGGGATAGGGCAAGGCGACGTAGCAAATCTGGGCTAAGGGATAATTCATACCCTCCGTAGGTTGACAAGGTGTGGAGGATGACGACTGACAGCAATCATATTTTTATTCTCGGACTATATCCCACGACCCAAACGGCGTAGTGATCTGAAACTACCTTGTAGCCGGTATTTTCTTGTTAAGGACTCGTCATTGTCAATACGGCATCTTGATGAAAGCGTAAAGTCAGCTGTCCATAACTACATATTAAAACCGGGTGCCACGAAGAAGGAATACCGGGTCGCCCAGGTCTAAAAAAGGGCAAGTTCAGATAACATTAACGAAGAAGACAGAACGCTTATGGCAGATGGACCAAGGCGTACGCAACGATGCGGAACAAAAAAACAGAATAGATGCATCAGTGTAGACAGTACGTTGTTCGAGCAGGAAAGTTTTTGATGAGGATTTCGAGCGTCACCCAGAAGGCGTGTCAGGAATGCATGCATATCTTCAGACGCAGGATTACGGACGACTATACTTTGTTTTTTAGTACTAACACTAACAGGAACGGGATGACATACCGGTCTCCTTCAAGCATGGATATAACTGGAAGGCTTAAGGCCTGTTTACGATACTCGACCTTTGGCGCGATTGGGACATTCCATATCTGAAATGTGGTATGACTTCCTTTCTTGTTCTTAAAGAAACACCTGGGCGAAGCTAAGGAACGTTCACTAAATGGCTACAATCAAGCACGTACCATTCCTGGTTTTAGGCCTTTCTCATTCCCTTGGGCTATTCCTCAGCTATCCCATACTGTCTAACGCATTACACACATTACCCCATCGAAGGCTTTCATAATTGTGATTCCACCTCTCCCAGAAATCACGACGCGGCAGTTCAGTTCCAAGGTAGCGTACAAGCTATACACATCTGGATGCACACGCTTTTTTTAGCAAGTCCAAACCACATAAATGAAAGAACGCGTACAGACGGGGCCTAGTAAGACGTCTCGATATTCTGCCGGTGTTCACATAAGCATAGTTTTCCAATGTATACCATGCAGGTCAACATTATTCTTGTGCGTCTGACGACTGCGTCATCAAGTGAGATCTTTGGGTTGAAGCGACAACAGTAAAAACACTGACTCGCGTATCATGGCATGAAAAATCGGGGCTTAATCATATATTGACATAGTCCGACACCTCAATCCGCTGATATAATACGCCCTGCGAAGAAAATTTTATTCAGAAGAACACAAATTGGACGAAGAATCAAAATAAGAAGGATTCACCTATATAATTTTGGCTTCCCACCGATATTTTGACGGTGGTAGAAGATTTGAGAAGGACCATCGGACCCTAATTAAGCAGTCGTTTCACTCATTCGAACGAGTAATATATATGCAGAAAATCAAATCCTTTCACTTCCATGGGAAGGTCCGGAAAAGTGAGTAGCTAGCGAGATTCAATGGCGGTGGTGAAAGGCAAGCTCAGGCAACGTCGGTTCTCGGTCCGTCACTCCGGCTCGCTCACACGACAGTCAAATTCAGGGTCCCACAGGCTCTTCCCCTCACTGTCATCATGCTCGTGCTCGCTTTTTCCCTGTCTTCTGTTATACTCGTGCCCACTGCCGAATATGTGATAAAACGACAAGGCCTTCTATACCGTTTCTCGGCTTTCTTCAATTTATACCAAAATTCTGCCCGACAAGCAGGATGATTTTCGCGGATACTGTTCCCTTCGGGACGGATGTAACATCAGAGTTCCGAAGGTGCATACTGAAACTGCAGTAAGTGCTATGTTTCTCGATTCTTGCAGACAAGTTTAATGCTGATGCCATTAGAATGGAGTACGGCATGAACAATAATGCGTCATCGCAAGTATCCAACAAAAATAAGGGCGACGGATCACTGGTATGAGAGAGGTTTTGGTAAGAGTACGTGCATCTCACATCTACGGTCTGTTTTAACCTGTGTAATGATGCGCATATAGTTCGGTTTTTGGGGATCTTGGAGGCGAATCAAGGTATCGCGGACTTTCCACGAGTAACCAAAATGCGAGGATTCATACAAAAGAAAGAGAGAGAGCATAGAAGTTAACGCTAGAGGGATATCGTCGTCGTCGGTACATAGTGAAGGAATACGTGCATCTGCAACCTGTCTACAATCCACCTGCTGATATTTTGTGTCCAGCTTCCCGAGGCGTACTCGTTCTCTGATCAGCACGTCCTGGAAACGATGTTCGTTCGACAGAGGTACATCCTATTCCTCTTCTCCAAATTCTGCTTACGCTTTAATGAGGGCTGATTAGGCTGAACCGCCCATGGCTTCTCGATGGATGGTCATTATGATCTTCTGAAATCATGAGGCCCACGATACTACGATTGACATCGTAGACCCGATATATTGCGCAATTCCGAAGTGGCTTTGTTTCCTAGAAAAATGTTCGACGAGGTCGACGCCGACAATATGCTTCTATTCCTCTTTCACTATCCACCACTACGCCTTCAGGCTATGCTATTTTTCCAACCACATGCTCGTCGTTCTAATAATGAAAACGACCCGATCACTCTCTTCGCCCCGTCCCACCAACACTATCTTTGTTTTCGAAAGCACACTGTCATCGACCGGAATAACTCCAATCTTAGGCTCAGCTTGTTCTATGCCCTTCTCCGCCAATGCCATTACTCTAGTCATCAGATTACCTCTCCTCCAGACGGGATGTTCATCTAGGGGAATGAACCGGCACCACAGTGCTCGTCAATCCTTCGATCTAGACAGCCACGACGGTGACACGTATTCACCTATGCGATGCACGGCATTCCTAATGTTTCCTCATCTATCTTCCATACTCACCGGATTTGTTCCCACTATGCCGTTGTGTCTCCACTGGTGTCCTCATAAAACTAGATCGTTTCCGCCGATTCTCAGAGCACTGCTACGATGGTCCTCGGAGTTCCGATCCGAACTGCCGGGTCCGATACGACTCTCCCTTTTACTTCCATCATGAAATCTCCTTACTCACCTTTCTCGTTCATCTGAATGCTGATATATATGGTGGTTATGCTACGCACAATGATAAGCAAAAATGACAGAAATGCAAGGTTGTTCGTACGTCGCATGTCAGGCATTTCGGACTAAAATTCTATGCGTAATACGGTTTTCTCTGATCCCGGCACATTCAGCTGGATGTGTCGAAGACATAATCGTCGCCACCAGACCCTAGAGAGAGACTCTGCAAGTGAAGCAATCGCCGTGCAGCTCGACAATTGTGGTCAAAGACCACCCCTACTCTGTTAGAATGCAACGACACTAGAACAATACTCAATAACAGGAAGGTTATCACAAATGCTCAATGTCGACGGCAGGGTATGCGTTCTGGCACCCTACATTGCATGTGATGGTACTTGCGTCTCTGCTAGTATCAGTGCTTATACTCATATTTTGTGAACGTATAGAAAACATATTCTGTTGTTTATTTTCTCACACAGGAGAAAAGGAAGGAATTGTGACGCATTGCATCGAAGTGGATGGTAAAAACATGACGGCAACGGTCCATCTCTCTGTTCTCAGCGTATTGCGAAGAATCTCACCTCTACGTGTATCTGCAGGGTGTTCACGCTCACCATTGATGACCATATAATCACAAGAGATGTAATCATTGTTTTGAGGGAAGAGCGGGGGGCATCCGCATAGTATGTATCGGAAACAAGACTCCTTTGGTACGTGGCAGGTGTGTTCCCTTTGTCTTCCCCTTCAAACGTTACTCGCACCTGCCGATCAGACTAATGTCTATAAGCCGGGAAATTACAAGCAAGAAATCCTGCCAGGGAATCAAGTGATACCCATATGAGTAATGCCGGCGACGTTCGCATCTCGAACCGATGGACTTGCTTCACGACGCTGTGCCTTCCTGTTATACGTGTACAGTGTCTCTATGAAGACATTCGTAATTGTGCATGGCTTCCTTGCCTCGATACTCTTGGTTCGGCTAAATAATGGCGTATAAGGTGTGGACAGACCAATGCAGAGTATTTTCCAGAGGATGGTCAGAGGACTGTCACGATTGCCTGCATTCTTTAAAACCATCTCGCTCACTGCCGGCATAGTCGGCTGTCAGACACCGGGCGATAATTCCACGGAATTGTGGATGATAGGAATTTCAGTGCACCTCACGGATATGTTGTATCACTCTGATTTGAATAGAAGATAAACCCTCGAGTGGTATTATTCCTGCTGGGTGAAACGAGCGTCATGCCTATGGTACGGCACCAACTGGCCTAAATTACCTTCGGGGGACCACAAGGATTTACAGGCATTGGATATAACGGTCTAGTCCAATTGGACGACCTGTAACCAGTGTCGCTCGTTAACAAACATGGATGGATGGTGAAAGACAATGATAGCGCCATCACTGTGGGCTATTTCGTCCCATTTTCGATATGCCTTGACTCCGCTTATGAGACACGTATAGTCACTTCCTAGAAATAAAAACCAGAAGGAAAGTCTCCTGCAGGACAGTAACAGATGAAGACCGAGAAGATCGTCACTCACAGTCACCACCAACACCAGCTATGCGGGATTCCCCAAAGTAGAGCAAAGGCGGTATCTTGTTCCACATTTAGATGAATGAAAATCAACTCTTTATTTTTCCCAATAAATCCCACGTCAGCCCCAGGATTAAGCTCAGCGCAATAGAACATCGCTGACGACCTGCTTGTGCGTATTATGGCACAGAGTACGGAGTGTCGAGAACCGCATGGTACATCAGTTCGCTTCGGGCCGTAGTTCCGAAATGCAAAAGCGGAACCCTAAACCAACACTGCCATGGGCTTCGTCTCTACCATCACCATGACCGACGGCAACAAGGACAACGGCGAAGGCGTGCAGCCGTCAAGACTACCGCAAGCGTCGAGCTCAAATGCGGAATCTTCCAGTTCTCCGATAGCACCACCGCCACCGTATAGCAGAGACGTTCAACATGGAGCGGAGAACACAAGCGAGAACCGTCCTTTGTATTCCGGTATGCTACCGCTTTTTCAGTTTATACCGCGTTCTTATGGTTCTATTTTGTATAGCCAATCCGAATTCTGTACCCATTCCTCATCCATCCACCTTGTGAGATATTATTCGTCATCCCCACATCGTCAACTAAGCAATAGTGATCGCCTTAGAACCCATGTGTCGCGACCGTCTTCAAGGTGAGCCTCAGGAGTCACATTTTTATCAATTTCTCATTATCTGTTACAGGAGATCTCTTCGGGCCATAATTTTCTTCATACTTTGCGTCTTCGCGCTCACTCTTCACCTCCACATCCGATCTGCCAAGGAGGAAAAGCATCAGCTGATACTCGATGGTCTCGCTTGGGCTGACCTAACCCCATCGAAAAGATGTCTCCGATATAGCACCCGGGAGTATTCTGCTCAGCTGATGGGCGTGCCCAGAGGCGAAGATGGCTTGCGGTTGTGCAAAGAGAAGGAGATTATCATTCACGGCGTTGACATCAAGCAGCCAGGGTATTGTACTGTCGACGTCGATAATTCGGTGAGCCTGCTGTCACATTCAGGATGGCGTATCTTCTGATCTTCTTTTAGGCGCCCACGAAGCCTCGGATTTACGGTCATTGGACGGTTGATTCGAACGAACCGAGTTGCAAAACGCTGTGGGAGAACTTCCAGGATAAGGTACATACTACTTTCAATTCATTAAGCTCCACGCTTCAACACAATCTGTAGGGATGCGTGGCGACTGGCTCGAAGACTCGCGTACGTCTATCTACACCTCGAATATCCAAACAATCTGAATTCCTTCATAGCGTATTGAGGCCCACATGGGTAATCACCAACCACCATGGGATAATTGGCGAGAAATGTGTTCTACCACTCCCGCGGACTACGACGGCCATCACTTCGACCAGCCGGATAGTTGTGACCACAGGGTAAGCTGCGCGTGTATCCTATCATTTTTTAGGGATTGATGATGTTTGTGATTAGGGCATTTTCAGTGGGGTCTGGGGCATTTGGTTTGCTAGAGACGAAAGTTGCTGATTCAACGTATTCTCCTGACTTTGATTTTCCTGATTGTCTACTTATCCTTTCTGTATATCTCACACTGAAATCATTCCGAGGACATTCGGTGAATACAGTTGTCGCTGTAATACCCTTGATGCAGCCGGGATTCCGTTCCGAACTTCCGCAACCTCTTCCCTTTGAGGTGAGACTGTCAGTAAAATTCGAATTTCCGTGCGCTAGCCTGCATATCGACGCCCGGATAGTACCTTTGGTCATTAATCCTCAGTTCCAGTCATTAGAAGTCTTGCGCATGCTGCACCTGAAATTCATGAGGTCGATCTTCCTCCTTCTGTCATCGTCGTCGCCATCTGGAGCTGTTTAATCTCGTCTACTGGCATAGCTTCGGGGACCTGAATGTGATACCTAATGCGATTACAAGCTACTCATTCCGGCATCCTTTCGGCCATTGAGAACCACTTGTCGTTCACCAACTGGAGAGCGGAAGGTCTGGCTCCTTGATCTACGAAGATCTTTCTCACAAGAGATTTGATCGATTCAGAAGTGATTCCTCTGAGCAACGCCGGTAGGTGTTGATCGCACTCATGCACCTGGTACGCGATAACAGATAAGCCCAGAAAACGGAACTGAAGTAAACATACGAATACCATTGCAACAATACGAGCAGGTTTGTTCCTCGCCCAAGGGTGCCCCTGCTTCAACAGTTCAATAATCACTATGCCCAAACTCCAAATGTCCGTCCTCTCATCATAATGATCGGTGAATAACAATTCCGGAGACATGAAACACAGAGCGCCGGAACGAGAAAGCAACGTCCGTGCTACGTGACAGTATGTAAAACCATGTTAATATTCTTCAACTTTACGAGGTCTCGTACCGGGATCGATAACAGTTGCACAACCAAGGATTCCGATTTTGACGCAGCCGTCGAGTGTGATGAACAAATTGGTTCCTTTGATGTCACGATGCACGATATTCTGACGACGTAGGAAGATAAGACCATCCAGGACCTGACGGATCAGCACTTTCACGTCCGTTTCGAGTAACTGGCATGATGCAGACAGGCTAGCAAGCGTTCCGTCGGGGACGTAATCCATATAGATGCACAACTCGCTTGCCCGTTGGTCAAAATACGATCTATCCACAGCACGTTAGCCCTTTATATAAAACATGGAACATTGAAACATACCGCAGAAATCGAACTACGTGGATGTGATCAACTTACGCCAGAATTGAATGTTCTCTTTCCGTTTGCTCGATACCGTAATAGGTAAGTATCTTCTTTGCCGCTATGTACCACTCTTCCTCCTTCTTTCGGCATGCGTGAACAACACCAAAACCATTGCGACCGAGATTAGCAACCTGATTTCACTCTTCACCCTCGTGAATGGCTTTAGTCATGGGAAGAGAAAGTTCGATTTCTGGCGTAGAGACGCGTTTATCTTTCCAGCAATTTCCTACCATCCAAGGAGGGCGTAACGGTACAGACCGATCCGGAAGTCCTTTAAGCCGTTCAGAAGATTTGTTTCGTTGGTTCGAGAGCCTATCACTTCGACGTTAGAGTTCTGATGGTGAAAGAGTAAGTCGGGTGTAGGACGGAACCTAAACAAGAGAAATGGATGATTGAAGAGATCAAAAGATTTACCTCTTACGCGTGGTTTCAGCCTGCGATCAAGGCGTGCCTAGCAGCCAATTAGCAACATGCTAATCATTCAGAATAGCTGCGTACATCGTAGATGAGGATCTGTGTTTGCGTAAGTCAGCTATATCGTCAATTTAGGCGGAAAGAGCGCACATTTGGATCAGTTCGTCGACAGCTGATTGCAATAGTTGTCTTCCGTTCTCCAAGCACCACAGGACTTTGTCTGGATCTGTCCCGATGTTCTTGTTGGCCACTTCAAGCCAAAGGAGCAACTCGGATGTTGCAGTCGTGGTAGACATTTCAACGTGGTGGTGTGAAGCCGACGGGGTGAGCTATTCTTCGCACTTTCTGATCCTGAGCGGAGCTGGAGTGGCCAATAACATTTAATTGTAGTCACACACGCTGTGAAATGGTCACCAATAAACAATATGGAAAACGTGAGGGTAGGTATTTAAACTAAGTAACTACCTACTGTAATGATATTTCATCAATCTTTCAAAACAACTGTCTACGGTTTACCCAGTTATAACAAGACTGGGGTGCACATCCTTAACATGGGCAAGGCTGGCCGGATCGACAGTTTCTACTCCCTTCAGCGTGAGCCTGCGTAGCGCTGTAAAACGGCCCGAAGTCTCAAATAGCCCTTGGATGAACGCGGGCGTATGAGCGTATTTTGTAAGCACTACAACCACCTCGAGAGACGAGAGTTCATTGAGCGCGAGTGCAATCTGCTTCAACAATACCATCGGAAGCAATGGTTATCTCTCGAACTGTGGATCTGGAGCGCTGAATATGCGAGAGGACGATATCGACAGAGATGTCTCCTTTTAGAGTTAACATCGTGAGCACTGGTAACGTGAGGCCTGCGAGGATAGTGGTCGACATTGGAAGAGATAGATGTCGAAGATGAGCCATTGTCACATTGGCACCCTCAAGGTCTCCACTCTCCGTGGCTGGAAGGCAGAGGAGGGAAGATCGTTCGAGTGACTGCAGTCGACCGAGAATTGCGACAAGCTCTTGACTCGTCGCTGGCGCTCTGATGACCTCCGCCGCCGTTATTTGGGGTGTATGCAGAGATATATGGCTCAAGATACCAGGCGAGCCCGCAACCTTTTTGAGCATGGGAGCGCCACGGAGGCCGGTGAATTCGAGAGCGGGCACACTGTTTATTTGATACATATCAACGGTTGTGAGACCATAGAATTCTTCTAACAAAGGAAGGTTGCCCTCTATCTTGCAGAGATCTCGATATGCTTGTATCGGGACTGCCGTGAGTAATTTCTGCCACCGATGCGACGAGGAAACGAGAAGCTCTAGAGTAGGAGAGGATGCGAGCATTGTGGTGCTCCTTAGTGTCACGGATAATGAGCATGTACCGGAGCGCTGGAGTTGCAGTTCCAAAGCTTGCATATGCGTCGAGCTGCCGGCATATCTGCCCCGGGGGGTATTGACACTTATGATAGACCAGAGACGAGGATGAGATAGAGCGATGGCACGCCAATGTTTGCACACCCTAGTAAGAAGCCACGGTGCCTGGCGATAATCCAAAGAACTGATGACATCTCGGTCCTTTCCAATGCGGTCGGTGTTCTGCTTGATGTCAATCTCGTCCATGCATTGAAAGAATATTTCGGAGAGCATGTCGTCGGGAAGACGTCGAAGAGGAGCTCTGACGGTGTTGTAGTTCGCTATCTCCCACTCTGTCTTCTCTTGCAGAGCTAACAAGTAATCCATCGAGTCTCTGAGACGCGTGATCTGGCGTCTGACTTTGTTTCTCAACTCCTCCTTTTCTGCAGAAATCGCTGCGAAGCTGTGAATCTCTTCATCCAATGGGACATCATTCGTCGCCAGCAGGTGGTTGAAGCGAGCCGTATACTCAGGGGCTTGGAGTTGCCCTACCATCTCCTGAGTCCCAAAGCGACAATTACACTTACGACAGGGACATAGCAAGGGCATCGTGGGAGGAGGAAGTGGTGGTGGTGGTGGTGGTTTGGAATGAGGCAAATGTCTATGATCGGTCTCGGAGTGAGTCAAGAATTGATCGTTCCGTAGCCGGAAACAAGCGCTATGTCGATGATCAATTTTCAACGTTTGCATATTCGTCATGATAGTGTACAACTGAACTGTTCATTCATGCGAACATTAATCAAATCTTCGTCAGATACGAGTTCGCCACCTCGGAGACCTTGGGATCGATTTTACCCAAAATGTCCAGCATCTCCCCCTAAAGGACAAGACATCAACAATCCACTCCACTGTCGACAGAGCGAAAGTTACTCACCCAGACTTTGTCTTGCATAATCTTCCCATCTTCACTGATCACGAAATCGCTCTCCTCGACGACCTCGGACATCTGGATGTACTTGCCGCGAAGTTTCTCCTCGTCATCTAGGGACCCGACAGCACCATAAACGAGTTGCCGGCTCCCTTCTTCGGTGGTGAAGCAAAGCTCCTCTTCCTCCTTCCGCATAGCTTCCGCCTCCTCGGCAGGGATACTAGTTCGAAGGCCCGAGAAGCAGAATCCGGGGTTAACGGAGTTCACGGTTATTGCTGGGGAAGATGGGACGTGGAGTTGCAGGGATCGGGCAAAGAGCACATTGAGCACTGCGAAGACACAAGGATTAGTCGGAATGAAGATCAATGCGAACTTTACGAACGTTTGGAGTCAAAGTATCGGTGGTTCATGACCCTGCTTAAGGGTTAACCCAGATGCTACGAGGTAGAGAGATTTAACGCACTCTTTTGTACAATATTCCTTATCCGACAGCTTCGCGAGGATACTCGGAGAAGCAATGACGTCCTTCTCTATCGTCGTCCAATAGTGCACGTCGCTCGCAACGATGACCAATCTCGGGACGACGGAGTGCCTGCGAGCCGTCTCGAGCATTTTGGGGATCATACGGATAGCGAGTAGACCGGGACCAAGGTTGTTCGTATGCAAGCTAAGTAATCAGTTAGTCCTCTTCCGCCCACAGAAGACGTCACAGAGTACGTACGTTCTCTCCCAACCCTCCACTTGTTCGTACTCCCAAGTCGCCATTCCGGCATTCTCTACGAGTATATCCAATCGGTCGAGCTCACGGTCAGCCCTATCAGCAAACGCGATGACGCTGCTGAAATTGGCGACGTCGATAATCCATAACTCCGCTTTTGTGTAGCCAGTCTCTTTCTGGACGCCTGCGATGATAAAGATCAGTTGGCATTGTGGATCAGATAAGCAAAGAACGTACGAGCGAGAGCATCCCTTCCCTTCGCTTCATCCCTCGCTGTCAACACCAATCGTGTGGGGTTCATCCTAGCGAAATGCTTCGCAGCTTCGAATCCGAGTCCAGCGTTGGCACCAATGAGGACAAGTGTCTTCCCGCTCAGGTCGGCCGTAACGACGGCGGGCATCGGTCTGGTTTGATCTGCGACCCATTGCTCGCGAGTTCGGGGAGCCATGATGAGGTGTGATGAAGAGTCGTCCAAGTTCGTTGCTTTATATGTTGTCAGGTGCGAATGTGTTTGAGGATCCCCATCAGATCGGAGTCTTTGTGGCGCTTCTGAATCGCGTAGTTGTAAGGTCGGAGTTTATAGCAAATAGCATGTTCCCAACTGCCGTTAGCCTACGCAGCGCAGGACCGTATTTATAGAAGCCCTGATGGCAAGGCAACATGAAAGTACCCTAAAAGGAGTGCAAGACTAGAGAGACAAGAGTCGATAGTCACTAAATAGCCAAAATGTCGGTTGTACAGCAGCCGAAACATGAAATGTCACGTACTCTATCCCACGCTCCCGATAACAGAAAGAGACTTGCAATAGAATTGAGGGTCTGAAGCCTACATCGTTGCACAACTATCCGGACGGTGAATTAGATGTACGCATGGACTGAACACCGGCATTCCCGTTAGCGCTCAGCCAAGGAGCAAAGCGCAGCGGCCGGATAAAAAGTAAGCTTTGGAGATTCCAGTGAGTAAGCAGTATGTGTGGCAGAACAATCAAGCAATGCGAACAGAAAAGAGATGTGGGTCGCGCGAGGTGGATCTGATAAACGTCATCAATCACGTATGATCACCGAAGACTAATCCTCATACCGTGGTCATAGGAATTTTACATGCGCTGTTGGTAGACGAAAAGGACCAGCTGGTAAAAGGAACATGAGGAGGACCCTAATTGCGAAATACGAACGACGTACATGAATCCTCGATAGTGAAATATAAAGCTCAAATGATAGAACTAGCCTGTAGTTTAGCACTACCTGTAGTACGATTAGCGGATATGAAAACAGAAACAAAAAACATGAAGAATCGCACCTAAAACAATGAACCTTTAGCTGCGCGCTTGCTACCGCTTGCTGGTGGGGACATGCAATTTGAAAAGAAGGCAACTTAGCCATATTGGCGTCGAAGGATGGAGAAGTCAAGGAACGAAGCGATCATACCTTCCAGTGTTCGCACATGGAAATGGGCTTTGGACAGGTTCGTTAGTTTAGCAGTGCGGACTGCGCTGTACATCCCCCTCGACTTCACAACACTCTTCGAAAACAAATCTGCAAAGTGTCATGATCAGTATCTCAGGAAAGAGTTCAGTACTCAGATTGGATCACCTATTCGACGCCCGTACTAAGTGTGAGGCAGAACACCGAGTAGTCCACCAGCAAAAACTAGGCGATAGGTCGAGACGAAATCCCATCAGACATTGATACCGGTCTGCCACCGCAACGTCGTCTCGTCCTTCGTTATTGGCTGCCTATGACTGCCTTTAGGTGGTGCCTTTGCGTCGTCTCGTGCTGTTGTTTTAGAGGTGATCCAACTTTTGACCGTTCCTGTACACAAGAAAGCAGCGACGGAAAGTGGGGGAAGGAAGAATTCAACCCGGCGCGCATCCTAGCGACAATTTCCCTCTGGGAATAATAGCGTGGGATATTAGGAAGGGCGGATACTTGTTCCATGGGCATGATCATGTCAGTTCCGCGTGCTTATGTCCTGACACAACCTTCGTCTCCCAGTAAAAGACATTCTCTCCCTCTCCTGCACGTCAGCATCATTAACAGCTGCGGTTGTCTCGCCTCGTCTTGAGATGGACCTAGGCTAAATGTTAACACTCGCATATATATATGGAAGGACCAAAAACATACCTTGGTCGCAGGAGAAATAATGTTTTTGAACAATTTTGGAGAGCTCGAGTCGCAGTTCAAATAAATGACAGTCCAGTAAGCCCATACGGAACAGCCTAGTAAAAGCAGATCCAACAGGATCCTTGGAATTATCGTTCTACACGTCTGCAGGAGCCCTAGACCAGTTGGAAGCGGGATATGCGATGAAAGGCAGCGATGTTGCTGCAGACAGCTACGGCGCAGTGAATAACGAATATATCAAAAGCATCGCAGCACGTACAAGTTCATAAGCAAGCCTCCGGCCCTGCTACCACGTAATATTCGCGCTCAACACTTGCAAGTGGTACCATCTCAAATGTTGTGTACCAGCGGATAAAGGTCGTGTGGGCGGGTGTAGAATTGAGGAAACATACACCCTGTAATACGATTAATGAATACAGTCAAAAAAAGAGGAAAAAGCGCGCACGGTGCAAGAAGCAGACGATCATCCATTCTCTTCTACCCGCAACACCGAAAGAAGTAATTCTCAGCTCTAAAAGTGTCCTCGAGACACTTTCTGGAGAAGAGACCGTACCGTGCCGTGTAATGACGATATACGGTGTCGTAAACCTCGGCTATATGCGCTTCTGAAGGTGAAAGAGAGGCTACTAGTCGAGGGGTGAAGACGCTGGATATTTGCTACCATCCATGAGATGGTGGCCTTCGGCAGAGGCGGTATCTTGTTCTATGGGCGTAAAAACTGGGTTTGGGTTGGGGTCGCTCGTTGGTCACCATGTTCAATACCGTTGAATTATGGGTCATACTCGACTCCTTGAGAGCGAAATTTGCCAAGTATTCTATAAGAGATCGTTGAAGAAAGAACTGTAGTATCGTTTCATTAGTATCTCTCAAATACTCGATACTCAGGCCGACGCACCTGTCCAATGAGGTCTGTATCGTCAGTCTTATATTTCGATGATTAATCGCTGCGTCGAGGTCTGAGGCCGAGGTGCGAGTGTTGAGCTGTCCATAGGCGAGCCGGGTAAAAGGTCGAGTGGTGCGCGCTTCAATGCGATGATGGTCGTAGGAGACTGAGTCGCGTCGGACCTTGAAAATGCGATCCATCATCACCATGCCACGTTGTCGGCTCAGTGTAGGCTACCAGTTTTCTATAGTACGACCGCTTTCAGGTGGGCACATTCATTCCTTGACTCTCTTCGTAGCGTGATTACAAAGAATATCGCAACTCGGCTGTTTTTGCACCACGGAGAAAGCCTCTGCAAACTTCGGCCCGACTATGCCGACCCCCCCAAGCTGGACGTTGCAATACTTGTTTTGTTAGAACCCAATATTAAATATGCGCACGGAACTCTCGAGGATCTAACCCAAGGGAAATCCTTGCTTAATATACGTCTCTCACACGCAAGCATACAAGCCGTGGCCATCGAACTCAAGTAATACCAGGCTTTGCCCACCGTCCGATTCTTGACTCGCGTTGCACGTCAAAGTTGAATGCAATACTCAACAAATCAGTCTATGCATTTTTAATGTAACATATAAGCAGCCATTGGACACGCGACCGCCACACGTAAGGCGTTGGAGTTACAATAACGGCGTGGTGATACCGGGAGGTACTGCAACATGGTTCAATACAGCTATGAGAGCATGTAGGCAGGAAGCCAACAGCTCAAGGCAAACTATTACCATGTCAAATTATCACCGGATCACTCGAGAGAATGTATTAGCATGATACGGGAGACGCCAGCAGGTATACCACTGTCAAATCTGGCACCCTCGCTGGTCAATCTTTTGCATATACAGCTTCTCAACTTCGCTTTTCACACCACCAACGTGCCGTCTCTATGGGCGTAATAGCGTGCAAAAATTCACACCCGCGCAAGTGAGGTTTTTCCGGCCGCAAGTTGGTTATTAGAGCGCAAGTTCGCTCGAATCTTTCCCCAAGTTAAGGGTCATTTGAAGCAAGTTTGCTGTTGTAAGGAGTCTGTGATTTGTTGTCCCGCTGTGGTCCAGACAACTGATTATGGACTATGCACCATACGTATGTCAACTTTTTGGGAACAAATGCGGTACCTACGCGGTTCAGCGGGCCACATTGTGAGCCATGGAACTCCGTGAAATTTGATTATCGTACCCTGGTTTATCATTGGCTCGCAGAGGAATTGAATCCAGAGTTAACTGTCTGGACAAGGTTGAAAGGCATTCCAGTTCAGAAATCAATTATCGCACAGAAGACATTCATACATACCTTGAATTCGAAATTCGAATCATTGAAGGTGCTTTGCCACTGAGGATCAAACTTAGAGATCAAAATATCGAAGAAAAATCAAAATCCGACTCCATCACATGAAATGGCGACGAATAAATAGCTAAGGTAGAAGAAATCAAAACTTAATGCCCGAGGATTTTGGCCCACCACTGAAACAAAGGAAAACTCTTGATATCTAATCGCTGAAATAATGTCGGCCGGTCTAGCCATCTCGTTTTGCTCCGAAACCGCTCCCAGATCTTATTCAGAGATCTATGGCAACAACTGATGATGTGTATATCAGTATAGGAAAACACTTAACTTGCGGGAGGGGACACGAACTTGCGCACTTAAAAGTAACTTGCGACTGGAAAAATATAACTTGCGTTCATCGCATTTTTTGCACGCTATCACGCCCATACGTCTCCCTTCTTATTACCGCGCAGAAATTCATTTATCACTCCCATCTCGACACTGGGGAGCGAATATGCGGACAGGTAGGCGACATCGAATTCAGGGGCATAGAAGCCTTCATATACCTTGTAGTAATTTAGCCTAGCTTCATACGGAATCCTGGCTATGTACGATTTACAACCAGCGACAACTAATCTTTGAACAAGGACAGCAGTGCTCGTTCCTAGAGCTTGCCGGCGATCTATGAATGCATCAGCAATTGAACGACAGAAAAATCATGACTCTTACGGTGTACATGTAAGCTCCTTGCATAGGAGAGGCTGACAGCCGATAAACGTAGGTGAACAAGGGTGTCCTGTGGGTGACTCCCTAGTCGTCATCATCGATTCATGCCCTGGTTACAACGGCAATGACTATACATAGTTGTCAAAGTGATGAGGGTGTATCATAGGAATGCAACTTACTTGGAGAGACACCGGATTGGATTCCACCTGTCCCACTGCTCTGTAGGGACGCTTGACATCCATTCCTGAAGAATATGACACTAGAGTCACTCTGTCAGCTGCAAGACCGACGATTTGACAAACGAACACGTACCTCTTAACACTCGCTCTACGGATCACAGAGCACACGTCGCATAGTCATGTCACAAGAATGGCAACTCTCGTTTGGCAAAGCGTTCCAACGGTAGGATTGGGGAGAGTGCAAGCGCGGTTGGCTTGAGGATCCAGAATTTGAAACCCTTAACGAGTGGAAACGGGTGAGTCTTGTGGGTGATATGCGAACCATCATCTAGTCAAGCGCAGGAAAACACTGCGCGTCATCCCTCGCTGGTGTACCTACCTGCCCTCGTCAGCGTCCACCTTCCGTGCTCCATGCAGGCGGGAGAGCAATGGATCGTCTTAGTGAAAAATTCGAGCCACAGGCAGGATGGAATTGAGGACGCTATATTGTTGTTCAAGGAAAACTGGTCGAAAGGTGGATCGCGGGAACTTGGTTATGGGCTTCTCCCTTCAAAAGCTGGACACCGCGGCTCGTGGAGTTGATATTCTGGTCGGCAGTCTTCAAGAGAGCGCACACGTCAAAGTAGCATGAGGGCGAAAAGGAAAGAAGCGCACTTTGTTTGGTCTTTTGGGTACCAAACAACCTCGGCGCGTAGCGGGCCCGTGCGAAGCTGGTGTCCGGGGTACCTTCGATCAAGGGCCTTCTCGTTGCGGTCCCCACTTCTCTAGTCCATCTCGCTTCCTCAAACCTCCATTCCCGTATCGCCTCCAATTTATATTCTACAGCATGGATCTGCCACAAGTCTTCGTCCTGAAATCTGCAACACGGCTATCAGGAGATTATTCAGGAATGGAAACTTAGCGTCGTCGAGGTCGCAATTCATGTCCGGAACAATAATCATTAGAGCATAAATGTTTTGGGTTGCTTTAAAAATGAGTCATTTTTATTCTCTTGTAACGTTCTGACTTTGGAGAAGGGTTATCGTTTTGACTTGATGACGCCGGGTCAATGATACCCTAAGACGATGCTCTTCCTCATTCCACGTTCAGGTAAAGACCCGTATGTATATATCTTCACTCCCTCATCCCCTAGCTAACGTGTTCTTTCCTAGCAACTCTTTTCCCTATATGGTCTGATAATGGTCCTCGCATTATCAGATATAATGGCCTCCTCCCTCTGTATGGCTGCAGTTAACAGACTTCGATACTATCCTGCTGGACGTGATTTCTGACCTGTGTGACCCTCGATCCAAAGGACAACTACGTTCGACATCCAATAATCCTGACAAGTAAACGCTGGTCTGGATATCTCTTAACCGAGTACGTCACTCTTACCGTTCCCTGTTCTATCACTCACCTTGATATTCAGCTCCTTCACCTCAGCACCACCGTCTTCAAGGGACAAAGTCTCGAAAGCGCTGTCCCATGTTTCCTCAGCCTTATTGACTCGCGGCCTCACCTTGCTTAACAGAGAATGGGGCGCGTAGTCGAAACTTGCAGCTACTTTTTGATCTTTGAATCCGATGCGGGTCCCGAGGCTAGCGAAACAAAGCGAAGCAAAGGCAGCCTTGTTCAGTTATTCCCCTTATCCTATCTACTGGTTTCAACATGCTTCCCTCAACGGTATCCGTATAGACCCTCTTAGTCATTCTAGTAGCCACTTTGGTACCGGAGGATATCGTATTTTTCACAGCATCTGGTGTCCCAGGCCTTCTTTCGTCAGTTACCTTGTATGCGCACTGGCACTAGAACTAAAGGCGGATCCTCGGGAATTCATCGGTACGTAAATCGCTTCCTACTGTAGATTATGAAGTCTTGATAAAATATCCAGCAATCTATTCCTTCAACATTAGCCCCTCCGTGCAGAGGCTGTGAAGATTAGTCCCCGTCAATTGAAGAACTACCGACATCCGCTACGTGGGTAAGCCATGAAATGACGAAGGTCTGCATTACATTATACCGATTGGTAGTCAGGGTTTTATCGAAACTCGTGAGTGCATGCCGTGCGTGCCTTTCTATTTTACGGCAATTCATTGATAGAACCTTCGCGTAGAAAGATGGAACGTATACGCTTCCCTCGCTGCCCCAAAAGGCTGGTTCCCATAAAAATAGACCCAGTCTCATGAGAATCTGCGCGACGAATATTCAACATTGGCACCAGTTAGTGATGCGCAATTATCCTTCTATAGTGGAGATTTTCCTTCCGTTTCCTGCAGTCTGCACGTCTTTTCCGGGATTCGGAATAAACAAGGTATGACGCGGGATTGATTTATCAGACAGCGATAACTACGCTTTGTATACTGGACTGTACGTCGATATCCTTTGATTAAATTTCTGCTTTCTCCTCACGTGGAACGTTTTAGATTGTATCCGTGTAAATTGAAATCAGAGGTTAAGATTTCACTGGTATTCAGTGTCTATTTTTCTATTTGGCCATATGAATCCTGTTCTAGGCTCCGTACCGCCCTCTCCGCAAATGTTTATCACTGCACTACAGGTTTGATCAGTCCGCGATAAAAAAAGACCTGCAAAATGCCCTGCCGTCAAAAGCAGGTTCACGGATCTTCCTTTCTCAAGTCGGGCCGGCCCGGCTCGGTATACAAAGCAAGACGCGTCTTTCTCTCTGACAGTCGTAACCTACTCTGTCACCCTCTCTGACTCTTTCTCTGCAGCACAGTTCAAGTTTATATCCGAAACGCGACCATTAGAAAAACAACACGTCGAGGAGTGTAAGCTATAGCGCCTCAAATCTTAGGCCGTTGCCGAATCATGGAGCATCTATGAAGAAGAGAGTATGTCAGCTTTCTCGGCTGCAAGCATGGCTGCCCGGGCACGCATTTTGACTCAGGTGGACGAGATAGGGTATGTCCTTCCTTCACCTATATTCTTCTGATATAACTGACATGAATGTGACAGGGAAGTTGCAGTGTTGTTACGGAATTCTAACCTTGAAATTTCCATCTAGTACTCCCTGCTAAGGTTTCATGGAGCATACTGTTACAACGATCGCCCAGAGACCGGTATGTGTAAGTTGTATACATATCTTTGTGGACTAAAATCAAAAATACAGCGAGGTCTGGCTTTCAAGTTCGCTTTCGGGTTCGCGAGTAGTCAAACAAGCGCCTCTCGCATTATTTTCCGTTGATTCTGACGTACCATTTCCTCACATGACATCTTTTGTCTCAGGAACTAGTTATTCGAATTTCGCGTGTTTCATCAAATGTGGCTCCGACGTCCTGATCTTCTGCGATATGGAAACATAGCTAGCCTTGCGAGAAAATGGAATGATAACTTCGATTACACAATCAAATCTTATGGGCGTAATAGCGTGCAAAAAATGCGATGAACGCAAGTTATATTTTTTACAGTCGCAAGTTACTTGTAAGTGCGCAAGTTCGTGTCCCCTCCCGCAAGTTAAGTGTTTTCCTATACTGATATACACATCATCAGTTGTTGCCATAGATCTCTGAATAAGATCTGGGAGCGGTTTCGGAGCAAAACGAGATGGCTAGACCGGCCGACATTATTTCAGCGATTAGATATCCAGAGTTTTCCTTTGTTTCCGTGGTGGGCCAAAATCCTTGGGCATTTAAGTTTTGATTTCTTCTACCTTAGCTATTTATTCGTCGCCATTTCATGTGATGGAGTCGGATTTTTATTTGTCTTCGATATTTTGATCTCTAAGTTTGATCCTCAATAGCAAAGCACCTTCAATGATTCGAATTTCGAATTCAAGGTATGTATGAATGTCTTCTGTGCGATAATTGATTTCTGAACTGGAATGCCTTTCAACCTTGTCCAGACAGTTAACTCTGGATTCAATTGCTCTCTGAGCCAATGATAAACCGAGGTACGATAATCAAATTTCACGGAGTTCCATGGCTCACAATATGGCCCGCTGAACCGCGTAGGTACCGCATTCGTTCCCAAAAAGTTGGACATACGTACTGGTGCATAGTCCATAATCAGTTGTCTGGACCACAGCGGGACAACAAATCAGCAGACTCCTTACAACAGCAAAGTTGCTTCAAATGACCCTTAACTTGGGGAAAGATTCGAGCGAACTTGCGCACTAATAACCAACTTGCGGCCGGAAAAACCTTCACTTGCGCGGGCGTGAATTTTTGCACGCTATTACGCCCATAAAATCTGAAATAATTTAAGCTTGACAGCCGACGAAATTTATTATTCGTATTCTACTTATCAGATAAAGCGAGCCGGGGCAGTGTAACCTCTCCAGTCTACTTCCACCACAAAGTAACCGATCAATCTCTCTCGCACTGACTTCAATGGCTCGTTCTTCCCGCCTTGTTTGACAGGCAAATATTTGGTGTCAGCCCCCTTCATTCTGCACCCTATTGCGATGTTTTGTGTATGTTCCTATGCTCGACTATTTTAACACACCATGCAGTGGGCACCTTGGAAGCGAAACAGGTAACAGTATCTCTTCCACGTTTTATGACATGATATATAAGAAATATATACAAGGATCATGACGCCGCGTGTCAGAGCCAACGACAGTCTACCCTGCCTCTTCCAAATGGTATCTTAATATGGTCCTTTCACCACCTCATGACCGAAATACTGCATTTTCAACATGCCGACTAGGCTTCTATTAGACGACTATCCAGATCATCTACATAATTTAACTGAAGGTACGTCGTGTCCTATTGTCGGCGATACATGTTCGTGGTTATTGACCTAGTACCACCAGCTGAATTATATACATGATCACTTGAACATCGTCTAATCTTCACCGTGCCAGTGCTTTATAGCATTGCTTTCGGACTAGGTTCAGACATTGGCATACCTCCGACTTCTTTACCCTTCTTAGACCGTTGAGACATCGCCCAGTCGAGGAGGATACCAATGAATACGTCGATACTGCTGAAGGTGTTTTCTGCATGGATCACCACTCGAATGCGCTCCTGGCCTCTCGGTACCGCAGGGAAGGGAATCGCTTGAGCAGAATATCCTTTTGAATTGAGATATTCTGCAAGGCTCAGCGACTGGTTCGTGAGCAATGGGAATATTGGTGAGACGAGGGAGCCTTTGCTTCTGTCAGCGGCACACATTGCGAGGACAGATTTTGGAACGTCCTTCAGAGCCAGCCCTAAGTTTGGTAGCAAAGTACCGGCTGCGGTCGTGGACTTGTTTCCGAAGCTATGATGTAGGTTTTTAACATTGTATTCATAAATATTTGTACTGGATACTCACCCTGTCTCCTTCGGCCCCCGAAATAAATTCGAAGGTGCTTCTGATGGCTATGAGGTGGAAATGGGGCATCGACGTCGTGTAGATCAAAGGTCGAGCATAATTGATAAGGTACTTCCGGATAATTGGCGACGTGAGTATGACGGCTGACAATATCGTTTATTTCAGCCTTAAAACTCGGAGGAAAAAAGAGGCCTACCTCCTGTCAAGCCTCTGGCTTTTCCGAATGTATGAAGGACCGTGTCTACCTCGTTCTGCAATCCTAGCTGTTCCACATACCCCCGACCCATTAAGCCGTACAATCCGGTTGTATGCGCCTCATCCACAACCATATGACTGTATGCCCTGGGTATATACCGATGGAGAGTCTCAATGATCTGCGGTAAAGGAGAGAAGTCCCCATCCATGCTGTACAAGCTTTCCTACTGCAACAAAAACTGTAGACTTGCCAGCCAAAATCTCCGGACGATTCTTCAAGAGCTCGGCTATACAGCTCTCGAAAGACACGACAGAATTGTGGGAGAAGAGGTATACGTTACGCGTCCGTGCTGCAGCGATCCCATCCCTCACTGACGCGTGAATGAGTTCGTCGAAGACAATGATGTCCTCTGCCTGGGGGACACACCCGAAGAACGCGACGTTGGCATCGTAACCGGAGGTGAACATGAGAGCTGCGGGGGCGTTGAAGTGGGACTGGAGGTATTTCTCCGTCTCTGCATGACTTGGGCTGTTCCCGTTGAGCAGACGGGAACCCGTAGAGCCAAGCAGTTTTTTTGACGGGATGAGCGCATGAAGAACATTGTTGTTCAGCTGAGGATTGTTGGTGATGGAAAGGTAGTCGTTAGAGAAGAAGTCGGGAACGTCGGTGGAGACTGCTGGTCGAAGAAGATCGACCACTGGTATGCCAATTTTAACTCGCTTGGCCAGGCTCGTTTGCAGTGTTATTTCAAGTGGGGTATTCATGATGATGGGACAGCGCAACATTGATATTCTAGGCACCTTATTTATACTATAATCTCATCTTCTTTCAATCTTCTAGCAGGGGAAAATTCAAAATGCCGTGTTCACAGTAGCCATGGAAAACAGTCGGTTGGGGGCCAACATCTGATGGAGTACCTGTTGATCTATTAGAATGTGAAGACCTCCGCCATGAGCATTTTTCAATGTGATGAGAGGTATTCGGAGCACTGCCTGATCCGGTGAATATGCCCACCGTAAGTTCTACGCTGTTCTACGTCCGGATCTTCCCTTGATGGGGCTGGAGAAACGAGGTTAGTAGGAATCTGCACTGCGCGTATCCTGTAAACAATGATTATCAGGGTTTTGTTGATCGGGTTTCGTAGCTATTTTCTTTGCCATCCTTGGATGCCAGTTGTTTCGGGCCCTGAAATGGGACGATATCATGACAGAACTGTCGAGCGCAACGGTATACACGGTCTGCAGAGCACAAAAGAGGAGACCATTTTATAAATTGTGTCTTGATAGCTGTTCAAATACAAGCACATCCTATTCATTGCGATGGCTGATTCCAGCCATGTGATTGCTGCCATCTGCCAATTTCTTTCCGTCTAAATACGCAGAGTAGTTTATAGTACTTACATGATCTTTGGGTCTAAGTTTGGAAAGATCATGCCTGGCCATCAGTACCATGGCAAGTGCTGTGTTTACGATATTCATTCCATACCGCGCCTTCCATCTGCCATCTTTTTCTGGCAGGAACGAACTGCCAAGGCGGCATTTGTATTTAGATCCTGGATGAGCGCGAAGCCCGGATATTTTAGACGGCAAGTAGAATGAATTCAGTGGTTCTAGTTGCAACTGGCTCGACTCTATGTTGGCTTGGCTAAGGTTAGCGCTCCGGGCCTTATTCAGCGAAGTTATGCCTTGAACAATTAAATGGATGCCTATCCGTGGCTGACGGAGACAATTCAATTGAACATGCGATCCTAACCGGCTTTTGAACTAGATAGCGCAAAGTCTGCACTATTGTACATGCACAAGGCGCTCTTTGATTCACTGGCTGAGCCCAAATTCCATTCCAAGGCATAGAATGAAATCCCAAATTTATAGGCAATAGTATGCAATGTATCAGTTTACGAACCGAAAAGTATATTGTACATCAAAGAAGCTTTCGTTCAAATACAATCATGAATACAGAAAGAAGTGGAGTTGAATAAGTAAATTTATCAACATCCCAGGAGAGCGCAAATTATGCATTCAGACAGCATGCGACACGTTCTTATCACCATCATCCCCACCGGTATCACCCGAAAGACTGCGAGGTTTCGTATCAACGGCGAGTTCCTCAGTTGTACTTCCGAAGTCTGGTTGTCCACTAGTAGACGTGTGAGTCGTGGTTTGCATTCCAATCTTCATAGGTTGCATCGGATAGGCCATTGATGTTCCCGTGACTATGCTTGACTCATTGCGTCTCCTTCTTCGGACGGCACTTCTTGCGGCCCATTCGGGATTGGTCTGTGTTGTCTGGTCGAATGTGGATATAGCAACCTCAAGAGTAGATTGTAGGCAAACAAGAGTGATGATTAGGGTGGGGTAGATTGCCTATATATAACAGAAAATGAGCATTATGTTGATTGAATATTTCAATGGGAAGACTACCGTGAGCTGAGAAAGCATATCTACGACGATGTAGACCCCATTGTTCCCACAAATAAAGGCGATGATCGCAATAAACTGTCGTTTATTCAATTCCTCTGCAATTACTTGCTGCAAGAAGAGGACAGACGTACCCAGGTGGTAGAATAAAAAACGCCTGACTCGATAAGTATCGCCAAGATACCATTCTGCCTGCGAAATCTATCCATGAGGCCCTCTCCTGTGATTTCACGGATTATCTTGCTATGTGACCTTGTATTGAATTTAGAAGTTAGCCAAGTAACTTGAATAAAACTACACACGTACCAAGTACGATAAGCTACGAGAGACGTGGCCCAGACGTTCGTTACCAGCGTAAAGACGATGAAGGCGATTCCCCACGAACTTAGGAGTGGTGTTATTGAAGACACTGATCCCCGGCGGAGCAGTCGCAAATGCTCGGACAAGTCCCACGCCAGCCGCTTAAGAAAAACGGGAATTGTTAGCGTATGCATTTTTCAGGGTAAAAAATATCCACCCGCCGTGCCCGTAAGAAGTGTCGCCTGATGTTATTATCACCCAGGTCTTTCGACTCCATAAAGTCCAGGCTCTCCATATTACGATACTGTCGCCAATCACAATCTGCAATGAAAGTGTAAGCACGGACAGCGAGCTCATGGCAAATATCGTCTCCCTCACGTTGATCCCCTCCAAAGATAGCTGCGAATAAATTGTCGGGGAGGCATTGTCTTCAAAGACATCGCCACCTTCTGCGGCATGTTGCTTTAAAAAAGCAAAGTAGTTCTGTTGAAAGCTGACAGACATATGGGATGTCGCTACTGCCCACATGATAGAATTCAACACGGTCATAACCATGATGACCTTGGTCTTTTTCTTCTTCATTCTACACCTTGTTATGAGCGATCGTCATGATTAGGCCAAACATACTGCTCACAATAGCAGATACATCGAGGCAATGAAAAGGCTAGTGTATATTCCTATCATATCGGTGGTTAGCTGTACCGAGCTGCGAGAAGATTTAACGGCACCATTTAGAAGAATTTCGAGCCCTAAAGCAATGAAGTAGGCTGAGGGGAGTGATAATGCCATGACTAACAGGTTACGGTAGTCAGCAGGTATTAGGAGGACCCGAGCATACACGTTTGATCACAAAGTATAAGAAGGATATAGACCTCGGCACAAGAATGTCCTTTCTCAGGCTCAAGCGCTGTCATAAGGCTGACATCAGATCACCTCAGAGCGGACAATACGAGCTAAATTGAGTTGCGCCTAGCTCCGATTCCTCCGAACCATCTGGGTCATCTCAGGCTCAATTGGTGAGAGAGCCGGTGAATTAACAAGTACATAGATCACAGCAAACTCCAAGGTATAGTAAGTCAGATAGGCAACCGATATCACTGCATCGAAAAGCGCAATAACGCCGATAAGATGGTGGGCGGTTCTGCTCATATTCTTGCTCATATTAAGACATAAGATTTATCTGGGGAGAGATCATCATGCCATGCCTTCTGTAGAGATCAAAACCTGATACCGGAGGGATATCCACGGGGAAAACCAAAGGAACTGAACCAAGCACGGGAAGCCTCGGCCTAAGCGCTGCTTTCCCAAAAGAGGACTGCACAGCCACCTGCCACCTGCTTTCTACCATGATCTTTGCAAGATGCACGTTTTCCTTACATACCAACTCGTGTTCCAACTCTGTTTGTTACCAGGATGTCTTCACACCCTGAGACATCCACTGTCATAAACGCCACCATACGGATAGCGACTCAAGATGATGTCGAAGCAGCCGCTACAGTATTGATGCGCGCTTTTTCGAACGATCCAGCCATGAACTGGTGGGGATGCGTTAAAAGAGAAAACGAAGTAACGGACTGTAACTCACCAAGTCGTCCCATGGTACAGACAATGGAGTGTCTTCGGAAATTTCAGCGCTGCCTTGTCAAGATGACCATGCTTGTTGGTGGCATCGTTACGCTCGCTGTAGTACCGTCTAGTAACGAGAAGGAGGAGCGTGTTGTTGCGGTTTCCCTTTGGTTGAAGCCGGGACAAACACTTGATGTACCTCTGGGTACGCTGCTCAGGGCCGGAGCCTGGTCCGTTGCGATGGGTTGGGGTATACGCGGTATCAAAGTAGGTCACTTTGTCAGATTAATACTGAATCTGAATCAATTATTGACCGTAGCGTCTCTTTGTGGATTTTACGCCTCACGTAGAGGACACTCTCCTCAAAGCGTACAAAGCACGAAACATCGACCGTCTGGATTCATGGCATTTGCTCGAGGTCGTCGTAGATCCAGACTGGCAGGGAAAAGGTCGGTACTTGATTCCACTTGTTGCGGCCCATTGAATTAATTGGGCGATCTCAGGCATGTCTTCTCTTCTCATGAAGGAGGGATTCGCTCGCACTTCACCAAAATCCGTCCATCTCGAAGCGACAACCGTGAAGAATAGAGATATATACGCTCATTTTGGGTTTGAGGTAGAATTCATCCTGGTTTCGTTCGCCCCGACTGTGCTTACTATCCCATACTCAGATCGATGAGGAACATTTATTTGGAAAAGGCCAGGTCGATCATAAGGGACTGGCGGCCAAAGGTGCAGCCGCCACTGGTTATCCGGAATGGGTAATGACGAAGGTAATCTCGACGGTGTTCATGGCGATGTTGGCTCTGACATGTCTTTTTTTGTCAAGTGGGAAACATAGGTACATAGTTCTTCGTGTACTCGAGTTCACTTCAGTGTTTCACCTTATTTATCCAGCAAGCCGTAATGTTTTCCCTTGGACTTGGAAGCCTTGGTGCACTCACATCAGCGACCCCTCAAATGAATCTTCCATCATTGCTGTGTTGTCTTCGAGATTGAAGGATATTCTTGCTACGTAATAGTTTGTTTGACTCTGCATCATATATCATGCATCATGTTCCATTGATCAGGTATCAACTGCAGGTTGCAGCTTCGAATTCATAGACTTTACCAGAAGCTCAAATGAGCCGTCCTTCTCCGCCGACAGACTCAGAGAATGTTTTCTGCTAGGGAAGGTTTCTTATGTAGTTTTTTGCCTTCAGACGTTGAGGCGTCAATTAACGCCAGACGACTTAGAGTAGCTACAAAAAACCGCCCTATGTAGGACACCTGCTCTGAAATGGTATGAAAATGTCTTCATATGAAGAGTAGCAATCTCCGGGTCGTGTCCGGCTAGTTTTGGAGGAGCTGGAGCGAGACTCAGAAGTCAGACAATGCCAAAGGATGAGCGCAAGCCTCCAGCCTGTCAGGAGCCCTCCATAGCGATTGGGCGTTTCGGGGCAGGGTCGGATTAGGTTAGCTCGGGTCGCGGGCTATAAAGCTTACCCGGACATCACTGATGAAGACATAAATATATCGGTCATTCAAAAACTTTTGGGGGACTAAGTTTCTTGGACCGACGTAGTCGTAAGATTAGGTGAAACTGAGGTTCTACGCTCGTATGATCCAGAACCACACAGCAAAGGCTTTCATTCCTTTCTTGCAACGATACACTGCTGAGGCATTGTTCATTTCACATCTTTGAGAAGCGTACCCATTTGATCGTTTCCCGACTACCTTCCGAAGGTTCTCCCTCGAAACCATGTAACTCAAATGAACTGCAGACCAACCAGTTGAGGCAAAAGCCTGACCTTTGAAGGAGCTGCGCTCAGCAAGGACATCAGATGCACTGGTCCTGCTCGAATGGGAACATACTGATTAGCAGTGATAGGGGACAGGTTCCTGTACGTGGAGAGACGAAGATTTCGATATCAGTATTGTATATAACAGGTAAGATGCAGCGCTTGTTCCCGTTTAAGATACGAACAGGGATTAAGAAACGCCATGTACTTATTTCAAGTCATACGGACGAGACAACCCGCTGGTAATAGAAACGGGCTGATTGTAATGTGGATCAGCTGATCCTCTTTGGCCATGTTAGGAGAACTAGAACGAGGAGTTAAGCTGTAGTAACAGAGTTCCAGAGGGCACGAGAGTGATGTATGGAGGACCGAGACTAACCACACGGTGAATAAATTTATCTCATACGGACCTCACTCCCAGCATCTATGATATCTGCGAGAATCAATGCTCCGAGGTTCTCGATGTCATCACCATCTGCCAAACCTGAGCTTTTGACCCGTCCGGCACTGAATCCGATACACCTATTCAAAACAAGTGATGTTCACGGTTCTGGTTCCTCGATAGATATATCAGCTATCCGCGAACATGTTCTATAATTGAATTTTCCACACAGGGCATTCAAATTTCGGCCTCGACTATACATAGCACGTGCATGCTGGACGCTTGATTTATCCTGATGTGTCTTTGCATCGTCTCTACTGCTTGCACTAGAATGAACGACCGTGTCGACTAAGTCGACCTTGGAAAACAATAAAGACTGGTCCTTCTGATCGAGATGCAGGAAGTATCTTATTAGAAGCGTTATGTATATATAAAAAAGGAAGAAAAAGATGTACGAACCTGAATCAAGACGAGCGTTAACAATAAATGGAGCAACTTATATATATGCGCATTCGAAGATAACGGGCACTCACAAACGTACATGAATGCGCTGTGGAATAAACACATTAACAAGTGAAAGATACAACCAAGAGATAAGTACCAGCTCGCTCGCGTTTCCACCACCATCCTCAGCGGAATGGAACCGGATCTAGTTTCGTTGATACCGATGTTGGTTGGTGGATGTGAAGACAGAAATTCTGTCTTATGCTTCAGCCATGGTGAACGAGCAGACCATTAGGAGCACTTATCAATGCGAGAGTATGTTAGCTTCAAGAGAAAGTGGGCGCCTACACAGCGCCTCACACGGTTTATCTATAAATTATGGAGTTCAAGTAATTGTCGCATTTCAAATGTGCTGAGCTGTGAAGACATAAGACACGGAGAGAGAGGGTGAGAGATGGTAATGGCGGTCAGAGAGAAAGGCTCGTCTTTGTTTGCATGGGCCAGCCGAACCCGGAAAAGACAGTCCGCAACTGGGTGGTCATCCTTTGCTCTATTTTTTTTGCGGTATATCGTTCCTTTATTCATTAGTACAATCATCGTAGCGAAAAAAAAAGTCTACAAAATCGCCACGCAGTACCCTCACGACATAACACGGAACCTCAACACTAATCCGGCCCACAGATACTCTCCTTCCAAAACTGGGCATTATCTTTTCCCGGTACCGCAATCTGAAGTCGAAATTCCTCTAAGGCATTTCTTATCTTGATCACCATCGGCATACCTTCGAACCACTTCGTCTTGCACGTAACACACAGATCCCCAAGATGAGGAGAGAGTGTCAGATCGAGCACATGGTACACGCTCCCCCTTCCGAGGACGGGATCGAAGTCGTTGATGAGGCACCAGAGAAGTCCGGTCAGAGAACAGATGCTGATGTACTCGTTCTTCAACGACTGGGTTGAAGACGAACGTGCGCCTACGTGGGCAGTGAACGTTGTTTGGGATGTCAGATATACTAACATCCGTCGCCGGGGTGATAGCCGGGTGTGAGACCGACAGTGAGGGGTGAAGCACAGAGAAGGATGTGTACGCCCGCGCACGGGAACTTCTGCGAGAAGACAGCGTTCCAGGAGACAGTTAGATACTTCTGAAACTGGAAGGGCGGGCGCACAAAACCCTGACAGTTGACCCGAAGCAACAAGCTGATTGGCTCCGGGATTGTGATGGGCTGAGCAGAGCTAATGATCGCGTGCCCATTCGAGGTCGCGGAAGGAGATGCTGAAAGGTATGATATACAGTCAGCTAATGCTGAGAGCATGTGGATGAGGTGCCCGAAGAAAGGCGAGCAGAGGTGGAGGACCCGTATATCAAACTTCTCGATCGCAACGAATGCGGGATCGGCAGAACCGGAGGGGATGGCATGCACGACACGTCTAGACCATGGGATATACTCCGAACGAACAGCCCGTGCTTATCGTGGACCATTCATGCCACGACGAGCACACCAGAGAACGAGCGGTTTCTGATCCATGTGGGACCGTGTTGCAATTGACGAAACATTAAAAGAAGCGGATTCGGCGGGGGACGGCAGATGGGTGCATACAAAGTTGATCTTGTTCCAGTGCGAAGCCGGAAAAGTCAACCGTGTGTCGGAGGCAGGCCTACTTATGATTCAAGCATATGGATGATATCGGAGCGCGGACGTTGGACAAGGCCTGCCAATTGTTATTTTGTCAGAGGAGCAAGGCGAACAAGTTAGGAAAAGGGAGATGGATTATCGAGTATTAGGATTGCAGGAGGCTATTTCCGGCGCCGTCATTGAATACCTGAGTAACATTTACTATCAGCTAGATCATTACGGATTCCTAGGAACTACAATTGGAAAACCGATGACATCTGATTTTGGAACAAAGATGGCAGTCCACGTTCGTAGCACCTTTCAGTGATCTATGAATGTGTAAGCGATTGAATGGCGGCATATAATATAAAAATATCAAGAATCTTACTTCAGGGTTCCCCTTGCATAGGAGAGAAGAACGGATGATAAACATAGGTGGAGAAAGGCGTCCGGCTGCGGACTCCTTAGTCGTGGCCCTCGATTCGTGCAATGATTGCAAAAGCGAGGACTACACGTAGTTGTCAAAGCGATGAAGGTGTGCATACGAGTAAAACTTACTGGAAGGGACTTTAAATCGAATTCTACGGGATTCCACCCGACACGGAAGTTTGACATCCTGCAAGAATAGCATGAGCTGCGGAAAGTCAACGACTCAGCAAACGAGCACGATGGGTAGCTTGCTGCGGGAACGGCCCTTTCGACAGCCGAGGTAAGCTGCTTTGCATCTTTCGTGGAGACGATAAGCCGTGTAGAGTCACTGAGCGCCTATTCTAGGTGGCAGACGGAAGGGAGGTACGTTGTAGAGTCGGCGAATGCTGAGGGTGTGTACGCGAGGCGCCCGGAGAGTGTCAAGCAAAGTCGAGAAGAACTGTAAATCGGGCTTCTCAGGCGCAAGGCTTTTTGGAATACAACATTCGAGTGCCGGGGTGGCGGAGCCAGAGGAAATGACGGGCATAACACGCTCACACTCCCGAGCATGCTCCAAGGCAAATCCCGATCAAACAAAGAGCTAAGGATCATTGCAGATTACAGCATCGGCGTATGTGCAACAGGGACATGCGTGATCTATGCATATATATGCAGGAACGAGGATCGCTTGAGTTTTGAATCACATAGCACCGTGTTCGAATTGACGGAACATAAGTAGTTCCAGTGGGAGATGGCGAATGGCGACGCACAACGAGCGATCTTTCCTTGAGTGTGAGACTGGAAGTGTCGACTTGCGTGTGTTGGAGGGCGATGTTTGATTGGAGCTGATAGATGTTGTCCAGCTGGCGTTCGACGATATGTTGATCACATCGAGCCATACGTCCGCCATCGTGATTTGTGGGAAGAACTTAGCGGACAAAGGCGGCGATATCGGCGTTAGCAGTATAGGGAGGCTATTTCGATGTCGTTGTTAAAACCTGAGAGATAGTTCACTCGTTACAGATTCATGAGAACGTATGTTTGGAAAACCAGTAATCATGCAATTTTGAACAAAAGCAGCATTGCGCATTCCTAGCGTTTGCCAGTAAACTATGGTTCCCGCTGGTAGTCGTGGTCTTTGGTTCGTGCCTTGATTGGCAAAGGCGATGACTACACATAGTCCTCAACAGCGATGAACGGGTGTCATCGTCGAAATGAAACATACCCTGCAAGGGAGCCAGATCGAATTCTGCCAGGATTTCAACTCGGACATGGACGCTAGACCATCCTGTCAAGCATAGCTATGAGCTACGTAAAACGAACGACACTGACAAACGAGCTTGTACCGTACTCCTTCTTCCCGTCGTTTGTTTACCGTCTATATACCACCCATATACCACCTAGCACCTCCATACAGCATGCACGCAAAACATGAACGGCCACCTACTTCCGGCGAAGCAATGAGACGACGGAGCGGAGAGGGTGTGCGGACAGAGGAAGTGAGGACCAGGGAGTACATCGTTTAATAACGCGTGGAGAATGGCAGGTATTAGCCGTGATACTAGAATCGTCATCTATCAGGACGGAAACACTGCAATTCCGGGCTCACTGGTTTTCCTGCTCTCCTCGTCGTCCACCTTGCATGTCCCATGCCGGCCAGAAAGCAATACATTCCAGCCGGGGAAGCCATCGTATTGGTGCCCAAGGAAAGCCAGTCGAAGGATGGAGCACATAAACCTGATTACAGCTGAATAGCCTCGTTTCTCTCTTCAAGAGTTGGATACTGTGGTTTTCCAGTTCATAAACCGGCGTGCAGTCATCAAGAGGAATAGATGTCGCGGCAGCATGGAGGAGGAAAAAGAAGCGCACTTTGTTTGCTTCTCTAGGCGCCAAACAATCACGGCATGTAGCGGGCCGCTGCCCACTGGTGTCCCGGGTACCTTCAACGCGCTTTGATCAGGGGTTTTCTCGCAACTTCCTTTGCGCTCCCTACTTCAAAGCTTCACCGTTTTGTCTCGCTTCCCTAAGGTTCGATTCCCGTAAATTCGTTCAAATGAAGTTCTATAAACTTGACACGAGACCTCATCCCAAAATCAGCTGCCCAGCGATTGGAAAAACGATGATAGCAGTCCTAACTTCACTGACCCATCTCGCTTCATCAAAGTCCCATGTACCAGACACGAGTCGTAGTCCTAAAATCTGCAGTTCAGATATCAGATGGTGGTCAATGAATACAAGCCAAGTATCGTTACCTGCTGATCTGTACCAATCGAGCTCGCAATTCGCGTTGGGGGGTGCATAGCCCCATGGTGCAGCTGTAATATTTCGGGGGTGTGCATCGTTTTCATTCTTCATAATAACATTCTGACACTGGAGCAAGATTGTTGTTCCGATTTGATGATGCCGGTCCAGGATACATCTAACGAGACCTAGACGAGGCAGTTCCTCATTCGTGCGTGTTGGTGAACTGAAACCGATACTTAAATATATTCATCCTCTCATCCTCCAGCTACAGTGTTCTTCATACGGCAGCTCTTTCTTCTGTTTGATCCGATAAAGGTCCTCAGGCAGGTGTAGTCAGGCATTAGTTCCTCAGTCACCTTGTATGCGTACTGGAATCGGTGTCGGCCCGGACAAAGGTGTATACCCAGGCGTTCATTGGTCCGTGTAATGAAATGTATACTTATCCTCACTTTAGATTTTGAACTCTTCCGAGTCGTCTTTCACTGATGTAATTTCAACAATCAATTCCCATGTCCCATTTCGTCTGATATACATGATAGCTGTCAAGATAACCCTCCTGATCGATTGACGGACCACCAACATCAGCTATACGGGTAGGCCTGAAAATGAGCTAGGCCTGCGTCGTGTCCTGCAGCCTGGGAATGCCGGGAGATAACAGTAGAACATGTTACATCGAAACACGTGAGTACTAACCCTTCTCCCTCCCCTTGCACCAGAATCCATTGATTAAATCTTCGCATAGGTAGATCGAACGTACACCAGTCTGCCGCCACTGAAAGGCGCTTCCCTCTCAAAAACGACCCAATCTCATCAGAATCTGTGCAACGGATATTCGTTTTTACCACCAGCTAACGGCGGGAAGCTATTCTTCTCGCGTTGAGGCTCTCCTTCCATTTCCTACGATTTGGATGCTTTACCTGGATGCAGAATAAATAGTGTACCACCCCGAATTCATTTATCGCAGATGGCGACAATTAATGCTTGCCTGTACGTCGGTACCTTTTCATTTAATGACAGCCTCTTTGACTAGGAACATTTTAGATTGTATTTGTGTAAATTGCAAATATAAATCACGATATTTTCAAAGCCTCTACGCGCACCGTACACGACCATGAACCATAACCTGGGATGTCCTATTATCCCTCTTCACTGAAGTGGCTCTCGACCCTCAGATTAATCAACTCCTGATAACCCTGGCTACTTAACTTGCCCAGTTCTCCTGAGCGATGTTAGGCCGACGCCTCATAGCACGTCCATTCACGCCTTGGAGCGGAATATCATTTTCCGGAATCGAAGCATGGCATTTAGGCTTAAAGCTGGCTTCATACTCAGCATAAAAAATGTCAGAATATCCCCTGTGCGAAGAAGAAAAATTTCCATTTTTCCTGCCACTGGTAAAACTGGAATGACAAAGGTTAGGCTCATTATACGTTTACATAGGACGATCCAAAACGTGCTATTACTCAAACCCAGATTGTCAGCAGACGGATTCGAATCGTCCAGTCCTACTTCTCGAATTGTAACCCCTCATCCAAGCGGTCGACACATTTAATTCTCAATGATTTCACAAAGACTACTCGTACGTAGTCTTCATCTAGACTGACGTTTCAAATCCTAATGTTATCCACATCGATTGGCCGAACTAGAATCTAAGCAAATTCATCTCTGAATGATAATGCCCACACTCGCATTACGGACTACATCGACAAGATCCCGTGGAACTTGTGAAACTGAGATAAAAATGTACTTGAAATTCTATACCGTTTAGTGGACTCGAAAATGATCAGGAGCATTTTCCACGTAGCTATATCGGCATACTCTGTGTATTTAGTCAAAGCATCCAATCGGCGGGTATGAAGAGATACATCAGCAGGGATGAGAATATTCAACGACTTAGGAGGCATCCGTGTAACTTGGGAAAAGGAATTTATGAAGTCAAACGAACAAAAATATTTAGTATACGTGGCTAGCGAAAATACTTCATCCAGAAAAACGGGCATCCAGAATCGAACCATAGAGAACCTTTTCCCGCTTAAGGTGACGTTGAACTAGATTGACATGCATAGCATTGGAAGTGACAGTACCCGTACGAAATGCACTGAAGTGATCGTATAATAACATCAGTGGCGCCACTAAGCACAACGAGTCTTCCACACTAACTTCCAAGTATGCAATTGAGGCAGGGACCAATTAGACGAGAGATAAAAAAAAAGGATAAGAGTATTGTCATAATTTCCAATGAACGGATTCGAACCATCACATTGACAGGGATAAACTAATGAACCAACAAGACGTATGAAAAATAGGCCATGTCGGGCAAATGGGAGCGATATCCGAGATTATGGGATGGGCTTAGTATAAGGAAAATACAATGCAAGTCTTGTAAAAGCGACATGATAGAGGGAGGATATTGAGGTTTACTCAAAGTGACAACATGAAGGCTGAATTTCTCCATGCCTCCCTACAGTTTTCCTACTGTCTACTTTCAGGTCTGGAGCGGACTGGGGCAGAAAGAGTTGCGCTTCCGAAAGATATAGTACTGCAAAGTCGGTGGATAAATGCGTGGTGCATGGAGTAACAGTGAAAGTGGAGGTTTACGAGAGACCAGGGTCCTGAGGGGAAATTCAGCGTGGTCACCTGCGTGGTACCACGCGTGCGTGGCACGTGGCCACGCACGCCACGCAAGTCATTAGTTGAACTTGAGTTGAACTTGCCTTGACAGTACATATATACTGTGTGATGATAAGAATGTTTCGCTAAACATATCCTTTTATCTATTTCTCATTCATTGGTAAATTGTCTGCAACAAATAGACCTTTGTTCGAGAATATTTCAAAGCTTAATTTCTGCCAATTAGAGTTTTTAAACCTTCAAATCTCGATTTCTAGGTACTATTGTATCTTCCATGAGTGTATTTAGGATTATAAGAAAGTTAAATATCAAACATTGGGTACCCTCTCATTTTGCCAGCTTGAAGTTATTAATCCAAAGATGTCGCGACACTATGAACATCAATTCAACATTGCCTTCGTATCAATGGTTCCTTGATTGCTCCAATACCACCAAAATGATCATTTAATTTCCACAAGAACAAACTTTCCTTAAGTACGGATATACCTTGGACCACGCAACCAACCACGCTTGCGTACCACGCAGCCATGCAACCACGCAGCCACGCAGCCACACCACGCAGGCTGACCATGCACAGCCATGCTGACTAACCACGCAACTACGCAGGCACCACACAGGCTTCGCATAGAGACCACGCGAGCCCATATAAGGTTACCCTCAGAAAGTGCATCCTTCGTATAATTGCCTCTTAATTGGCTTGTTTCTTCGGTGTCATTCACATCAAATATAGAAATCCGTGTTCCTTCTCATGTTGTCCTCTTCACTGCGAACCCCACATTGTGTACCTTATTACTTCTAGCTTAGCAGACCACCTCTAAGGCCTTTTTATACTGTTAGGATACTCGTAAAATTATTTACTTCAGCTACAATACTTTTGATGTTCTTAAACTTCGCAATCCAGTTCGAAATTTTCATGATATTGACCATATTTTGAAGCGTTTCGATATCCCACCAAAGCTGTCATATTTAAATCTTACAGGTATTGACAATCCAGCTGATTCTACGCAAGGATTGACAGAAAAGAACGGAACGCGTCGACTCTGGAGTCGCGTTTGATGGACTTGATCAACTTTTGATGGGAGTCCCGCAATTTGTCAACCACGCTGACGACCACGCAACCACGCACCACGCAGCCATGCAGCCACGCAGAATTCTTCTTGCCCGGGTCCTGAAATTGACGGTGTTGATACAGATCCTCAAGAGCTCTAGGGTCCTGAATGCCTTTGAGATTGTGATCGGAGATGGGGTGCGAACCCCATCTCGAAAAGTTTTACTACTGTCTGATATAATGAGCACCTATATCCAGAATCAGAGCCATCGCATATTTCGCACATTATCCAGAGAAATAGAGAACAAATATATAGTTACCAATCATTCGATTAACACAGAAAAAGATGCTTATTCAGATCGCACACATTTCTATGCTTGCCATTGGCGATGAACAAGAGCCTCCCGCCTATCCTGACTACGAATGAAGCCGAATTTGACATTCTCAATTCCGGTGTTGGCGGGTGAGCGCGAAGAAATATGGGCTGCGTTCTCTGGCGAATGAGCGCTGAGCAGGGACTAACACAGAGGATGTCGTTCTTTGCCACGTGGGTAACGTCCAATATGCATACCAGGCACCATGGTCACGTCATAAACCCAGTTTCCTTCCATGATATGGAAGTGACAGCATCGAACTACCCGATGATGGCACTTGGAATATTACATCGGCCGTATTCTGTTGTACATTCTTCCAAGCAAAATAATGTACTATGAAAGGCGGATAAAAGAAATGCGAGAACGCCAAAAAATCTGTTATTAGTCTCGGCAAGTCATCTCGGGAAACCTTATCGTCAACCCACGCAAACGCTCCTGGCGAAACTGCGCCTTGATCTTCTCCCAATACCACATCGTTCCGGGAACCTTTCCCTGTCATGACCATCCTTAGCCCCCCCCCCCCCTTTTTCCTTGCATGTAATCTCCAAGTCGTCGAGATAGGGAAGAAGTTCAGAGTCAAGTACAATCGTACATGCTCCCATTGCTTACAACCAGGGGAGGCGAGTGATGTGTCAAATCGAGCGCACCATACACGCTCTCACGCCTAACGTCGGGATCCAAGCGGTTCGTGGAGGACGAGAGGAGCATGGTGAGAGAACGAGCGCTGACGCAGGTATTGAAGATGATCATGCGCAGACACAGAATGTGATGGTTGTTCAGGATATCAACATCAGTAGCCGGAATGATAACGGGGGGTGAAGCAGCGGAAGGATATGTACGCCAGGATACGGGTACTTCGGTGAGGAGAAAGTATTAGAGGAGCTTGCTTGTTTTTTCCGAACTGGGCGGGTTGCTACGGATAAAGCCCCGACAGCCGACGCGAAGAAGTGAACTACTTGTATGTTGTAGAGTTGGCTAATGCGAAGGGTACGGATAATAAAGGCGAGCAGAATCAAGAAGACACGTAAATTAGGCTTCTCCAGCGCAAGATCGTATGCCAGAACACTGCCTCCGAACACCGGAGCGACTGATCAAGTAGGGATGATATGCATGACACATCTAGACTCCCGAGTATGCTCCAATGCGAATCCCAACTATACAAAGAGCTCATGAACATTGCATACGCCACGACACGCACACCCATGAGAACGAGCGTTGTCTGACTTCTGAACGGCATAGAGCCTTGTTCCAATTCGAAGGATAGTACTTCCAGCGGGAGGCGGCGGAATTGACATGTGCAGACTCGGGCGATTTCTGATTTGGGCTGATGGATGCCAGGATTGGATGAGGCTGCTGATGCGGATCATATCGTGCCATATGTCTGCCATCGTGATTTTGTCGAAAGAGATGGGCGAGCATACCATGAAAAGGAGGTGATATCGACATTAGGAGGGTATGAGGGTATTTGTGTGGGTTCATAGCCGGACGTTATATACTTGAGAAGGAGTTAGCTAGATCATTACAGAATCCTGGCGACGTACGATTGCCACACCAGCGATGTGTAATTTTTTGAGAAAGACAGAACTACGCACTCCAAGCGCATTGCAGAGATTTAGGTATGGTGCATCTGTACGAGCTTCTGAGCTGCAGCATACATAGCATAAAAAGTCAAGAATCTTACGCTTTAAGTTCTCTTGCAAGGGAGAAATGAATGGCCTTATCGTTCTAAATCTCCTCTCTCTCTCTCTGTGGATACTGCACTGCCATTAATCAAGTTCGTAAACCGTTTGGGAGTCCTCGATGGACCACAGATTTCGACGCAGAAGTCATAGTCCTGAGGGCAAAAGGGAAAGAAGCACACTTTGTTTGTTCCTCTGGGTGCCAAACAAACCCGGCGCGTAGCTGGCCCGTGCGCACTTGGTGTCCGGGGTACCTCCAACCCGCTTCGATCAAGGGTTTTCTCGTAACTTCCCTTCATTGCCCCCACTTCACTCATCTTTCTCGCTTTCCGAAACCCGATTCCTTTAATTTTTTTGAATGGAAAGTCAGCCACCTAATGCGAGTCTAAATCGGCAGCCCAGCTATCAGAAGACAATCCTTGATTGAAGGCCGTTACCTGGTGATCTGTACAATTCAGTTCGCAATTCGCGTCGGGATGGATGCAGGTATGGGCTTGACTTTTCAGGGGCTTTGACGATGGTGTGCCATTCTCATTCTTCATTATACCGTTCTGATGCTGGAAAAGGGTTATTATTCCGATTCGATGAAGCCGGCCCAGGATACATCTCACGAGACTTAGACGATGCGTATACTTATTCCACGTTCAGTTTTTATTTAAAGACCGGTGATTATATATCTTTGCTCTCTCCTCCTCTAGCTAACATGCTCTTTCCGCAGTACCTCTTTCATGGTTCTCGCAATACCAGATGTGACGACTTAGTCCCTCTGTATGTCTGCAGCTAGTGGATTTCGATATTGTCGATGTTCCCGTTCGTGGTGTTTGCCATGATTATTGGTGGGTTCGACGCTCGACTCGAAGGACAGCTACGTTTGACATCAATAATCCTGGTGAAGAAAGGTTCGTCTGGATATCTATTATGTAACCAAGTACGTCGCTTTCACTATTACCGGTTCAATGACCAACATTGGATCTCAGGCTCTCCAATTTGGAAGAAAGTGATGGTCTTCCTATGTGGGTGTTCCGACTCTTAGCCGGGCTTCTACCTCACAAGGCGTGCAGACAACTATATCAACAATCTATTCCTGCGGACCATGGCAGATCACTGTCAAGATAACGCCTCCCAATCGATTGCCGGACCACGATCAGCTATGCAGCTAAGCCAGAAAACGACAAAAGCCATGTAACTTCGGAGTGCGGGGAAATAATAATAGGTCGAGTTACATCGAAACTCGTGAGTGCATACAGTTCTCTTTGCACAATAATTCATTACTAAATTTTCGTGTAGACAGATGGAGCGTACGCCAGTCCGCTGCCACCGAAAGACTAGTCGTTATCCAAACTTCGACATAAAATCAATGGTGTACTACCTGGAACACATTTATCACGTATGGTGCTAACCGTGCATTGATGTACTTGTCTATATGTCAGTATCCTTTCGTCTAACGCCTGATTCTTTGACTCATATGGAACATTACAGATTGTATTCGTGTATATTTTGATCAAAAATACGCCCTGTATGAGACCGTGAACCAGAGCTAGCATGCATTGTCTATGTTCGCTGCTCGATGGTATGGAATCCTGTACTTGGGACGGTACCCCCCTCCGGAAATGTTTATCAACAAACTTGGAGCTCCGGTTGACCGCTATGAGGGTTCCATGTAACGCTTGCGGTCCTGCTCTTCGCATCGAAATGTATCCTCAATATTATCCGCTGGAGGCATCAATCTATCTGTTCCTACCTTCATTTCGCTTCGTTGTGTTACACTTCAGTTCAGGACGTCTTTCAACATCGAAGAGTCAAGCCCGCTTTACCTTTGCTGACACCATAAGCACCATGAAGATGGCGAGGAAGACGACAGCGGCGTGCATCTCCGACGCCGAGAAGAGCGGATCACCGTCACACGAGTTTGTTTTCACATTCTTGATGCAAAGATAGATAAGTGAGCGATCATAAATACGATAGATGCATGGCTGATGACACTATTGTACATAATTACACTTGCGCAAAGAAAGCTATTAGCCTATTTCAACAAAGTAATATTTTATCATAGACTTGTGCATCATGAAAGGGCGAAAGATTTTGATGCTGATCAAGATCTTCCATTCGGATCACCGACACCTTCTCAAACTTCCCATCGTATCGCTGCCGCCCTACTACCCAATGCTCTGGGACTTCGTACGCAGAAGTTGGGTTGCCTATGAATGAATACGAGCCATCAGGTATCGGGTATGCGTGATCAGCCACGATCTTGAAAGTATGGGGTGTCCCGTTGCTATCTTTAACCACAAGCTCGCCCCGCCGATGCTTCAATTTATTGGATGCCGTTGCCAGTCCCAGTACTTCGGCTAACTTGATACATGGTCCCTCACAGCAGTCGGCACCTGCGTCCCCGGTCCCTAGGACCCCCGATTCCAAAATAGAGCAGCTTTTCGGTAGATCTTCCATCGCCATTACCTGGTTCCATGACGGTCGCCAACGTTTGTGTCCGTCCCCAGGCTCAGGGTAGAAAAAGAGAAAATCAGTGTGATGCCGCACAGACATCACGTCTACGAGCGCTCCCCAGGCATCTTCTTCGGATTGAGTCTCGTGGTATAATGGGATAGACTTCAGGGAGAGAAGATATGCCAAGCCTGCGACTCTATCCAGGGGCTTCGTTGATACGCAAGTGTTTATCAATGATGCCCCCACGTACTTTTCCCGTCCAGCTCCAGGTGGCATGTCCCGCAATGATATACTCAACACTGACCTCCTGTAGCGTCCATGCACGCCTGAACCAACACCGATCACTTTCCAAGTCCTCCGCCTTCAAACAAAATGGTCGACCAAGCCCACTGAGGTAATACACCATCATCCTCTCGGTATTGCGATAGATAGCTCCAATGGTGGGAACGTCAACCTTCCACTCTTCTCTGCGTAGATCCTCCCTCTGCCCACCCGCTTGCCTCAAACACAAAACATCTAACCACACATACTCCGCTCCAAGGTTCAGCATCTCGATCCGGATGAGATTGAGGTCTGCATCTTTGGGAATCGGCACAGGCCATTCATAGCCATTGATGGGTGTCCACACATCCTTGCGCTCCTCGTCAGACACCCATGCATGCGATATTGCACACAGCCGTGGTTCATCGGCGACCCATAATGGCACCACCCGATTGGCATACAGATCCCAAACGCGCCGGGGTGGAGCTCTCCGTTCGGAAACCCTGTTATTGATGATCATATTTTTTCGCATTTTGCGATCCCGATTAGACGCTTTATAGATGTGTTTGAAAGATGTCAAGTCGCCCCAATACGGACGCAAAATAGCATAGACATTGCCAAAGTCATAATTGTGTGAGATGAAGGATTCGAGAGCGGAGCGCAAGATGAAGTCATCTAGAGTATACAATGTCTTGAGTTTTGCATTGAGCTCCTTCAAGATACCATTGATACCCAGGTCGACGCAGGGAGTATTGGCCAAAGCAGATCGTATGACAAGCTTTCTACCAGTGTGGGACCGTTGTTTCGGCACTGGAATGTTTGATTCTGCTTGACCGGTCTCAGTGAGGGCGGAGAGGGTGACCTTGGGGAGTTTCTCATAATTTTCCATTGTTAAATCCCTCTGGAATATGTTATTACTCGCCTTTCTATACATACATTGAAGTGCTTACCAATTCAGCCGACTTACTCCCCCCACCCAACCATTCCTCCTCCTTCGTCCGTCCTAAGTAGTAGCGGAATAAGAATAGCAAGTATCCAAAGTCAGACAACAATACATACCCTCGACGATGTGAATTGGCGTCAAGATGTCGTGCATACAGATAGTGTTACTCGTGCTGTTCTCGCGGTAAGAAGGAAGCTATGCAGAGTAGCGCCCGGACCATCAACCTGTGCTACAGCTTTCCATCAGCCGCAATGCCGAAGGATCCACGGTAAAGCATCATGAACAATCAAATACCTGTGATCTTCCTCTCTGTACTGGCGGTGACTGGAGTAATCAACATGTCAGGGAGAAAAACGACCCATGTCTTCCTCAAAACTTCCTTGTATGTGGGGACTGGTTCGTTCGCTCGCTGAGCAAATAAACGTAGGAAAAACAATCAGTTATCTGACATTTATGCGTCTGTCGCTCGCTAGAGGTGCACCTGCACCCACGACAATCATTCGTCGATGGATTCGAAAAGACGAGCATCGAAAACTTACCAGAGGGTGACTACTTGGCCCTTTAATCTTGTCTTCAGAATTTCTCATGCTTCCAATATGCTACCAACTAAGTTCAAGAATTAGATAGCCAGGACCATAGCCTTGCCATGCCGTCGAAGAGATATTATCCAGCGTATCAAAAGCCTTAGAACGTCTCCTGTCATGTCATAATTAATATTCGAATATCGTATCCGCTTGATATCGCAAATTTATGTGCTCAAGGAGTACCTTGTGCACCTCGTTGAGGTCGCCGGGCAACAGATTGTTTGAAATTCAAGCTCACATTGTCACCAAGCCACAGCACTGATCATTAGCTGGAGTTCTTTGCATTGCCCCTCTTATATCCTCCTGCCGGCCGCCAGAACATGCGCCTCTGTGACACATTCGTGCTTTCAGTGCAAGCCGAGGACCAATAATATCCAGTGCCTGTAGCTCTGAAAATGCGAGATTACCTTGATGTGGCGACGCCAAAACACAGAGACACCCTTGTCTCAATTGTACTATCAATACACAAGTTAGCGGTGGAACGACTAAGATGGACTACACCCACTACCGAGCGTGAAAATAGACTGTGTCGCATGTGTCTGGCTGACGTCGAGACCCCCGAACACGTATTATTTCGTTGCATCGGTGACGACGAACTGGGGACACATGAAGAGAAGGCAATCGTGGTGAGAAAGTTGCAAGACTTATGCAAGAGCTTCTGGAGTGATCTCGCTCACATGGCTCTGCCCTCCGCACCCCGCGAGGATACAGCACTACTGAAAGCTTTGGTGGCCCATCGTCAATCTATCGAGGTAACTGCGAAATATTGCTACCGAGTGCCGAAAAACGTGTATAAGCTACCGATGCACCGACCTTAATGAGGGACTGCAGATAGCAGTCCTGGAGGCCTTCAACTGGACCCTAGGTTCTACCCAGCAACTTAAAGTTGACCGTGAGCTCGGGCTTGGGTTCGGTTGGGGGTATCAGTGGATAACTAAGTACATGAATGTGATGCTAGAGTGTTAGTGTACCAATCATGTATTATCTACACCCGGCGTTCCCAGTTGGACCGTGCCGTGTAATACTACCTACCTACCTACCTACACAAAACCTTATTGTCAACCCACGCAAACTCTCCTTCAGAAATTCCGCCCTCATCTTCTCCCAGTACGAATGGCCTGGTGGCCAAATTCCTCAACGCATTCCTCGTCTCGACCATCCTCGGCATCTCCTCGAACCAACCCGTCTTGTGCGTGATACGCAAGGCCTCGGGATGTAGAAGAATCGTTCAATTGAGCATATCGTAGACGCTCTGGTTGCTTATGAACAGATTTAAGCACAGGAATTCGACGAGAGAACGAGTGCTGATGGTGCCGTGTGCCCAGCTGATTGTGGGTCGATCACAGGGTCGGTAACACATTTTTAGGGTGTGAAGGATGGGGAAGGGAATGTATGCGAGGCTTTTAGAGATGCCGAGCAAGTTATAGGTGTTGGGTAGGGCGAGGAGAATTCTGCGTTTGCGTGCTGCGTGCTTGCGTTTGCTTGCGTTTTGTTCGCGTTCATTTGCGTTTCGGGTCCGTTCATTTGCGTTTCCATCATTGCGTGTATATGGTGTCATGTGCGTGCCATTATCTACGAATGCGAGTGCTATTTAATGTTCTTGAGTCCTTCGAATATATCTTAATTTTCGGATGAACATAGCATGTCAGAACAATGTTATATATACTTAATGGAGGTAATTCAGTTGTTTCAGACACAACATACATCAAATAAGTTACATACAAGGTGCCCCAGATACACAATTAATCGACTGCAGGCCTAACGCAAGTCCCATCCTATGAACGCAATGCATCAACTTCGTGATGGTTGCGTCTGAATCATTAACGCACGCGTTCACTTGATTTACGCATGCGTTCACATGGTAACGCAAGCGTTTTGAACATTCTCGCAAGCGTTTAAATATTCACGCAAATGCACAGGCAGCCCACGCACGTCAAGAGACAAAAACGCATGCGTTACAAGGTTTGAACGCAAGTGTGACATACTCGTCACATTTGCGTTTCACTGGAGTTGAACTTGCCCAACATGCTTTTCGTCCTTCCGTGGCCTCGTATTGATTTATTTGGCATATCTTTTACTATAAAATACCTTAAAATCGTCTAAACTTCCCAATCAATATCCATAATAATGGTTTAACGGTGCCTTCAAGGCATTCCCTTACCTACGAGGCTACCATTTCTGTGATAAGAAACAGTACAGTATTCTAGTGTCTACAAGTGAGAATCATTGCTCTCTGGTTGTCTTCAGCTTCGCTTAGCAGGTCGGCAATGATTTTCGTTAGTATCAGCTGTTCCCGAGTCATCCGATTTGGTAGGTATATCAGCCTCAGCCCGACGCTTTCCGGTACCATTTGACAGCATTCTGGGTCATGGATGTGTGGCTTTTTGCACTTGTTCTCTTTCCTCCTCCTTCTCTTGTTCCATCTTATGCCACTGCTCCAGCTCCTCTTTGTCAAAAATCCTTGGAATCGGAATCTGCTTCCAGCAGCCAGGTGCCTATCGCACGCCTAATTTTTTTCTGTTAATTGGAAGCATTAGGGAGACATCTTTCAAGTACATCACTGGGACTTACAAGGATACCCATGAAATTTTTTGAGGCAAGATCTGTGCAAGAACTCGTGGTTCACAAGTGGGCGGAAACTTGAACTAATGTTCACGGCAATTGCGTTAGCAATGCTGTACTAACTACAAGGATTTTACACTACTAGAATACATAGAATGTACTAGAATGTATGACGGTATCACTGATAAAATGAGTGCATCCGGGGAATATGGGGAGAATGAGCGAGAATATTCATGCAAGCTCCGACATCTAAAAATAGCGATCCGTATTCTAACAAGATCTCAAGTTGATGGGCTCCCGCTGCGGCATGAGAGACTGGGTTGTGTCATGCCGCGATGCGTCTGCAGGTGAAACGCAAGGATGTCACACACGCAAACGCAAACGCATTTCAACTAACGCAACTGACTATTTAGGAAACGCATGCGTTCGAACGCAAATGCAAACGCAGGAGCGATAACGCAAGGCAACGCATCCACGCATATGGGTAACGCAGAATTCACCGTGCCCTGTTGGGTAGCTTGAAGTGGGAATGGCCGTTTCGATAGTCGAGGTGAGCTGGTTTGCACCTTTGGGAGATGCGATATATTCTACGTGGCGGATGGAGGGGAGATACTTTGTAGAGTCGACCTGTGCGAAAGGTATGTACGCGAGGCACCCGGAGAGTTTCAAGCAGAGCCGAGAAGATCCATAAATCTGGCTTCTCGGGCGCAAGGTTTGTCGGACTACAACATTCGAATGCTGGGGTGGCAGAGACAGAAGGAATGACGGGCATAACACGCCCACACTCCCGAGTATGCTCCAACGCAAATCCCAACCAAAGAGCTGATGCGCATTGCAGACCACAGCATCTGTTTATGTGCAACAAGGACATGCCGTGATCTACGCATATACGTGGAACAAGGATCGCTTGATTTTTGGATCACATAGCGCTGTGTTCGAATTAACGGAACATTAACATAAGCTGCTTCAGTGGGAGATGACGGATGGCGGCGCACAACGAGCAATCTTTTCTCAAGTGTGAGCCTTGTAAAGGATCTGCCACGGGACGGGTCTTCAACCCAAGACTGAGTACGATTCGGGCGTATATTGCCAAGGTAGATAGAGTCAAAGACACGACATAGTGGTAGAAATCCTAGATGAAGTTGTGAAAAAGGCCAAAAAACGGCGCATACATAGTCATCCAAAGGAGTAGGTAAATAAAGATAAATGAATGATGTAATTATTGGTCCATAGAAATTCGCATCCCTTACAGTGAGACTGGAACTGTCGACTTGGGTGTGTTGGCAGGCGATGTCTGATTGGAGCTGATGGATGCTGTCCAGCCCGTGTTGGATGAGGCTGCCGAGGTTGATCACATCGGGCCACATATCTGACATCGTGATTTTGTGGAAAGAACTTGGCAAACAAAGGCGGCGATATCGGCATTAGAGGTATAGGGAGGCTATTTCGACGTCGTCGCTAAAACCTGAGAGAAAGTTAGGACATTCGTTATAGATTCATGGGAACGTACTTTTGGAAAACTAGTGACAAGGTAATTCTGAAGAGCAACAGCGCGCATCCTAGCGTTTCCCAGTGAACTATCGTTTCCGGTGGTAGTCGTAGTCTTTGATCCGTGGCTTGATTGCAAAGGCGATGACTACACAAAGTCGTCAATGCGATGATGGTTGCATTGTAGAAATGAGACTTACTTGAAGGGACGCCAGATCCGAATTCTGCCGAATTCAATTCGACATGGACGCTAGACATCCTGCAAGCATGTTAAGAATCAGGGTATTTCGAGCTAATACACGAAGTAATGAATACTCGAGTAAAACCTAAGTTGAGAGCGAGGATGTCCGAAAGCCGAGTTCCAACCACCAAGAGGGATCCGTAAGAGTGTTAACAAGCGCTAGGCGTAGTTAACGGGGCGTCAGCAAGCGCTAGGCGTAACTAACAGGGTTTCCGAAAAGCGCTAGGCGTAGTCGGGAAGCAATTGATTGGCAAGCGCTTGGCGTAACCGATCAGAGATGCTTAGTTCACACAGTTAAGTGGACTTCGAAGATGAGTAAAATAGCTTAAGATTCTAATACAAGGACAAGTACCGTATCTATATACCAATATTAAGGGATTGAGTCATTATTATTCTAGTATTAGCAAGAAGAAGAGAGAAAGTAAGAGAAAGTAAGAGAAATTACTAGTAAGCCGAGGTCAAGACCGAGAAGGCCGAGAGCAGGCATGTGGTGACTCATGTATAGACCGAAAAAGACACGAGATCCATAACAAAGCAAAGTATGAGCTGCGCAAAGCGAACAAAATGACAAACGAGCTCGTACCTCTTTCTTCCCGTCGTTCGTTTACCGTGTACATGCCACCAAAACGTCCATACCTAAAGCACAGTTCGAGCATCACGGAAAAACACGAAAGGTCATCCTACTTCCGGCGAAGCAGTGAGGCAGTGGGTGTGGAGAGGGCGTGGCCGGAAGTGGCAATGAGGACCAGGTGAGTACATCCCTTAACGCGTGGAAAGACGAGGATCTTCTGCGTGATACAGGGATCTTCGTCTAGTCAGGAGCGGGAACACATTGCAATTCTGCCCTTGCTGGTGTACCAGTACTGCTCGTGTCCACCTTGCGTGCTCCGTGCTTGCCGGGAAGCAATACGTGGCTTCTGCAGAATAATACGACTCCCACGCAGCTCAGAGTGCCATGGAGATCACCATACTCGTGTTCAAGGAAACCGGTCGAAAGGGAGAATGTGGGAACTTGGTTATGGCAGATTAGCCTCGCCGCTCTTCAAAACTAGTTACCGGGGTTCGTCCAGTTCGTAAACCAAGGTTATGTATGTGACAGTTGTTCAGGATATCGGTGTCCATATCCAGGATGATGGTGGGGCGTGAGATATGCTCGTTGGCACCAGGGTACTTCGATGCGAAGACAGCGTTCTAGGAGCTTACTTGGTACATCCAGACTGGGTAGGTTTTTACGCACAAAATTCTGACGTTCGACTCGAAGCGGGAGAGTTGATTGGTGTCTTCGAGGGAGGGAGATGAGCCGTGGCGAATGTATCATCGTATATTCGATGTTCGGAGGGTGTGTTACAGGCTAAAAAGTACATTTCGAGTCGACCAATATTCAGGGTATGTAGGCGAAGGCACTCGAAAAATGGAGAGGAGAAAGCGTAGCTGAGAAGACGCCCATATCGAGCTTCTCAAGCACAAGGTTTGTTGGTATACAGTCCTTGAATGCTGGGATGGCAGAGCAACAGCGATGGCGCGTAACGTGCAAGAGACATCTACTCTCCCGGATATACTCCGATGCAAACCCGAAATGCGAACAGCCCGTGATTATCGTGGACCACAAGCGTCGAGGTAGTAACAAGGCTACACATTCATGGAAAGGAGTCCTATCTGATTTTTAAACGACGTGGGGGCACAGTTCCACAGGGGAACCGGCAGGAGAGGTTGGGTTGGCGCGTGCAAAGAGCAATGTTTCCGAAGGTTAGACTGGGAACGTCGTCCTGTCGTCTTGTGTGTAGGCGGGCGATTTCTGATGATGGAGTCGTCTAGCTGGCATTGGGCGAGGATGATCACATCAAGGCTTACGTCTGCCATCCTGACTTTGTCCGAAGAGCCGGGCGAACGGATTACGAAAAGGAGGTGATATCGAGATTAGTGGTGTAGGAGGGGATTTGGATCGTGAAGAAGCTCGACATTCTATACCTTAGAAAGAGTTAGATGGCTCCTTAGAGAATCATAGGAACGTACAAATAGAAAACCCGTGACAACTAATATTTGAATGATGATAGCAGTGTGCATTCATAGCCTTTGCCAGTGATATAGGAATGCATCAGTGGTTAAGTGGTACCACATCACATAAAAACATCAAGCCTCTTACCATTCAAGTCCCTTTGCACAGGAGAATGAACGTCTGATAAACGGGGGTGGAGAAAGGCCCGACTCCATAGTTGTGTTCTTGGTTCGTGCCATGATTGCAAAGACGAGGGCTACACGTAGTCATGGTCATCAAAGCGACGAAGACGCATAGTAGGAGTAGAACTTACTACGAGGACCGTCAGATCGAACTCCACCGGATTCAACTTGTCACAGACGCTTGACTTCCTACAAGTGTCAGCGATGTAAAACAATGACTCGAAGAACGCGCACGTACCTCTTCCCTCCCACCCTTCATTTACTGGCTATATACCGCGAACACGACCATCCCTACAGCACAACTCGTTCGTTCACTGACGTAAACGAACGGCCGCTCTGAATTGGGCGAAGTGATGAGATGGAGAGTGCGTCAGCACTAGCACTGGCAGCGAAGACCAGGAGTGTGCAGGCCTTAACGCGTGGAAAGGGTGGGTCTTGCGTGTGATACGTGGATCGTCGTCCTGTCAGGCGCAGGAGCCTTCTTAGCGCACTGCACTTAATGCCCTGCACTCGTCATCCTCCATGCGTGCTCCTGGTTTTCCGAAGAGCAATACACCATTTTGGCAAAAACGTCGACTCGCAGGCAGCCCGGAATGATATGTAGGTCACCGTATTCGTGTTGAAGGAAATTGGTTCGAAGGCGGAATGCAGGAACTTGTTTACGGTAGATTAGCCTCACTGCTCTTCAACTGGGGTTCGTCCAGTTCATAAACCAGTCAGCAGTCTTCGAGAGAGCATAGAAGTCACAGCAGCATGAGGGCGAAAAAGAAAGAAGCACGCTTTGTTTGCTTCCCTGGTACCAAACAAGCCCGGCGCGTAGCGGGCCTGTGCGCATGGGGTGTCTGGGGTACTACCGTCAACACGCTTCGATCAAGGGACTTCTCGTAACCTTTACGTGGTCCCCGCTTCTCTAGTCCATCTCCTTTCCTCATCACTCTTCCGTGGAAAGTTTTCAACGGAAAGTGTACACTATGAAGATGACACGACGCGTCGTCCCAAAATCAGCTGCCCAACTATCCCACTTCACTGACCCATTTCGCTTCATCAATCTTCCATGTACCTGAACAATCTTGGTCCCAAAATCGGCGGCTCAGCTATCAGAGGATGTAAAATGAACGGACGCCCGGTGTCCTTACCTGATGACCTGTACCAAACAAGCTCACAATTCGCGTTTGGGATGGATGGTCCGTGGAGTTAAACATGGGTTGGATTCTGCAGGTAGTGTTGATAATGGTGAGTCGCTTTCTTTCTTCGTTGTAGCCCAACGACGCTGGAGAATTTGATGAAGCCAGACGAAGTTATGATACTGAGACAATGCACTTCCTCGTTCTACGTTGAGTCAAAGACTGGTATATTTATGTATCTTTGTTTTCTCTTCTGCTAGCTAACGTGCTCTTTCTTCAGTAGCATATTTTCTCCGTTTAGTCTGATGGCCCTCGGTGTATGCAGACATTATTCCGTCAGTCGCCTTGCATGCGTGCCGGAACTAGCGACAGACCGGACAAATGCATATCCTCAGGCATTCATTGGTACATATATTTCTCTCCAAGAATGAAATGTATCCTCATCCTCGCTTTAGATTATGAATTCATCATATTTCAGTAACGTGATACCAACAACCGATCCCCGCATGCCATTTCGTCTGATATGCAGATCACTCCCAGTCGATGGACGGACAGCCGACATCAGCTAAGAGGCTAAGCCTGAAAATGACTGGGGCCTGCTTTGGGTCCTGTACCCCGGGAGTGCCGAGATCAAATGGTCCTACGGGGTACACTGAAAATGATGAATGCACACCCTTCCCTTTCACGGAATTCGTTGACTAAATCTTCGCGTAGGTAAATCAAAAGTACGCCAGTCCACTGACACTGAAAGATGGTTGAACCCCTTTCAAATCGACCCAATCTTATAAGAATCTGTCTGACAAATATTCGACGTCGGCCTCCCAACAACAACAGATAACAATACTGCTTGCTTCGAGGTTCTTCCTCTATTTCCTGCGATCTGCTGAGTGCTTGCAGAATAAATAGTGTACCATGACGAATTTATTCATCGTGGATGCTTTGCGTACTGACTGTATGTTGGTATCCTTTTGTTTAACGACGGTTTCGCCTCACATGGAACATTTTAGGTCTGTATTCGTGTACACTGAAATCAAATATTACGACTTCTCAATTCTTCTGCACGCACGGTACACGACTGTCAGCCACAACAGGTAAACACGATCTATTTTGCCACGTAACGTTATAAATTGTGACTTTAAGATAACACGACCTCTCTGCAGCTTCTTATCAACACACTACGGAGCTAGTGGATTGCTTGAGATGTAGTACACCGACCCGTTTGTCTAGACGGAGACTACAGTATCCGTTGTAACCGCAGATATGAACGGTGCGGGGCAGTCAGTGAGGGGAAAGGAGACTCGGAGTTCCTCAAGAAGAAAAAGTAAGGATGCTCCCTGAATCGAGGTGAAGGGGATATGCTACGTGTGAAGGCGGCATCGTCGAACGCAGTCAACATAGCGAAGAAGGGAAGACTTTGACAATGCAGACCACGCACCCCTTCTCATCCAGCGTAATCAAATGCTGCTGACCTGACTACAGCTGCGTAATTTTCTGAGGCCCCAAACCCTTCACCAACATGGGTTCGTAAACGATATAACACGGCGTCTTGCTTCCCGTCGTAATACATTCGCCAGTCATGCCATTTCCGAGCTCGCCTTTCTCCCTGGAACGAAAGGCATAGATGGCAAGAAGAGGCAAAGTGAAAGAGACAAGCTAAAGAATGGTCTGCACCGGAACGATGCTATCTCTGGACTCCGTAAGTAGGGGAGAATGTGGGCTCGAGCAGATCTCCGCCGTGATTCGGAGTCTTTTTGTCCAAGGAATGCAGCTTCACAGTGGGTGCGATGATGCTAGCAATCTTCTGGGAGTCACCCGATAGTATCTAGTAGCAAACATGACAGTGCTCCTTCGAAGGCTTCGTAGATGCTGATGTTGGTTTTGCTACCAGCACAAGGAACGACATGAACTGCTGTATGGCCCGGTGTACGCCCCTCCGGCCCGTTCTTAAGGCCGCGGTTGAGTCTGCCATGGCCGGGCCTTCCATCTTCTCTCCTTGTATTTACTGTATAATTACGACCAAGTGTTCATGGGGTGTTACGCGTTACACCTAGTGTTCAGTGGGCAAAGTGTTCATACAGGGTTCAAGTGCTATATTTAGGCAGTCTTGGGCCGCGCAGCGACGAAAAATTGCTATATTTGTCGTGCACAAGCAAATTGGAGACCCCGTTACCCGTTACAGTTTCCCAAAAGTGTTCAGTTCACGGGTCACCGTTACGTGTTACTGAACACTTGGTCATAATCATACAGTACCTCCACTGATGGGCTTCCAGAAATCCACACGCTCCTCATAAGATATCCACGCATGCGATATTGGCAATATCACATGCATGGATATCTGACGAATTGCCCATGGCATTTCCTGGCAACCTAGAATGGCACTAGCATACAGATCGAGGTGGATTATTTCCGTCGGAGGGACACAAGTTTTTATTTCTGCAATGCATTCATCCTTGCCTTTCAAAGAGCCTGACAAGTGCGTACCAGCGTCGTCCAGTCGAAATCGAACAGTGACTCCGTGATCAACCATCCCTTCTCTTGCATCTGGGGGGTTTTCATCCTAGTGGTAGCGGAATGAGGATACCAAGCAAGGGTCAAAGGTCAGACGACGACACATACCAACGTAAGAGATGACATGGTTTGGTAACAAGCTGTGGTCGCATTAAACGTGTAATTGGTGCTGTCCTCGTGGTAAGAATGAAGCTGTGCGAACTAGCGCCCGGATCATCAAAACGCTCAGCATCTCCCGGCCGGCCGAGGAATAGATGCTGTGTTTGATATCTACGGCCTGATGAAGCCACCTTCGAGGAAACGTGCGCCAGTCGAAAATCTGGGGCTAAAATGAGGGAGGACAAACATGCTTTTAAGAGCAGGTTTTCCTACCAATAGACTTAATATAAACGTAGACGATACGGAGGGATTCGTGAATGGCAAAACTAGAACTGTCGAAGTCCTCTGAACGAAATGCAGGAAGTATCCCATCCGCAACGTTGCGTGATATGAAAACGAGAAGAAAAAGATGTACAAACCGTCGTCTCACTAAAGGCCCCGATTTCTGGAGAGGAAGCAATGTCATCCGAAACTAGAACCGGAAAGATGAACCTGAACGTGAAATCCAGCAACTTATATGAACATTAAAAGAAAATGAGAGCACACAAAAGTACCCGAATCTGCTGTGGAATAAACACAATAGCTAGGCAACGATACAATGAAAATATAAGTACCAGCTCGCTCGTGTTTCCACCACCAGCGGAATGAAACCACACTTGGTTTCGTTGATACTGATGTGGGTTGGTGGATGTGAAGACGAAAATTTGGTCTTATATTTCAGCCATGGTGAACGAGCAGACTATTAAGAGCACCTATCAAGATGAGAGTATATGAGCCGGTACACTCATTATAGCGAAAAAAAGTCTACAAAATCACCACACGATGGAATTATCAGTCCCCACACAACATGACATGAAACCCACGAGAGCTCTCATTCCGAAACTACGCATTATCTGCTCCCGGTATTGCAATCTGAAATCCAAATTCCTCCATGGCATTTCTCGTCTTCACCACTATCGGCACACCCCCGAACCACTTCGTCTTGCACGTAATGCGCAAGTCTCCAAGATGAGGAGAGTGTGTCGGATCGAGCACATCGTACATGCTCCCCCTTCTGACGACGGGATCGAAGTCGTGGATGTGACACGAGAGAAGTCTGGTTAGAGAACAGATGCTGACATAGTCGTTCTTCAACGACAGCGTTGAAGACGAGCATGCGCTTACGCGAGCAATCAACGTTGGCTTGGGATGTCAGATATATCAACATCCTTAGCCAGGGTGATGGCCGGGTGTGGGACCGACAGTGAGGAGGGGAGCACAGAGAAAGATGTATACGCGCGCGCACGGGAAGTTCGCTGAGAAGCATGTTCCAGGAGTTAGTTTGGTACTGCTGAAACTGAGAGGGCAGGCGCACAAAACCCTGACAGTCGACTCGAAGTAGTAAACTGATTGGTTCGAGGACGGTGATGTGCTGAGCAGAGCTGAATCGCCCATTCGAGGTCACGGAAGGAGTGGGAAATGCTAAAAGCTATGATGTACAGTCAGCTAATGCTGAGGGTATGTGGGCGTGGTGGTAGAAGAAAGGCGAGTAGAGATAGGAGGACCCGTATATCGAGCCTCTCAAGCGCAACGAATGCTGGAGCAGCAGAACTAGAGAGGATGACATGCATGACATGTCAAGGCTCCCAGGTACACTTTGATGCAAGCCCGACATACATAGGTGTCACAACGAGCACACCAGAGAACGAGCGGTTTCTGATCCACATGGGACCATGTTGCAATTGACGGAACATTAACAGAAGCGGATTCTGTGGGGGATGGGAGATGGGCGTATACGAAGTGTGATCTTGTTCAAGTGTGAGGCTAGAATGGTGACTTGTGTGTGGAGGCAGGCTATTTGTGATTCGAGTGGATGGATACCATCGAGCCGGCATTGTGCGAGGCTGCCGATCGTTATGTTGTCAGAGAAGGTAGGCGAACGGGTTAGGAAAGGGAGATGATGTCAATATTAGGTGTAGGAGGCTATTTCGGTGCCGTCGTGAATATCTGAGCCAGAGTTACTATCAGTTAGCTCGTTACAGATTCCTGAGGAACGTACGATTGCAAAACCAGCGTCATCTGATGTTTGAACAATGACAGCAGTCCCCGTTCGTAGCACTTTTCAGTGATCTATGAATGTGTCAGCAATTGAACAACAGCATATAATATAAAAACATCAAGAATATTACCTTCAAGATTACCCTCGCATAGGAGAGAAGGGCGGCTGATAAACACAGGTGGAGAAAAGCGTCCGGCCGTGGACTCGCCAGCTGTGGCCTTTGATTCGTGCCATGATTGCGAAGGCGAAGACTACACATAATCGTCAAATCGGTGAAGGAGTATCATACGAGAAAAACTTACTGGAAAGGACGCTAAATCGAATTCTACCGGATTCCATCCGACACGGATGCTTGACATCCTGTAAGAATAGTATGAGCTGCGGAAAGCCAACGACTTGACAAACGATCACGTACCTCTTATCCCTCAACCACTCGCTCCACAGTTCACTGAGCACACCCGGATATCCGGCCCTCCGGTCTAGCCTTTACCGTCTAGATGCCAGCGACACGTCCATCCCTACAGTATCGAGCCAATCAAGATGCGTTGCGTCAGAACACGAACGGCCTCTATCCACGATGAGACCATGGAGGTGGGGGGAACGCTCAGGCAATGGTAGTAAAGACTGGGTGCATGCATCCCTTAATGCGTGGAAAGAGTAAGTCTTGCGTGTGATACGCGGATCGTTGTCCTGTTAGGCGTGGTCCCTGGCCAGTGTACCTTCCCTCCTCGTTGTCCTCCCTCCATGCTCCATGCTGGCAGGAAAGAAATACACCGCTGAGAACTCGACTCCCAGTCATCTGAGTGATGTGGAGGTCTCCATATTCGTGTTCAAGAAAACCGGTTGAAGATGGGACCCCAGGAACTCGATTATGGTAGATTAGCCCTCATTTCTGTCTTCAAACTGGGTACCGCGTTTCATCTAGGTCGGCAGTCTTCGAGAGAGAACGGCAGCTTGGAGGCATGAGGGCGAAAAGGAAAGAAGCGCGCTTTGTTTGGCTTTTGGGGGGCCAAACAATCCCGGTGCCCAACGGGCCGTGCGAACTGCTCTCCAGGGTACCTTCGATCAAGGGCCTTGTCGTAACTTTTATCGCAGTCCCCGCTTCTCTAGTCCATCTCGCTTCCTCAAACCTCCATTCCCGTATTTTATAAAATCGATATTCTACACCATGGATCTTCCACAAGTCTTCGTCCTGAATTCGGCAGCCCAGCTATCAGAAGATTATTAAGGAATGGAAACTTAGCATCATCGAGGTCGCAACTCACTCTAGGGATCAATAACCAATGAGATAGAAATGGCTTCGAATTTTTGAACTTTGAAACTGAGTCATTTTTATTCTCTTGTAATGTTCTGACGTTGGAGAAGAGTTATTGTTTCGTTTCGGTGATTCTGGGCCAGAGACTTAGATGAAGCACTTCCCTATTCCGTGTTCAGTTAAACAAATACTGGTATTCAAATATCTTCATTCTCCTTGCTTGTAGGCAACGTGTTCTTTCTGTGTCAGGTCGTTTCCTTCGTATGGTACAATAATGGTCCTCATAACACCCAATGTGATTTCGCACCCCTTTGTACGTCTACATTGGACAGATTTCGTGACTATCGGTGTTAATGTCCACGTTGGCCGTGATTAACGGCCAGCATGACGCTCGACGCTCAGGATGGCTATGTTCAACGTCAATGGGTATCTCTTCACTGAGTTAGTCGCATTTTCTGTTCATTATTCTATCACTTACCTTGATACTCGGTGGCCAGCCTCTTCACATCAGCACCACCGTCTTCAAGGGAAATCAACTACACACCGGGGTTCCTTGGTACGTAAACCATTTCCCAGAATGACATATATCCTCATTCCAATTCTAGACTATGAACTCTTAGTCTTTTCACAACATAAGATTCCAAAATCTATTCCTTCAACCTCGGCTCTACTGTGAATCTTGCACTCCTCATCGATTAAAGGACCAATGACATCCACTCCGCTGTTAAGCTAGAAGGCAACGAAGGATCGTGTCGTCTCATGGACCTTCGGGATTCCAAAGCAGAATGGCATTGAAAATGCAGGTTACATCGAAACTTGTGAGTGTAGATGCTTCTCTTTTCACAGGCACTCGCTGACCATTTGTCTAGGTACATGGAATATACCCCTACCTACAGCTATTCAAAGACTGGCATCCACACAAAATCGACCAAGTCTCATGGGACCCTGTGCAACCAGCATTCAGCATTGGCACCAGATAGCGATGCGCAGATCCGCATGGACCCTTCACAATCATTGATAGGCATTCACAGATCCATGCGCTCCTCAGACATCCACACATGTGATATCAACGATATTGCATGCATCATCGCCATTCTTCGCGTCTGGTAGCCAAATGGATACACAATATGGGCAGACCTTACCCCATAAGTCATCTTATATGCACACTGGGACCAATGTTGATATTGACGACTGATCTGAAGGAGAATCTTCCTGTCCCATATCGAGTGTTCACTAGTGTGTACACCACGTCCCAGGTCGATATTATCCTCATTCCGACCTTAGATTTTGAACTCTTCATCTTTCAGTGACATAGTGTCCAACTGTGCAATCTTCCAACTCGGACCTCACCATGCAGACCACTTTGAAGATTATGGTCCCCATCAGTTGAAGGGCCAATGATATCTGCTACATGGTTAAATCAGAAACACCGAAGGATTGGGTCATCTCATGAAGCTTTGGAGTGACAAGAGAAAATGATAGTGTAAGTTACACTGAAACTCATGAGTGCATGTGCCCCTCTTTCACAGGCATTCACTCACCAATTCTTCATGTAGGTACATGGAATATACCCATGTTTGCTGCCACTTAAAGGCTTGTTTCGATTCAAAATCAAGGTAGTCTCATCGGAATCTGTGAATATTTGGAATTGACACCAACTAAAGGTGGAGCAGTTCGAGGTTCTTAGAATCTTCCATTTCCTTCCATCTGGTACATGCCTTTATCTGGATGCAGAATAAACAGTGTATCACATGGAATTCATTTATTGTGAATGGCGATAACTGGATTTGGTGTAATTGATGGTACATTTGAATCCTTTCATTTGATTTCAATTTACATGGATACTGATCTAAGTGAGTTGAAATCGTCTTTAAAGATTATGATGTTCTCAATTCTTCCACATGCTCTGTACATGACTACTGACCTTAGTGACAAACATTAACAAAGAAAGAGCTGTGTCCTTAAGTTAATTACTCCTTCGATCCATACAATTCTATATCTCACTTTTGGGAACCTGATTAGCATATGACAAAGAGCCCAACCATGGCAAGGCCAATTCTGCTCTGTATCATCTCTGTATTGTTAGATCATTTATCTTAATAACAACTTCTCTAACTTCTCATGCAACGTTTACATTGTATTCACATATGTTAGAATCATTACTTCAAAATAATATATTCTGCATGCATTGTATGTTGCTAGTGACTAAGGATGGAAAAGATAGAATGGGAGAGATAGGAACAAATTCAAGACTCTCAGGAGCTCTCTTGAGTACTGGTGTAAATGATATCCCAGGACTGTTGTCCATCCTGCATCTCCACTGTTACATGTATATTAAGAAAGCTATTAACCTGATTAAATCAGCAAAGAAACATTCTATGATATAGTGTTGCAATGTAATGTTGGGCAGGATTCCAATCTTGTTCAGGATCTGCAATACGGATGACCGAAACCTTTTCAAATGTCCCATGCCAATGATCCCATCGTTGCTGCCAGTGCCCAACTACCCAATGTTCTAAGATGTCAACAGAAAAATAGCCAGCACCTATGAGGGTATATGAACCATCAGGGATGGGGTATGCATGATCAGTGATGACCTTGAATGTGTGGGATGTCCCAAACAGATCTTTAATCATCAACTTGCCCTTTCGAGGTATCCCTGTGTTTGATACCTCACCCAATCCACGCACAATGCCCCACACAATACAGGTACACTCACACCAGTTGGCATCTGTCTCCTTAGGCCAAGTGACTGCTGAAAACAGAGCAGACCTAGTCTGGGGTAGATGTGGCATTGTCATTACCTGTTTCCATGATGGTTGCCAATGTCTGTGTCCATTCCCAGGCTCAGGGTAAAAGAAGAGCAAATCCCTGTGATGCCGCATAGCCATGACATCTACCAGCAAATCCCAAGCCTCCTCTTCAGACTGTGTTTCATCATATATTGGGATAGACTTTTGGAAGAGAAGGTACACCAGGCCTGCAACTTTATCCAGAGGCTTTGTTGATACCCGATTCTGCATCTCCAGCAGTATGTCAAGCACATTCCAGCCCCTCACATACTTCAATGATTGTAGGCGTTCATCGACAATTTTTCGCATGTATTCATCCATCCCATAAGTGCCGGTCATCCCACCAATGATATAATAGCTGCTAACCTCCTGTAGTGTCCATGCACGCCTGAACCAACACCGATCACTTTCCAAGTCCCCAGACTTGAAACAAAAAGGTCGACCCAGCCCACTGAGGTAATACACCACTGTATCAGTGCCATTGCGATATATAGCTCCAATGGTGGGAACATCAACTTTCCATTCTTCTCTGCGTAGATCCTCTCTCTTCCCACCCTCTTGCCTCAAACAGAGAACATCTAACCACACATACTCTGCTCCGAGGTTCAACATCTCAATCCGGACAAGATTAAGGTCTACATCTTTGGGGATCGGCACAGGCCATTCAAAGCCATTAATGGGTGTCCACACACTAATGCGCTCCTCGTCAGACACCCATGCATGCGATATTGCCCGAGGCCATATTTTATTGGCAACCCAGTATGGTACCACACGATTAGCATACAGATCCCAGATGTGCCGGGGAGGAATATTTCCATTGGGGAGTCTGTTATTGGTGACTATCTTTTGTCGCATTTTCTGATCCTGGTTCCATGATTTGTGAATGCTTTCGACACTGGTCAAGTCATACCAATATGGACGCAAATTAGCATAGAGAGTGCCAAAGTCGTAATCCTGTCTGATGAAGGATTCGAGAATGGAGGGCAAGATGGGGTTATCGAGAGTATATGATGTGCCGAGTGTCGCATTCAGCTCCTTCAAGACCCCACTCATACCAAGGTCGGCGCAGGGAATGTCAGCGAGAGCAGATGGTATGACAGGCATGGTACCAGTGTAGGACCGTTGCATCGGCACTGGAATGGTTGATCCTGCTTTCCCGGTCTCTGTGAGGGCGGAGAGTGTGACCTTGGGGAGTTTCTCGTAATTGAAACATGTTAATTCTCTCTGAAATGTGTTATTGCTTGCCTTTCTGCACATTCATCGAAATACTTACCAATTGAAGCCAATTAAGCGCCCAGGTCGGCAATGCAACCTCGTGCATCCCTCCTAGCCGTAGCGGAATAAGGATATCCAAAATCAAAGGTCAGCCAGCCACACATACCATCGACGATACAGATTGGCATCAAGATGTGGTCGTGCAGAAGGTGCTACTTGTGCAGTCCTCGTGGTAAGAATGAAGTTATGCAGACTAGCGCCCGGACCATCAAAGTGTGCCACAGCTCGCCATCAGCCGCACTACCGCAAATCCAGTAAACTTAATGCTGTAGATACAGCCTCATGATCAATAGCGTACCCGTAATTTATGTTCTCGATGATGATTTGACACAGAAATGACGGAATATTTAGGCCACAAGCGATTTATTGATTATTCGTGTTGAAAGCAATATTAGTTGTCCAGAGCACATTTCGACGTCTGATTTGTGAGTATTATGCGACGTAAGTCTCGTAGGGCCGTAGGCTCATGCTTCGATTCCGACTTCCCCATGGCCGTCTCTGCTACTATCACTTGAGTACAGCCGCCGGATCCTTGCACCAAAGCTTTACTGCACGCAAAAAAATATTACACATCGGCTTCACGAGGCTATATCTTGAGGGCTTTCTATCGCTAATAGCATTTTTACAGCGCCAAAGGTGCATAGTAGAAATGTTATCTATTATCATTTATTTTACGCAAACCCCGTAGGATGCGAAATCTCCTTCTCTACTGCTTACATTTCTCTGGGGAGGCGCAGCTGGCGCTGAAGAATGTTGATGCTTGCTACGTTCGGACCCCACGAAAGGAACTGAAAGAACGCCGCAAAACTTCAACGTCAACCATGAAAATCTCCTTCCAAAATTGTGTATTACCCTCTCCCCATATCACGACCCAACATCCAAATTCCTTCAACATTTCCTCGTCTGGTCATCCATAGCGACCGCTTTGTCTTGAGCGTGTCCGTATCCTGAGACAGGGAAGAAGGTCGTACATGTTCTCGTTACTTACGACCGGGTGAAACGGGTGATGCAGGCCTGAAATCGGGCGTGCTGTACATGCTCTCGCTTCCAACGACAGGATCTAAGCGGTTGATGGGGGAAGAGAGGAGCATGGCAAGAGAACGATCTTAAAGACGAACGTGTGCAGACATGGACTATGATAGTTATTCAGGATATCGACATCCATATAGCCAGGATGAGAACGAGGAGTCAGACCGATAGTGAGGGAGTGAAGCAGGGAGAGGGATATGCACACGAGCGTCCTGGTCCTTTGATGGGGAAAAAACATTCAAGGAGTTTTCTTAGTATGTCTGAGCTTGATAGATCGTTGTGCTGGCAATCGTTCCTCGCTTTGATCATACAAGGGATCTCCTCGTCTTGCGCGTACTACGCAGGTCCTCAAGATGCGGAAGAATCGTCAAATCCAGCATATCGTTGCTTATGAGCAGATATCGGTAGGTGATGGGGAATGACACGAATCTGGGAGAATGAATGTTTGAACGCTGATGACATCGTGGAAGATCAGCGCGGCATACTGATAGCCGGAGTAAAGATGACAATGTCGGCACACCAATTCGAAGCTGTGAAGGAGGTGGAAGGAAATATACGCGAGACTCTTCGAGATGGAGGCTGAGCGAGTTGTGGGTATTGGTAGCTTGCCACGGGGACGGCCCTTTCGATGGCCGAGGTACGCTGCTTTGCATCTTTCGTGGAGACGATAAGCCGTGTACAGTCGCTGAGTGCCTATTCTAGGTGGCGGATGGAGGGGAGGTACGTTGTAGAGTCAGCGAATGCTGAGGGTATGTACGCAATGCGCCCGGAGAGTGTCAAGCAGAGTCGAGAAGATCCATAAATCTGGCTTCTCGGGCGCAAGGTTTGTCGGACTACAACATTCGAGTGCCGGGGTGGCGGAGCCAGAGGGAATGACGAGAATAACACGTCTACACTCCCGAGCATGCTCCAAGGCAAATCCCGATCAAACGAAGAACCAAGGCTCATTGCAGATCACAGCATCGGCATATGTGCTACAAGGATATGCCGTAATCCACGCGCATACACGGGAACGAGAATCGCTTGACTTCTGAATCACATTACACCGTGTTCGAATTAACGGAACATTAACATAAGTCTCAGTGGGAGATGGCGGATGGCTGTGTACAACGAGCGAGCTTGTTTCGAGTGTGAGACTGGAAATATGGAATTGCATGTGTTGGCGGGCGACGTCTGACTGGAGCTGATGGATGCTATCGAGCCGGTGTTGATCATATCTAGTCATACGTCTGCCATTGTGATTTTGTGGGAAGAGCTTGGCAGATAAAGGCGGCGATATCGGCATTAGCGGTGTAAGAGACTATTTCGATATTGTCGTGAATACCTGAGAGAAAGTTAGGTCACTCGTTACGGATTCATGGCAGGGACATACATTTGGAAAACTAGCGATAATGCAATTTTGAACTAGAGCAACGCGCATCCCTAGCATTTGCCAGTGAACTATGGTTCCGGTGGTAGTCGTGGTCTTTGATTCGTTCCGTGCTTGCAAAGGCGACGACTACACATAGTCGTCAACGAGATGAAGGGTGTACTGTAGGAATGAAACATACTTAAAGAGACACCAAATTGAATTCTTCCAGATCCAAATCGACATGGACGCTTGACATCCTGCAACAATAGTATCAGTTGTGTAAAATGAACGACGTGACAAAGGAGCACGTACCTCTTTCTTCCCGTCGTTCGTTTATCGTCTACATACCACCAAAACGTCCATCCCTACAGCACAATTCGAGCATCACGGCAAAACACAAACAGCCATCCTACTTCCGGCGAAACACTGAGACGATGGGAGCAGAGAGGGTGTGGCGAGCAGTAGAGGTGAAGACCAGGCGAGTGCGTCCCTTAACGCGTGGAGAATGGCAGTCATTTCGCGTGATACACTGATCTTCGTCCTGCCAGGCATGGGAACGCACTGCGATTCTGCCCTCGCTAGTTCTCCTGCTCTCCTCGTCGTCCACCTTGTGTGTCCCATGCTGGCCGGAAGGTAATACATAATCTCAGCGAAAATTCGACCCGTGGCCAGCCCAGGAAGCCATCGTATTCGTGTTCAAGGAAGGGTGAAGCGCATGAACCTGATTACTGCTTGACAGCCGCGTTGCTCTCCTCAAGGGCTGGTCACTGCGGCTTTTCCAATTCATAAACCGGCCTGCAGTCATCAAGAGGGTGTAGATCTCGCAGCAGCACGAATAAAACTATTGGGGAGCCCCGCTCCGGGGGCTCCCCGAGGGGCTCTTCAGAAGCCCAGAACGGGGCCGAAATGATAAGTCCAGGACACCGTCCGAACCCAATCTGTCCGGGTGGGAGAATGGTGTTTAGATGAATAACTGAGAAGTTTTACATTTTTTATGTACCTTGTATGTTATGCAGCTGGGGAGGGAATGCCAGTTTATTGAGAAAGGACACTTGTCCTGTTTCACTGCCGAGCACCCGGCAAAGGAGCCTCACAGCCACAATCATTTCCGTTTGGCCCTTCTGAATGTGAGCAATACTTGAAGATTGACTCCAAAATATTAGAGATACTTATAGCTCCTATGAAATCGTGTATATAAAGGTATAAATGAATAGTAAGTGTATTTTTCAGTGCTACAACCCAAACTCGGGAGTGCGCGGGCACCCAAACCCATGAGCCACTCACATCATTACTCGCCAAGTCCGGCCGGTGCTCCTTGTTGGCGCCGGTAGGGCGGGGCTTTCAAATAGTTATTACCCAGCAGCACGGAGGAGGAAAAAGAAACACGCTTTGTTTGCTTCTCTACGTGCCAAACAATCGCGGCGCGTAGCGGGCCGTTGCCCACTGGTGTCTGGGTACCTTCAACGTGCTTCGATCAAGGGTTTTCTCGAAGTTACTTCCTGTGCACTTTCTACTGTACTGTTCCGTCTCACTTCCACAAGGTTCCATCCTGGTAGATTTGTCCAATTGAAGTTCTATACCATGACCTTACACGAGACCTCGTCCAAAAATCAGCTGCCCAACTATCGGAAGAACGGCGCAAGTGGTCCCCAGACTCCCCGCTTCACTGCCCCATCTCGCTTTATATAAGTTCCATCATTTACTTGAGACGAGTCGTCGCCCTGAAATTATCCCTATACCTCGAACGGTATGGGTATCGATGCGATCCTCCCATATCCTAGGGCGTTCCCTGGTACGTATCTTCGTTTACTGAATGAAATGTATCTTTATCCTAGCTTTATTAGATTATGAATTCTTCGTCTTTCATTCACGTAACATCAACAATCAATTGTCGGGTCCTATTTTGTCTGATATGCGGATTCCTGTTAGAATAGCTCTCCCAGTCAGTTGACGGACCACCAACATCTGCTATGCAGCCAAGCCTGAAAACGACTTAGGCCTGCTTCGTGTCCTTAAGCTTGGGGATTCCGAGAGACAATAGTAGAACGGAAATCGTGAATGCCAACCCTTCTCTTTCACGGGATTTGTTAACTACATCTTCGCGTAGGTAGATCGAACGTATGCCAGTCCACCGTGACTGAAAAGTAGTTCCCTTTCAGTGAGAATCTGTGCAACGGATATTCGTCTTTGCACCAACTAACGGCGTCAGCAATTCTCTTCTCGCTGAGGTCCTCCTTCCATTTCCTACAATCTGGGTATTTCTCCGCGATGCTTAATAAGTAGTGTACGAGGCGGAATTGACTTATTGCGGAACACGATAACTGCACTTTGTTCGCTTGACTGTATGTTGTTGTCCTTTCATGATATGAAGGCTTTCATCTCACATGGAACATCTTAGGTCTGTATTCATGTTCACTGAAATCAAAGAGTACGATGTTCTCAAAGCTTCTGCATGCGCTGTATACGACTTTCAGCCAGAACTATAAATCATGACTTTGGTAAAGCACCGCGCTCCCTTCAAATACTTATCAATGAACTACGGCACTGAGAGGCTTGCTTGAGTTGTAATACGTCGACCCAGTTGGTTAAACAGATCCATTGTAACCCCAGATATGAACAGGGAAGTCAGTAAGGGAAAATGAGACTCGGAGTTCCCGAAAAGAAAACGTAACAATGCTCCCTACATCAAGGCGAAGGGGCGATGCTACGTGTGAAGAATGAAGGTAACATCATCAAACGCAGCAAAAATAGTGAAGAAGGGAAGACAGTTGGACAACGCAGATAACGTACCCCTTCTCATCCAGCAGAATCAAATGCTGCTGACCTGACGACAACTGTGTAATTTTCTCAGGCACAATATCCTTCACTAACACGGATTCGGAGACAATATCAAACACCATCTCGTTCCCGCCACAATATGATCGCCATTCGTGCTATTCCTATTTGATTTCCTTTGTCCAAGAATTGCATTGTCACAGCGGGCCTGGTGATGGCAATCCAGTGGGAATACAACAACAATAGCCAGTAGGGAACACGGCAGCGTTTCTTCCAAGGCTTCGTAGGTTCGTTCCTAGCACAAAGAGCGAAAGGAAAGCAAACATCTCCATGAAACTGCTGTACGGGCCGGTACGCACAGTGTCCGTCCCGGCCTGGTCTTACAGCCGTGGTAGTCCATCATGGCCGGGCCTTCCATCTTCTGTCCTGACGTCTATAATGGTTCGACATTCGATGCGCTCGTGACTCACTGAACTTCTTCATCGTTCTTCATCGCGTATGTCTCTCTTATCCTGCGGATCTATGAATATTTGACAAAATTATTCCACACGGTTGAGGTAACTGCCGGTTCCAGGTTGCCCCCATGAACGAATTATTGCTAACTTCCTGCAGTGTTCATGCCCGCCTGAACCAAGACTGACCGCTGCCTAAAAATCCTGGATTCATTTAAAAAAAACTGACGCAACCCGCTGAGGTAATTCACCACCTTTGCGCTACGATAGATGGACCCGATGGTGGGCACAACGACTTTCCACTCTTCTATGCATAGATCCTCCCTAATTCCACCTGCTTCCTTCAAATACAGAACATCTCGCCACCACGTACTCCACTCCCACGTTCAATCTCTCGATCTGGATTCGGATGTTACCAGGGTTCGTATCTTTGGGGATCGGTGCTCAGCACAAATCATTCACATCCATTGAAGGGCATCCAGGAATCCACGCGCTCCTCATAAGATATCCATCCATGCGATATCGGCAATATCACATGCATGGATATCTGACGAATTGCCCATGGCGTTTCCTGGCAACCCAGAATGGCATACAGATCGAGGTGGAATACTTCCGTCGGAGGCGCAGGAGTCTGTACTTTCTGCAGCGCATTAATCCTCGCCACTCTATGAGCCTCGCGAGTGCGTACCAGCGTCATCCAGTCGAATTCAGACAGTGACTCTTTGATCAACCCTTCCCCTGCATCCGGGGGTTTAATTCCTAGCAGTAGCGGAGTTAGGATACCAAGGACAAGGTTAGACAATAACACATACCAATGTACAGAGACGACGTGGTTTGGTAACGAGCTGTGGTCGCATTAAACGTGTAATTCGTGCTGTCCTCGTGGTAAAGAAGCTGTGCGAACTAGCGCTTGGATTATCAAAACGCTCAGCATCTCCCGGCGTGCCGAGGAATAGATGCTGTGCTTGATATCTATGGCCTGATGAAGCTACCTTCAAGGAAAGGAGCATAATTCGAACATCTGGGGCTAAAATGAGGGAGGATAAACTTGATTTTAAGAGCCAACTTTCGTACCAATAAACACAGACGATACGGAGGAATTCATGAATGGCAAGCCCAGGACTGTTGAGGTCCTCTGATCGAGTTACAGGAGGTATCTTATCTGAAGCTTTGAGTATCATGAAAATGTGAAAAAAAATATGTACAAATCGTCGTCTTACCAAAATCCTGGATCTGTAGAGGAAGAACTGTCATCTAACGACACCCAAAGCTAGGACGGGAATGAAGTCTGAGCGTTTAATGATAATGAGTGTATGCAAACCCGGTTCCCCTGTCTAATGAACAAATTAGCTAAGCAAATAGAGATAGAGAACGAAGATCTAAGTACCCGTTTTTCATCAGCTTGCACGCGTTTCTTCCACCATCCTAGGCGAGGAACCACAGCCTCCCGTCTACCCTGACTATGTATGAAACGGGTGTTGTCATTGGCTGCCAAGAGGAAATGCGGACCTTACTTCAACTATGGCGAACGAGCGAACCGCCCTATCAATACAAGAGTATATTAGCTTCAGGTCAAAGTGGACATCTACACAGCACCTCACACGGTTCATCTGTGAGTAGCAAGGAATTTAAACAACTTTTGCCTTACACATACGTGCTGATCTGCAGAAATTTTATACCCGGAGAGTGAGAGAAAGAAGATAACGGTGGTCAGAGAGAAAAAGGCCCATCTTTGTTTCCACGGGCCGGTCCGACCCGGGAAAGACAATCCGCAACTCGCAATTGGGCGGTCATGCATTTCTGTATTTTTTTTGCAGCATATCATTCATTTATTCAGCGGTACAATCGTCGAAGCGAGAAGTAGCCTAGAAAATTTCCCAACGATGCACTTATCAGTCCCCAAACGACATGACACAAAACCTCATCGTCAACCCATGAAAACTGTCACTCCGAAACTGCGCATTATCTTCTCCCGGTACCGAAATAAGACATTCAAATTCCTGCAAGGCAATCCTCGTCTGGCATATCCTCGAACTACTTCGTGTCGCGCGCAATACATAAGTCCTCGGGATAAGGGAGAAGCATCAGATCGAGAGCCACTTCTTAGGGCTGCGCACCGTACCGTATACGGTATACGGCCGTAAAACCATAATCCCAGACGGTCACGGAACTGTCCGTATACCGTACCGTATGATCAGCTTGAAAGCCTTGTCGGCGTCGGTACGGGTACCTTACGGCCGTCTACGGCCGTTGACGACCGTGCACTGGAGGACAAGATGACTTTACTTATATAGAGTCACCGTAGAGAATTTATGGTATGGTCTGATGGCTTTTGGATGGCTCGAGAGATGAAGAAGATAATATAAGCATGAAGGCAACAGATTTCGGAGGGGAAGACAAGTTAGATGTGTCCGAGATCATGAAGGAACTGTAAATCGCACCTATATTGAACTAAGTGGACACACATATGTATCCGAAAGTTACACATGCTACTCTGAACACAAACAAGACAGCTGCATGGTGCCATTTTGCATGAAAATTTTGCTCTAAAGAAGGCTCTAGATAAGATGCAAGGTGAAGCCGTATTACGACGTTGTACGGCCGTATGTAAGAACTCTTGACGGCTACGGAACAACCGTACACCGTACCGTACACATGGTCATTAGTGTGCGTTCGGCTTCGGTCCGTCTTCCGTATAACGGTTACCGAAAACCGTATAATACGGTGACGGCGCGCAGCCCTACCACTTCTGACGACGAGATCAAAGTGGGACACGAGAAGTTACGTCAGAGAACAGATACTGACGTGGTCGCCCTTTAACGACTGCGGTGGAGACAATCGTACACCGACATGGGCAGTGAAGGTTATTTAGGATCAGCATCCGCAGCCGGCCGGGATGATAACGGGTGTAAGACCGAGAGTGAGGGCGTGGATCCCAGGGAAGAATATGCACGCAGGCGCCCGGTATTTCGATGCTACGACAGAGCTTCGGTATGTCTGAATAGGTTGGTTAGGGATAAAATCCCGGCAATCGAGGCAAATAGGTGAGCTGAATGGCATCATCATCGAGGAGGAAGATAAGCAGTGTCGAGCGGATTGTCGCACAACCGAGGTGGCAGAAGCAAGGAAACGGGCTTCGGCTAATGCTCAGAGTATATGGGCGACGCGCCCGGTGAGAGACGAGCAGAGTCGAGAAGACCCGTAAATTCGTGTCTTCGAGCGCAAGGTGTATTGGGATACGGTCTTCGGATTCCGGGGTGCCGGGGCCAGAGAGGATGGATGACGTGCATGACACGTCTATGCTCCCAGATATACTCCGATGACAACCCAACGTGCGAACAGTCGATGCACACCGTAGATCACAGCCTTGGCATATGTGCAAGGCCGTACCATGATGCACGCATACGCATGGGAACAAGCACTGTCTGGTTTTTAAACAACGCGGGGAACATCCCACAGGAGAACCAGCGGAAGAAGTTGGATCGGTGAGCGGAAAGAGTGATCTTTACGATGGTAATCCTGGAAACGTCGTCTTGTCTGTGCACGCCAGTGATTTCTGATGATGGAGATGTCTAGACAGCATTGGACGATGCTGCCGACGTTGATCGCATCGATCCTACGTCTCCTATCAGGACTTTGTCCAAAGAGCTGGATGAACACGCCAGGAATGGGGGGCGATATGGACTTCAGCGATGTAGCAGGTTATTTCGATGTCGTTATAAACACCTGATAAAGAGTTAGCCAGTTCGTTTCGGATTCCTGGCGAGGTACAATTGGCATACAGTCCAAGTCCCCTCGCATAGAAGAGAGGAACGGCCCATGAACGTGAAATGGGAGGAAGAAAGGCGTCCGTCGATTCATTCCCTGATCATGGTCCTTGATTCGTGGCTTCGTCGCAAAGGGAATAACTATATGTAGTCGTCAAAGTGATGAAGGGGCATCGCAGGAACAAGACTTACTGTGAGGAACGCCAGATCGACATCCATCCTGCAAGAATAGTATGAGCTGCTTAAAGTCAATGACTCGACAAACGATTACTTACCTCTTATCCCTTCTCTCCACAGCTCACTGAGAATGCGCCGAATACCCAACCCTCCCGTCCCTCGTTTACCGTCTAGATGCCGGCGACACATCCATCACTACGCAACTCGAGCTAGTCAGGATGCATCGCATCAGAACACGAACGGCCTCCGTACGTTCATCAAAATGATGAGACCACAGAGACGGGGAGAGCGCGTCGATAGTGGCAGTAACGACCAGATATGAGCGTCCATAGTCTTGCGTGTGATCAGCATATCTGCGTCCTAGATCAGGCGCAGGAACCTTCTTAACGCATTGCAATTCTTACCTGTCCTCCTCATCCTCCTAGCGTGTTCCATGTTGACGTCTCGGCAAAAAGTCCAACTCCAAGGCAGCTCGGGCTGACTTGAAGGTCCCTGTATTCGTCTTCTAGGAAAACCAGTCGAAAGGTGGAGCGCAAGAACCTGGTTATGGCAGATTAGCCTCGTTGCTCCTCCTGGGGTTAGTCCAGTTCATAAAGTGGTCGGGAGTTTTGGAGAGGGCATATACGGCACAGTAGCATGAGGGCGAAAGGGAAAGAAGCGTGCTTTGTTTGCTTCTCTGGGTGCCAAACAAACCCGGTGCGTGCGCACGGGGTGTCCGGGGTTCCCTCACAGGCTTCGATCAAGGGTTTTCTCGTAAAACCCTTTTCCTCACTTCACCAGTCCATCCCGCCTCCTCAAAGCTCCATTCCTAAAATTTTCTTCAATAGACGCTCTATATCATGGACTTGGCCCCAGTCTTCATCCTGAAATTGGTGGCATGGCTATCAGAAAACGATTCCTGGATGGAGGGGCTAGTGTCGTCGAGGTCGCAAATCACGGGTCAATAACCGATCTGACAGATATTGGTTGTGCTCTTTAAGTTTTCAATTCAAGGTCTGATGCTTTGAGGTGAGTCATCTTTATTCTCTGTTGTAACGCTTTGACGCTGTCGAAGGTTTCTTGTTCCAAATCTATAAACCAGACGAGCCGAGACTTTGACTTCTTGCCGAGGTCCGAGGACGTCACTCGCACTAATCCCAATGGGCCGTTCTTCTCAAAGATCGTTTAGTTTGTCGGGTTAGTCGCCTTTAGTTGATAGTTTGATACGACTCTCGCCTCACTTCTTGGTAGTGTTCCACCACAAATTGATTGAGTGCCACGTCAGCCTCGTTTTTGGTTCATAACTGTATGTTGCCGTCCTTCTGCTTGACAACCACTTGTCTGACTTACCATTCAGATTTTATACTGGAGTTCTAAACGATCGTGTTTTCAATTTTCTGTGTGCACATGAACCGAAAACCAAGAATTGAGACGACACAGGGCTCCTTATGGTCCGACGCCTTACTCTGTGCTATTTCACTGATCAATAGGTGGTGTGAACTCTCACACTTAGACTCGCCGCCTCTTATCAACATTTGAAAATCAGACATAAGATTCCCATTCCTCTGTTCAAGCAGTTGATTGCATTTCCGTGTGATATTTTCAGCTCACGAGGATATAAAATTTGCGTGCCCTCGTGGAGTTAAGTATACCTGTCCACCTGGATCTAGCCATGTCTACTAAAATTTCGCGATGCGTTACAAGAGTTTTCCGGAATCAGGTGTGTTTTTGTCGTATCGATATCTTTGAAAGCTAAAATCAGAATTGTAGCGATGTTTGGCTCCAAGTTCATCTTTCGCTCCGTGAAACGAGTAGATACCTCTCGCTTTCGTCTCGCACTTCTTATTTCTTTAGACTGCCTTTCTTCCTCTCGAGAGATCGAGGCTTTGCAGAACGATGTATTGACGTGTTCGTAGGACGTCGTTTTACTCGTTTTTCTCGTACTTATCATCATCGATACGGTGTTTTGACCGACGTACATCAACATTCCTGGGTTGCCATCCTTGCCTTCGCTTCCAACATGTCCTGATCAGGCCGCAAAGAGTGCGTACCCTTCTAAGAATGCTTACATGCCCGCTCGTCACGTCCGAATGCCAGACGAAGGCTAGGACAGTTATCACCCTGAACACCCTGTACGCGTATGTAGTCAAGATTAGTCTTCCTTGTACCAGCATTAACACTCCAGCTAGATCTCAGTTTCGTCAGTACGAATATCAGTTGTTAAGATCAAACTGATATCATTCTAGCCCTAAATGAATGGATTACGTGGGCTTCACTGTTCATGGCTCCGTGAACTGCGCTTCTGCGATGGGTAAACCCCTGTCAAGATAATTATCCTCACGAGGAAATGCAGTGACGACATTCATTACCTTTGGTACGCAGTCATATCAGAAATGATTGAGGGCGCCGCAGTATCCGAGGCATCTTTGGAGTCCCGGAAGCACATAGCGAGGTGGTTTACTCTTGTGCACATCTATTTCTCTTCTCGAAGCCATTTACTGATAGGATATGAGATCAGAACCAGTATATGGAACATAAGTGGAGGGCTAGTCCCAATTCCAAACATAGATAGAATCTAATACCATATGTACTCGGAATTGGCACCTTTGAACAATGATCCTTGTTCCCGCTCGTATGCGGACGCGGATTCAGATTCGGCACGGTTAACTAAGCAAAGCAAAGAAACGAAGGATGTCTGTTTCTCCTACCACCATCTTTTAGTGTCGTTATGCGATAGGATATAAGTATCTCTATGGCTATATCTCTAACATTTCATACATCTCATCTGTGAGGCCAGCCTTGTCCAACCTTTCCGCTGAGCTCTAAGACTATTTGACCAACATCTCCTATTATTTACGAAAATTGGTTAGTTTGAAATGGGAGATGATTCCATCACGAGTAGCCATAGGACTTAGTAAGGGCAAGAAGAATTCAGCGTGGTAGCCTGCGTGGCGGCGTGGGAGCGTGGAGCGTGGCGGCATGGCGGCGTGGTCATCAGCGTGGTCGACAAATTGTGGGACTCCGATCAAAAGTTGATCAAGTCCATCAAACGCTACTCGAGAGTCGACGCGTTCCGTTCTTTTCTGTCACTCCTTGCATAGAATTAGTTTGAGTATGAACATTGAATACCTGTAAGGTTTAATATGACATCTTTGGTGGGACATCAAAATGCTTCATCAGTAAGTTCACAGCCATATGGTTTGTATGGCAAACATGGTTGGTATATGGAATTCCGGGTCATGCAATGCTATGCATGCCCATGCATATCTGACCTTATTATACATGTTATACCTATATACATTCTGGTATGGTTAAATAGTTGTGTGATGTGGTATATCTCTATTTTCGGGTTGGTCTTGGGTTCAATTTCAGCTCGGTGTAACCTTTTTGGAACAAACTTTCTGACAAGCCCTAAGTCCCAACAATTTTGGGGCAATCATATTGGCTTGACAAATCATATATCAATTATGCTTTAAAATACTATTTCGTTTGCATGATGATCAATATTCACCGGCTACTTCCGGGATACTCAGATAGGCAGTAGCATACGATTCTCTCTCTCTAGCTTACCATCACCTGTTAGGCTCGTAGCCACGGAGCAACACTAGAGAACTCAATCACACGAAGTGCGAGGAACGAGCTCTGTAAGGACATCGAGACGAGACAGGTGATGGTAAGCTAGAGAGAGAGAATCGTACGCTACTGCCTATCTGAGTATCCCGGAAGTAGCCGGTGAGTAACCGGAGTCCCTGGTTACAACATAGAAAGCTTGGAAACAATCTAGAGAGTAGGAGTAGTGGAAATTGAGCGGCATAGACCGATGTCCAAAGACTGGAAGAAGATGTGCACCATGAAGCAAAGAATCCAGGTGAACCACACTAACCCATGGATGTTGGTCCCTCCCCCGATGATCCGGCTTGACGATCCACATTCCCGTTATCGTGTCGGGCCATTGTCCATGCTTCTTGAACCAGTGGACAAGTGCACATGGATATTTGATACCATCATGAACAAAAGAAAAGAATAAAAGAATATGAACAACGCTCATTCCCCAGAATCCAGCCCGATCCTCGTTCTCTACCACAAAATCACAATCATGACGGACATGTCCATACCATGATGGCATTGAGTGAACTCGCTCTTGATGCATACCACGGATACCAGATATATCACTCGGTGCATAGAAGCATGTGACCGCTGAGTGATATACATAAACATTGGAATTGATGAATGGGCACATGTCAATATCGATGAGATCTGCCGGGGCATCATACAGCTGTTCATAAAGAAATCGGCGAGTAAGCTCTGTCAGTAGCGGCTGCTTGATGTGCTGTGCAAGCACATCAATGTCTCTCGGATAACCACGCTCTAAAACCAGACTCAGTTTGGATGGTAAGGCATTACCACATGAACAATCCCATACCTCGTGTTTGTGCCCGATAGACATGTGCTAAGAGATGTTCATCGTCAACAGGGCCACTGTCTTCATCGCCTGTTTCGAATGGATCCGGAGGTGGTGCATGAGTAGGAGGGATTAGACCACTCTGAACGAGCTCAGAACGTAAAGCATTGAGCTTGTCCAACTGTTGATTAGTCAGTAGCATTTGGCTAAGAGCTTGATAGCGATTTGAACAATGCCAGGGCTTTTTGACTGCGGTAATATGACGGGATTCGGTTATCGATGAGCACAGGCCATTTGGGACACCAAATTCTATGATATGCTGCACATAATGGATCATAGCACGCTGGCATGGAAGGTTGAAATCATCGCGAATACCCATAGTAATGAAAATCTTGCGATGGTGCTGGAAGCGACCAACAGCCTCCGAGATTGAGAAAAGTGTATTCTCATCAATATCAGACCGCCGAACCAGATAGCAGAAGTCCAAAAAGGCAGCAAATGTGCGAACAATCTCGTCATCCACATAGTCAGCTATCGCTGCCAGATAGACCTATGGGCATGTATGAGCAGGGATAAGGACTATAGATGCATTCATACCTTCATCAATGCCTTTGAGTCATCACCAGTCCATTGCTTGAAGCGCCGACCATGAGGGAATCACCATAAACCAGGAAACAGAGGAGTTGCAGCAATGCTATCAATGATATAGTCAGTCAATGCTGTAAATAAGACGTAAACTTATACCCTACTGCTGGTCAATGTCATCCATAATTTCCTTTGCTCGTGCTGCCCCAACTGTCATCTCAAGGTACTCTCCTACCCATTCTATGAGATGATCTTTGAATGATCCTTTGATAATCTGGTGAAGCAGGTCTGATGTGAGCATCTCATGAATATCCGCTCAGGGGAATTCCAAAGTGAATGGCTATGCGGAACAATGAGAACTGTACACATCGCTGAGAACCAGGGGCTTACCCAGATTTCATCGTCGATGCCATAATTGTCCCATAACAAGCCGCTGTCCTGGCTGAATTCCTGTCGTAGCATTTCTGTATGTTCGCGAGAGCATAGGCCTGCTGGCTTGTCCAGATCTGAGGCCAGAGCAGTACACCTGAGAATAGTTAGACTTACTGTTGCCCAAAGAAGATCAACTCACTTTACACACCAGCCTGACATGACACCAGCAAGGAGGACCTGCTCAGGATAGTCTGCAATATATGCTGCCAAGTCATAGATAATCCTCCGAAAGTGACCGTCAGGGCAACGCTGCACCACTGGCGTAGTCATTCCTGGCTTGAGCGAATGGAGAATTGCAGCCAGTGACGCGTGATAGAGCTTGCACTTAAAGTTGCGAAACTGGACATCATTGTCATATTTGCGATCCGCTGTGGGCAATTAGTATGAGAATAACTCCAGTGAGAATGGCCAACATACATTTAGGTATGGCTAAGAAGGCAAAAGGTATAACAGCATTCCGATGGGCACGCCAAGCACGGTTAAGGATGTTGCCAATAGAGATATAGGCTGGATGATACTTGACGTTTCCAGTTGCTACAGAGACTGTTGTCTTGTCGCTGCCGAGAATAATAGGTACTAGCATGGTGCCATATGTGGTGGGATCCGCTTCATATATTTCAGTCTGCATCAATATCATCAGTAAGAAGAACAAGAATTATATACATTTGGCATACCGCATGTCACCATGAGAAGTTCCCGGACATGAACTCGCTCCAACGTCACTTTCCATCAGGTCCGAGGTGAATGTATGGAGTTGTCTCAAATTCCTTTGCAAAGTCCGGATTGGCCAACATATTTGCGATAAGCACTGTAGGGTCACGATACCACACCTGGTATGACTGGCATTGCCAATCGGGTGCTGATGGAGGGAGATCTGGATCGGGAGGGCATATGAAGCACTTCCATGGTGCACTGCCTAGCTGAATCTCGTCAATCGCCTTGTACATGTCGTCATGATTTTGGAATGGCCCAAAAGCATCGTGATCCAGCATCGAGAGGTTCCAAAGCTCCATCAGGTGGTTGATATCTCCCTGTGACATCTCAACCTTCTGAAAAAGAAAGTCAGCGATGCGGAACTGAACCTCATCTTCAAAAGGAGCCCACGCATTTTCATTCTGTGGTGGAAAAGAAGGCGGTGGGGAATTCGGTGGCAAATCTTGCCCATGTTCATCACAAGGAATACCTAGAGATTCGAGAAGGTATGTGAGTACCATGGTTTCTTGTATACGAAGATTTTTACCATTTAAATAGGGATGGTATTTCTTTGAGTCATACGAGTTTTCAGGCTCTGCATGTTCATGCTCAGGAAAGTCATTTTCATCAACATTAGGTGATGGAGGACGATCTGTGCGTGGAGAATGTGAAGAATGTGGATATCGTGTGGTTGATGTCATAGTGGTCGCTGGCTCAGGATAACGTCAGATTGGGTCCTGCCTGTGAATAGCAACATGCTGAGTACATCCTTGTTGCGAACAAAAGGTCCTTCCACATCCATATGGGCATGCAATCTGGTCTGTAACATGTCTGGGTGCACTGCGAGGCATGGTGGTAAGAGCTAAGCATGCAATTTCGATTTTCAAATAGCTTACCCAACCATGCAAAAAAATTCAACTAAGTTCCGCACTCTCCTGAACTAAAATCCCTTCCCATATTTCTAGTCTCTTTGTCCTCTCCAACAATGTCCGACCGTCCTGCGACTTGTGCACGCCAAGTTCAGATCCCTACCGAACTCCGGAAGCGTACTCGTGAACAGATACAAGAGGAAAAGGAGGCCAAGGAACGGCTGGCAAAGGAAAAGAAGGAAAAACTTGCAGTGGAAAAAGCAGGGAAGCAGAAGGGGAGTGAGCGAGTGCAGGCTCGAGTAGCTGCTTTTGAGGATAAGCAAGTGTTGGTGGCTAAGACTTGTCATTCCTTGTGCCCTGATTTGGAGAGCGACAACTTACCAAAAGCACCTCGACAGAGTAGCCGATATGCCATGGGCGCTGTCAGCCAAGAACCGACACCATGCATACCCAGCACAGATATAGTTGACACTTGTCAGTCTCTGAAGGTGGACTTGGACCAAGCCATCAACATCATAGTTGGACTCGGAGAGGATCCTGACGATTCCATTGAACTGCCACCAGTCGCACCACCAGACACCGATTCCGAAGGTCTCATGGATGTTGACAGTGCAGTCCTCGCCATGGACAGTAGCGATGGCCAATCAGAGAGTAGGCTGGCTGTGGGCGATGATTATGACAGTGACAATGATGAGAACTGGCAGCCCTCATCTGACCTGGAGGATAGCAGCACCCAAAATCTCACGAAGGCCGAGGCGGCTGAGCTTGAAGCATTCCATGAGTGGAAAAGAGTGCAAACCATTGAGCAGAGAAAGACGATAGCTCAACATGAGCGAGCACTCAAAGTGGAGAAGGCTAAAGTATGTCACTAATTAGTACTCTTCTAACTAGCTAACGGACTTCTTACAGAGAGCTAAGTGTGCTGCGAGAGAGTCAATTAATGCTATACGTGAGGTCCCTCCCACTGTCGTTGGAGTCTCGAAGGGAAGGCCAGGTCAGAAGCGTAAAGAAACCAGCTCTTTAGATGATAGGTGAGCCTCGCGTGCAAGAAAAATGAATTTACTCACTGCATGGAATTCTCAGAGTCGAGCCTCAAAAGCATAGTAGAGGGAGTGCTGTCGGAGGACTTGCTAAGGATTGGGAGGCAGTATACACACAGCCCAATGCCTTGGTATCTAATACCTCCATTGATGGTGCTGCCGAGAGCCAGTTTGACCAAGGCAGCATGCTAGAAAAAGAGGAAGCACACGAAGTCACAGAGGCGGCCAGGGCAGCAAAAGGCGGCCGTAAGAGTGAAATCAAGGTTCGGTTTCGTTTATGGGAGAGCATATCAGCTAACAGGTCCCTCAGAGAGAGCGTGAAGTCGTTCTCCAGCCTGTGGCAGTGGCTGACATCAACAAGAAGGAGCATGAGAAGAAACCGGCAAAAGCGCGGACTCAATGGACAAATAAGGACTTACCTCTTTCCTCCCACCACCTCCAAACCTGGCAGCAAAAAATCATCCCTCGTGTCATCGACTGGAGCGCTTCTCTCGGTGACCCCTTTGGCTCGAATAATCACCCCAATTTCAAGGATGTTGTCGTGCAAGAGTGGATCCGATTCTTTGGGAACCTCCAGGAAACTGTACAGTACGAAGGAAAAACCATCAAGCGAGTAGATCATCCAGCCATCTATTGTGTGGTCAGTCATCCTTTGCCTCTGATAAGTTTTTGAATATATTTCTGTATCCAGACCATGTCTGCAATGCAAACCTATAGGAGTGAAATCGGAAAGTATGCCATGGCCTGTATGGACAACCTTTGGCTTCAAGAGGACATGAAGCAGTATGATACGGTCGAGCGTCGATGCGATTGGGTTCAAGACATGCTGGCATCCTTCAGGTATTTATATGAGTTTCCAGATAAGACGGTAATGTGAATGTTCTTTTGTGCTGTCTGACGAGCAGCTGAGACAATGTACAGGAAAATCGTGGAGCATTCCGTGGATGGCTGGTGATCGATGTCTTTGCCTTCCACATGAATATGGTTTTCACGGCGACTTCGCAACAAAATGGAGGGAACTATGGAGATCTGGCAGGAGCTATGGCATTAACTTGTGCCACGGTGAGTCCTCCTTATTTCTTGCGATGATGGCTATCTACATCCTTGAGATATAGGTCAGACGAGCGCTCACACTGTGGCAATTGGGCTTTAACTCTCTTGCTGCGAATGGTGCAAGTACAAGCAGCAATGGATGACGAGGTGCAAAGAACACTCCCAACAGCTTCAAGGACGATCCCTGGGGGAAAGAGGCACGATCTTTCTACTATCCCCATGCCTCTGCTCTCATGGCGGAAAAATGGGACGACATCTTTTCCCATGCTGAAGTTATAATCAAGAAAAAGGGCTTAGCAACGGCGGCACAGTTGGAGCAAGCCATGGGGGGTGTGAGCAGCGACAAGGGAATGAAACCGCTGTCTGCCAATGATATTGAGCTATCAGACTAGCCTAGGTTTGTCTTCACTTCATTATCATTGAACAGTGCCAATTCTCAGTGGTTCCTTCAGTGATATTCAAAGAATCAGCAGTACAGATAGTGGGATGACTCGTAGCGTACGCTTTATGGTTGTATCGTTGTCTTGGAAATAGAATATCAAACCGTTTTTTATCAAATCTGTGCCTGTGCTACAGGCAAGCTGTATACAAAAGCCAGCTGGTATGGAAGCATGGCTGTATACTAGATATACGTGGCATCGGACAGGTGTATAGCTGTGCGTGATAAGTATAATCAATTATACAGAGTGTATAAATTTACGCAGGTACCTTATCAAGCCATACATGTGCATACTGGTATAGCTCGCATGATTCACATGGCCCCATGCATATCATACAGATGCTAACTTACTGATGTTCAAAATATGGTCAGTATCATGAAAATATCAAACATCAAAAGGATTGTAGCTGAAGTAAATAATTTTACAAGTATCCTAACAGTATGAAAAGGTCTTAGAGGCAGTCTGCTAAGCTATAAGTAACAAGGTGCACAATGTGGGGTTTCCAGTGAAGAGGAGATGATGAGAAGATGATGAGAAGAATATGGAGTTCTAATATCTATATTTGGTATGAATGACACCAAAGAAACAAGCCAATTAAGAGGTAATTGTACGAATGATACACTTTCTGAGGGGAGCCTTATAGGGGCTGGCATGGTCTCTATATAGTGCCTGTGTGGTCGGCATGGCAGCATGGTTGGTCAGCGTAGCTGTGTGTGGTCTGCTGGCATGGTGTGGCAGCGTGGCAGCATGGTGGCATGGCTGCGAGGTACACTGGCATGGTCACTGGCGTGGTCCAAGGTATAGTGGTACATATCGAAGGACTGTTCTGGTGAGAATTAAATGATCAATTCCGTCAGTATTGGAGCATTCAAAGAGGAATTGATGTGATGTCAATGTTGAATCAATGTTCTAGTGTTGTGACATCTTTGGATTAGCAACTTCAAGCTGGTAAAATGAGAGAGTAGCTAAGTTTTCATATTTATCCTTTTCATAATCATAGATACACATGGAAGAGACAATGGCACCTAGGAATCCGAGATTTGATGGTATGAAACCTCTAATTAGCAAAATTTGAGCTTTAAAACATTTTCAAACAAAGGCCTGTTTGTTCCAGACAATTTACTAATGAATAAGAAATAGATACAAGTATATGTTTAGTGAAGTATTCTTATCATTGCACAGTATATATGTACAGTCAAGGCAAGTTCAACTCAAGTTCAACTAAGGACTTGTGTGGCTGGCATGGCACATGACCATGCCAGCATGGTACCACGCCGGTGACCACACTGAATTTCTAGTGCCCTGTCCTTATTGGCTTTTTCTCCACTTCCTCAGGTACTGAAACGTCCATTCAACAAAGGGATCCTAGGAATATAGTATAAGAAAGTAGGTTGAGAGAAAGAGACACAACATTGTGGCTATTGAGAACTCTTCCAAGTTTAAAAAATGCCCCAGGCCTACTCTTCATCGTGCTTCTCCATCGTTAGACTGACACAAACCAAGCCATTGGCCTATTTTCAGCAAAGAACTATATCACCACACAGAGAGTCCAGACATATTTTCCAGAGCTTCAAGCGTTCGTCACGATCTGCCAGTTGAATCACCGAAACTTTTTCAAACTTCCCATCCCATCATTGCTGCCTGACAACCAAATGTAATGAGGGATAAATGCTATGGTTGCCAGAGGGTATACGAGCCATCAGGTATGGGGTAAACATGATCAGCAAGGATCTTAAGTGTACAGACCCCAGTTTCTCCTGAAACCACCAACTCGCCCGATCAGGGCTTCACTTTCTTTTTCTTTGATACTGCTCCCAATCCATGCACAATACCTGACTTCACACCCCAGCACTGGTACAACATGTCAGTACCTTTCCGATCAACACTAAAGGACACCGATTTGGAAACTGAATGAGAGCGAGGCCATGATAGAGGTCACATTTTCATTATCTGATCCCATGATGGCCTCCAACATTTACGTCCATTCCCAGGTTCAGGGTATATAAAAAGCAAACCCGCGTGGTGTTCCATACGCATGGCATCCACTAGTGATCCCCAGGCATCCTCTTCAGACTCGTCTTCATTGTATATCAGGATAAACTTCTGGCAGAGAGGATATGCCAGGCCTGTGACTCTATCCCAAGGATTTGTCGATACCCGATTCTGCATGTTCTGCAGGATCAAAAACACACTCTTAAACATCAAATCCTGCAACGATTTTAGGCGTCTGTCGACTATCCTTTGCATTTTTGCATCCATCTGGTGAACGTCGCTCTCCCCAGCAATGATATACATATTGCTGGCCTCCTGCAGCATCCATGCACGCCTGAACCAAGACCGATCACTTTTCAAGTCTCCTGACTTCAGGAAAAAAGGTCGGCCCAGCCCGTTGAGGTAATACACCACCCTTGTACAGAGATAGACAGCTCCGATGGTAGGCACGTCGATCTTCCACTCTTCTCTGTGCAAATCCTCCCTCTGCCCACCTTTTTGCCTCAAACACAAAACATCTAACCAAACATATTCCATTCCAAGGTTCAACAACTCAATCCGGACAAGATTGAGGTCCGTATCTTTGGGAATCGGCACAGGCCATTCATAACCATTGATGGGAGTCCACACCTCAATGCACTCGTCATCAGACACCCATGCATGTGATATTGGTGATGGACACATGTCCAAGGGAACCCAGCATGGTAACACCCGATTAGCATAGAGATCCCAGACTCGTCGAGGGTAAGCCTTTCTCGAGTCGGGGAATTTGCTTTTCATCACCAAATATTCTCGTCTTTCCCGATCCTTATTCCATGATTGGTGGATGCATCTGAATATTTCCAGGCGATACCACTACGGACGCACATGAGCATAGAGAGTGCCAAAGTCATAATCTTGTCTGATGAAAGATTCAAGAACGGAGGGCAAGACGGGGTGGTTGAGAGTATATGATGTGCCGAGTATTGCATTAAGCTCCTTCAAGACCCCATTCATACTGAGGTAGGCACAGCGAGTGTCTGCGAGAGCGGATTGTATGACAGGCATGGTGCTAGTGTACTACCGTTGCTTCAGCACTGGAATGGTTGATTCTGCCTTTCCAGTCTCAATGAGGGCGGAGAGGGTGACCTCAGGGAGGCTGTTATAATTGTCCCAAGTTAAACGTCTCTGAAATATGTTATTTTCTGCACTTTGCTTACATTTAAGTGCTTACCATCTTATACAAGAACTCCCGCCACTCATGCCCGCACCGTTGCACCTCTGCAAAGTAGCCGTAGCGGAATTAGAATAACAAGGATTGAAGGTGAGACAACCACATGTACCATCGAATTGGATAATGTGGATAGGCATTAATATGTGGTTGCACAGAAGGTATTGCTCATGCTGTCCTGGTGGTGAGAACGAAGCTGTGCAGATTAGTGCCTGGACTATCAACGTGTGCCACAACTTTCCATCAGCCGCACTGCTGATGATCCAGAATAAAGCATCATGACCAATCAAGTACCCATGATCTTTTTCACTGTCCTAGCGCTAACTGAGTAATTGACATGTCGGGAAGAAGAATGTCCTTGTCTTCCTCGAAAACTCCCTTGTATGCAGGAACTGGTTCCTTTGCTAGCTGAGCAAATCAATGTGGAAAAAAATCTGTTATCTGGCATTTGTGCTTCTTTCGCTCGCTAGAGATGGTATCTTCAAGCACGACAATCATCCTCCGTTGGATTCGAAAAGACAAGCATCGAAAATGTACTAGAGTATGACTACTTGACCCCATCAATCTTGTCTTCGGAGCATTCCTCGTCCCTCCAATATGCTACAAACTAAGTTTAAGAATCAGGTAGCTTCGCCATGGCATAGAAGAAATCCTATCCAGTGTATCAAAAAGCCTTAGAGCGTCTCCTGTCTGTGTCGTAATTCATATTTGAACATCGTATCCACTTGGTATTGCAGAGTTATTTGCTTAAGGTGTAGCTTCTGAGGCTCGTCGAGGACGTCGGGCAACGAATTGTTTGATATTCGTGCTCAACTTGTCACCAAGTGACAGCACTGATGATTAGCTGGAGTTCTTCGCATCGCTCTTCTTATTCCTTGTGCTGTCTGGCAAAACATGGGCCTTTGCGAGATGCTCATGCTTTCAGTGCAAGCTGAGGACCAATAATAACAATAACAGCCTTTGTATGTGCATCTCGTTTGAATAGCTGGTGTTGTCCTTGCCTATAGCCGTTGCTGAATGACTCTTTGTTACCCTTGGTTGCCTGTACCATCTGCTTACTCTTGAGCGGATATATATTGAAGTCACAAAGCATGCCAAAATATCTGGCACAGGCCCTGTAAAAGATGAAAGAATGTTCAATTCGAGATGCCGATTATTGTAGGAAATGCATACCAGATATAGGACGAAATACAAGTTCGTTCAACTAATGTACATTCGATCCACAAATCCAGACATCGATTTGGCTTAGAGATCTGAACCAACGACAATATGACTGGCCTATATAAATTGTCTGGGTAAATGTCTGAATTAATGAATGAGCTGAGAAGACAATAGCGAACGTGGATTGAAATAGTAGTTGTAGACAACTGGGAAAATATTCTGGATAAACCAGCCCGTAAGCTGCTGCTTTGATCCTGACTTCCCGCAGCTTTTCTCTCTGCTAATACGACTTCACCCATGCTGTCTCCTCTCAACAAAGCTTTACTGCACGTAGCAAAATATTACATATCGCTTTGACGACGCTATAGTTTCTGTCACGAATGTCGTCCTAGGAGGCATGAGCCACGAAACCCCATCGTCAACCCATGTAAATGCTCCTTCAGAAACTGCGCCCTCACCTTCTCCCAGTACGATGACCTGGTATCCAAATTCCAGAATGTTGGGATTTGGCAATCCGGCATCATGCCGAGTTTGCTTATTAAGGTAGAAGTCTGAGGAAAAGCATGGAAAGTTCTAGTAAAAGTACATTTAGTATAAAAGTAGGTACTGTAGCATAGATCCTCATGCGTTTGCAGAGCTCAGCCAAGCGCAATACTATTGGCTTGCTACTGCACATGTGACACTGGGAACAAACCGATACCCTGTTTTCCAACACAGAAGGTATTCCACGTCTCGACTATCCTCACCACCACATTGAAACACCTCGTCTTTTGCATCAGACACAAGTCCTTAAGACGAAGGAAGAACTGCTGAATCAAGCACATTGTACCCTGTCATTGATGTAAATAGGGTGCGGGGCCTGAAGGGAATATGGAGAGGAAACGTGTACTGATGGCATCGTGGATGATCAGCATGCCTAGCTGATTGAGGATATCGATAACAGGAGTGATGATCACATGGTCGGCAGTCTACTTTGAGCACTGCTGGGGTGTGCCGGTCTTTTGACCCGAAAACCAGCATGCAAAAACTGGTACTATTTTGGACGTGTCTTTGGCCCAGAAGATTTGGTGTGAAAAGACCATGACAAATATAGCGCACTTTGTACTTAATTCTTTGTATCTGTATTTCAACCGAAAAAGAGCAAATGGAAAACATGCGGTCTTTGGACAGATCTTCGATCCAGTGGTCTTTGGAAACCAAAAACCTCTGATCTGATTACTGGTTTTTGGTTCGGTCTTTTGATCGGTTTTTGTATTGGTCTTCGGATCACTTCCTTTGTTCTTTCCTTTGTTCCTCTGGTCTTTTTGCCCAAAAGACCGGTTCCAAAGACCAAACCAAAGACCAGTAATCAGATTGGAGGTTTTTGGTTTCCAAAGACCACTGGATCGAAGATCTGTCCAAAGACCGCATGTTTTCCATTTGCTCTTTTTCGGTTGAAATACAGATACAAAGAATTAAGTACAAAGTGCGCTATATTTGTCATGGTCTTTTCACACCAAATCTTCTGGGCCAAAGACACGTCCAAAATAGTACCAGTTTTTGCATGCTGGTTTTCGGGTCAAAAGACCGGCACACCCCAGCAGTGCTCAAAGTAGACTGCCGACCATGTGATCATCACTCCTGTTATCGATATCCTCAATCAGCTAGGCATGCTGATCATCCACGATGCCATCAGTACACGTTTCCTCTCCATATTCCCTTCGGGCCCCGCACCCTATTTACATCAATGACAGGGTACGATGTGCTTGACCAGCACACCCCAGCAGTGGAGGGTACGAAGGACGAGGAAGGAAATATGTATGAGCCTTTTCGCAATGGACGTCGAGAAAGTTGTTGGTTATGCTTGAATTGGGTAGTTCATCGCTGATGAAACCCTTTCCACGGCCGACTCAGAGAGGTGAGTTTCATCCCGTAAATTTCTTCAATCGAAGTTACACGTTACACCATGAACCTGACACGAGGCCTCGTCCCGACATCAGCCAACAAACTGTAGGGAGATATAGCGGTCCCGACTACGCTGGCCCATTTCACGTCATCAAAGCCGCAGTGTCGTTACCTGGTGATCTGCACGATCGAGCTCGCATTTCATGTGGGGATGGAGCAGCAGGAAGCTTTGAGGGTTGTGCTTCACTTTCATCCTTCATTGTAGCGTTCGGACGCTGGAGAAGGATTATTGTTCCGATTCGATGAAGCCAGGGAAGGATACTCGTACGCCCCAGAAGACTCAAATGATGCATTTCCTCAAAGCAATCTATTCCTCCAAATTGGCCCTGCCATACAGACTGCTGCGAAGATTTCAGTCGGCATCAATTGAAGGACTACCGACATCCGCTACGTGGTTAAGCCAGAAAATAACGACGGTCTGCATTGCATTGGTAGCAGGGGTTATATCGAAAATTGTGAGTGCTCACCCTTCTCGTTTATGGGAATTCGTTGACTGAACATTCGCCTAGACAGATGGAACGTACGCGTGTCCCTCACCACCAAAAGACTGGTTCCCATTCAAAATAGACCCAGTCTCATGAAAATCTGCATAGCAAGTATTTGGCATAGTGCAGTCGTGCTCTTTCTTGGAGGCTTTCCTGCTATTTCCTGTGATCTGCATACCTTTCCGGGACGCAGCATGAATACTGTATGATGCAGAACTCGTTTATTGTGGACAACAATGGCTGGGCTTTGTTGATGGTACATTGATATCCTTTGGTTAAAAGGTGACTTTGGAAACTCACCGAGTCAAGTGCATACCATTCTTTAGTACTGATGAATGTCGAGCAAGAGCTGTCAAAGCGTCAGTGAGGGTAACGTTCTCTTGCGTTCTGACTGAGAGTGGAAAGGGTACGTCTCCATTGTCCTTATCTCCCTCTCTCTGACGCTAATGTCGTGTTCTGTAGTCTATGCCTTTGGTTCCGATGAGAAAGGCCAGTTCAGCAATGGAACGGCTGGGGAGGGTATCAAGACTGGAAACAAGACGACGTTCGATATCATTTACGAACCCTACTTGGTGAAAGATTTCAGTGCTGAGACGATTACGCAGCTGTCGTCAAGTCAGAAGCATTTGATTGCGCTGGACAAGAAGGGGTCCGTAATTCATGTCGTTCTTGCCTTGGAACCCTTTCCTTCTTCACTGTGTCGCCTGTGCCCTTTTCACATACCCTCATGTCTGTTTAGAGCTCGTCCTTACTCTTCTCATTCGAGACCTTTCAATGTCGTTCTCCATTGCTAACTGCTCTTTACAGTACCATTCATGTCTAGGGATACAACGGCTACTGTCATCTCGGTCTAGGCAATCAGGTCGATGCGCTCCAACCCAAGCAGGTGCCTCAATTCACTGGAGTGAACACAGGTGTACTCATCGTGGGGGCCAGTAACTCAGTCATCGTGGATAAGGGCAGAATGTACTGGATGACCGGCGTGGTGCGTACCCCCTTTGTTAACTTCATGCTGTGGTACTCACTGATGATTGGCCAGTGGAAGAACTCTGGAGATGGGTCATCAGACTCACCGTATAGCAGCTTCCAGTACGTGCCTGACATCATGGGCTGCAAAATCACTGCTGCCGCCGCTTCTGGAGGTGTGACACATTGGGCTCTAACACCAGACGATGAGGATGAGGGTGTGATGACCATTTCATGAGGGTCAGAATGCTGCGAATGGTACAGTCTTCCCTTCCGTTCCATACTAAACCTCGACACTAATGTCTGGATAGGTGAACTCGGTCCGGGACCATCTGAACCCAAATCAGCAACGAAACCTATCAAACATCAACTGTTGGCCGGTTTCGACCTGCTGTCAGTCACTCCTGGACAGAATACGACGCTTTTCCTCATTCGACCATCGGACAAGATGAGCGAGCTACCACGACATCCTGTCGAGGTTGAAGTGAGTGACGCCTGCATTATATGTCGCAAGGAGGAGGAGGCGCTAGAGTGTGATAAGGTGTGTTGATGTTTTCTTCCCTCCTTCCTCCAGTACTGACATGAGTGATTTAGTGCAATAACCGTACCATCTATCGTTCCTCACCCCACCTTGGATGACCGTACTGGAGGGTGAAAGGTTCTTCCCACAATGTATCAGCACGCCGGTGGAAGGCTGATGGTGATTCGGGTAAGATGAAGGCGCCACCAAATAGTGATGGGAAGGCAAGTGCACCGAAGAAGAAGAAACAGTAGCTGTTATCACGGTGGGCATGGACTATATGTTATTTTATATGTATCACCTCAAAATATTCATCAAGCACCGCTGTAACACGTTTCTTCGATTGAATTTATTATTACTGTGGACTCTATATTGGTATATTGCGTTATGCAAGAACAGGAATGATGATGATGATGATGATTCTCTGGGATGAATTGGTTTATTATCCTCTGCAGTATGGTAGGAAACGAAGGGTATGTCGTTGTTCTAATCATTTTCATTCCAGCTGATAATCTAACTTCCTTGTATATAGGTCTTCACTCAGCTGCTGCGGTATCCATTTGTACGGCTACTTGGGGTAAGTTGAACACCCCCCAAAAACAATGATAATTTTGTCGCATAGGTGCATTATAACAAGGAAGATAATCGCTCAAGGACATACTGGAAAGGGTGCTACCAACTTAACAATATCGCTCTGTTACCGTTAATCAGTGAAGACCGTCTCCGGGAGCATATTCCTGCTCGTACTATCGCCAGCCCTATCGACACACCTGCATAACCATGCAGGGGCTGATGCGGCATTTTCGATACCCGTCGACTGTCGCCACCAGTCATTCTCGACTTCTATTCATCTCTATTGCGGTGCACTCCCGCCTAGTGCTGACCTGAATCACAGATCACAAGAGAATCCTGACCTGGTAGAGTGCAGGGGACCTATTCCTGACAGTATGCTTCTTGACTCTCCGACTCTCCATCGGTATTCTTCTGCTGCTGTTTATGCCTTTGGAAGGGGAGAAATGTGACGAGCAGGCGAAGGTGATGACACCGAGCACAGTCTCCATGATCACAGCAGTACGAGACAATGTTCGAATGGCGCAGGAAACGAATGACGTGAACATACTGTTGGTGTTATCTTCCATCAGCGAGCGGAATAAAGAATTGAATTGAAAGAGGCACTCTGTTATGTTTCTAAAGACAGTCATCATGACGAACATTCCCTCCGAGTCATTCTTGGAATGTTCAGACGATGGTTTATGTCTGGAAGAAGACGTTAAACTCCAAGGTTTCGATTCTGGGCTCAGAGGTGGTACAAGACTCGGTATATTTCTTCAAGCCAGATAAGAAGCCTCACCATTTCGATGGATCGTCGTCATACCAGTAAAAGGATACGATAGGATACAATACTTGATGACCCAAGTCAACAAGTCTGTCAGTTCGTTGGAGAACTACCTGGGTACAAAGCATTGTATGCTCTGTCATCCCACCTAAATTGACGCCTTTCCAAGCTTCAAGCCATTGAAAACTCACGGGGGTGCGTCATCTCACTATATGTTGTTCACCTCGTTCAGTAATACCCCTGCAGCTCACAACAGAATTCTGTGCCCAACGTAAACAGGAAAAAAATGAAAACCCAGTTACCTGATTTACGTAGTGGTTGGAATCTGGCTCCAGAGTTCGACGTTAGAGACACTAGGTGCGTTCTATTTGTTTCTGTGCTGTATCTAAATGAAAGCTACCCTGCTAGTCTCACTGTTACGGAGGAAGGCGAGTAAAATGAAGAGACTGCCACTAACCTACCTGGAGTGGTAGGATGACAGGACGTGCTATAGAATCAGAAATGAGCTTAGCCAGATAGGCAATGACTCACTAGCATGAATGTATCTTTATCCCACAAATTACAATGACACTCTTTGTCGTCTAAACCATTTGGATATAAAACAGACCACGCTCCTCAGCTACGTGTCTGCGGCGTCCATACAAAGGTTAAATGCCTTCCAGGGCCCAACATGGAAGGAAGATACTAATTAGGAGCCCATGCCGGAGGGGCAATGAGACAAGAGATTCATCGATGTTTGTCACTGGTGCTGCTTCATAATTGGGTCAGCAACCAAAAATCCACAGATAAATAAGATCCTACCCACTATCATGACACCCAGATGAACAACAGTTGTGGATACACATTCAAGATGACTGTTCTGGTCTCTTCATGATTCGCATCACAGTATAGAGGGGCTGGGGTCGATGATATTCGTCGGTGCGGACTCGACTGTAGCGCATAGAGCTGGGCGCATTGAGGTTGAGTAAGTAAGAGAAAGGGAGTTTTCTGACAATAATGTACGACACTGGAAAGTAGTGGACAGGGCACCTTTGCACAGTGTGGGCTAAATACTGGAGAAAGGAAGCCTGAAATTGAAATTCCCGACGTCGGCAATCAACGCTTTCACTCCGGCCCTAAATAATACTGCACTCACACAACGAAACTTGAACACAAGCTCTGGCTAGTCAATGGTAGATCACCCGACGTGGACTTGGATCTAGAATCTGTCAGATGGTTTTCGCTTGCTCTTTTATATGAGCCGGACTTTGCGCACTGACAGTTTAGTCAAACGAACAAAAGTCCCTGACTCCTTATATAATATACGCATGCGGCATCTGTTGTAGTTGAGACTAATCTGCGGGTCAGGAAGTATCGTGAGAAGGATACTTGTATAACACATAGGTAGTCGTAATGAAAATGGGTTCAACTTTACCTTGGAAGGGAAAGTTTAAGTATTTGATAAGCTGATTAACTGCGAAGGTTCAGCAAGCACTCAAGATCACTCAATGGTAATATGTAGACTGCAAAGTAAATTGTAAGGTGGTTAATACATGAGCTGCTGAGCGTATATATACCTGTAACATTAGAACCTTCTTCTATCTTCCAGTAGGTACTATGCGACTCAGTATGAGGAGCATCACTGCGGCACAGTAAACTAAAGAGGTAAAGATAGTGGATATGAGTCAAATGGAATATTGTCTTTGATAGGTAGTGATATGGGAAGGAAGACGAGAGGGATACATGAGATATTACCAGAATACCATAACAGCATCCACAGACCCTCAAAAAGGAATTGTTGGTTTGGTTTTCAGGCATTGTCAGAAGACAGATTCGAACCGCCTAGTATACTTCCTCGGATTTGAACTACTCATCCAAGACCTCAATCTCAATTTAATGAACGATGATCACTTTATCAAGCGCGACATTTTCAAGGCACCGAACATCCAACTTCGGTCGTTCTACTTCCAGGCAGGAAATCAACTAGCTAATACTGCAAAGTCAATATAGAAGAAGTCACCCATTCGCAAAGAGTACAAAAGGTACTGGTAGGAGTATCTCATTAGAAGCGAGGAGCGCAGGAAACTCGTGGGGAGAAAATAAAATTTTCCTTTTCTAGGAGAATATTAATTGCCGATGGAGGGATTCGAATCATCCCATTTGGGGACACGTTACCACTAACCGGTGGTTGGCAGTGGTATTCCAATGCCAGACGACTCTCGTGGTTCCATTGCTACAGTTCTTTCCTAGGAGGTGGTCTTCGAATCAGGCTTGAAAGTGGCATCGTGGTTTTATTCTTACTCTGACTGTCTATGTGAAAAACGGAATATTACGGTAGATCTGACTTCCCATTTCTGTCGGTCAACAAAAATGAACATGCCATGCATGAAGTATTACCTGCCAATCAGGAGATTCAAACTTGTTAGTAGGATTATACCCCCTTCACGATGATGGCCGGCGAAGATGGTTCTTGCAAGACATCCTTGGTAAGATTAAAACCCTTCCCTCCTGCATCTCTTCGTTTACAGGATCGAAGTCACCACTGCAGTGTGGATAGCTTAGGGAGAGAATATCATGTTCAATTCCATGAAAGTCGTAAAGGGTATGAATGACTGAAAGGAGAATGTGGTTAAGAATGGTGGGTGAGGAAGGAACACGAGTAATGCAGGAATCACAAATATCCGGACTGTTCCGAGCGATATGTCAAAATAGATAGATGATGGGCATTTCCTCCGAGTCATTCTGGGAAGTTTCAGATAATGGCTTATGTCTGGAAGAAGACGTTAAACTCCAATATTTCAATTCTGGGATTAGAGATGATACAAGACTGCCTATATTTCCTCAAGCCAGATAAGAGGCCTCACCATTTCGACAGATCGTCATCGTCCCAGTAAAAGGATACAATGACCCAAGCCTGGAGGACCATCAGTTCTTCGGAGAATTATCTGGGTACGAAGCGTCGTATGTTCTGCTATGCCAATTTAAATTTACGTGTTTCCAAGCTTCAAGCTATCAAATCTTGAGCCACAACCAGTCAGAAAACTCATGGAAGTGCCTCATTTCTCTGCTTGTTGTTCGCCCCCTTCACTCATACCCTTGGAAATGAATACCCAGTTACCCGATAAGAAAATGGCCTCAACTTGGCCAAAGGTGTGAAACTGTTCGGCTTCGATTCTGATCTCAAAGATGGTCCAAGACTGGAACATAATTCTGCAAGCAAAACAGGAAGCCTTGCCATTCCGATGAATCATCGTCGTCCCGGAAAGAGGATGCAATAAACTGTTTCATGCAGAGTCGTACGAATGGATCCAACATGCGATACGCCAAGCCTAAAAGACTGACAGGGCTTTGCAGGACTATTTTGGTACCAATCGTGTGTATTCTGTGATCCCATTCATATTGATGAGCCTCCAAGTTTCAATCCATCGAATCTCGAGTAGTAGCCGGTCAAAAACGCATGAAAGTGTGTCATTTTCACCTCATGTTGTTTGCTCCATTCACTCATCCCCTGCAGTTCTTACCAAAATTCTGCACACAAGGAATGCTTGACAAAAGAAAGTGTCCTGTTACCTAATCAATGCAGTATTTGGGATCTGGCTCCAGAGCTCGAAGTTAGAGACACTAGGTGCATCCTATTTATTTCCGTACTGTATCCAAATGATATGAGACCCTGCTAGTTGCATTGTTACCTCAAAGACGAATGCTTTCGCTGATGCTTCGCTGACATGTGCTATTCATTTGCTTCATGTGACTCCACCCATAGGTCCCTTACATCTTTCATTGGAATGCGTCTGATTTTGATACCTACCCCACGAACCGCAGAGAATGTCTTGAATGCAGGGGTAGCAACTGTAGCAACAAATTGCCATCTACAACCTTGATGAGGACCGATATAAACAACTCGGAAAGGAACAAAGAACAGTTCGGCAACGCAAGAAGGGCATCAATCAAAGCACTCAACGAAGATGACTGTAGTGATGTGCAGGCTTGGGCTTGAGCCTAAGCCGACCCTGAGCCGGCCCAAGCCCAGTGAGGCCCAAGCCTACTGTAGTGGGCTTGGCTTGTTGATCTGAAAGCCCAAGGCCAGCCCAAAGCCCTGGGCTTTTGGTATAGTATTTTTCCACTCATTTACTGAGTGTTCTGCTATGATTTCAGAGGGAATTACCCATATATTGCATTTCTGGCACCACCCCAATAATTTTAGCATGATGCCGGGCATTTGCTGACTTGCATTTTGCCTTCACTGGCTGCCTGAGGATGACATCATTACTATGCCGAGGATAGCGGCATCTTGAATTAGCATTTATTCACTCTGTGCAAGTTGCACATACCTTCACAATAATAAAATATGCTAACGAGGTGAGTTATAACTTTGTTTCATTACTTAAAATAGTGCTAAGTATGACTTCTCTCTGTGCACTAAAAGCCCAGGCTCAAGCCCAAGCCGGCCTGAGCCGAGCCCTGTTTTCAGGCTTAGGCCGGGCTTGCTATTTCTTCAAGCCTGAGCCTGCCAAAGCTGAGCCAGTTGAGCCCAAGCCCAGCCTGCACATCACTAGATGACTGTAGTATCCCAGGAACCGTGTTGGAACAAACAACATGAAACATTAAAGAATACGCATACAAAGAACTTCAAGACGTTATTCAATTGTAATTAATCGTTCGACCACTCATATGCTGACAATGTTAATCGTTCTTGACCTCCGCGCTTAACAACCGTCAGGAACAGTCTCATCATCAATGTAGTTGGCAGTGTTCATTCCCAAACCACGGCTCGCAAACGCGTTCCAGAGGATGCAAGAATTGGCCCCATTGTAACAGTTCATGTCAGCTTGGATCCAGGCATCGCGTGCGTTCATGACTACAATTCAAATTCAATGAATCAAACTCAATTTGAAGAAACATGGATGAGCACTTACAGGTAGGATTGCAAGGCTGCAGGGCAAGCCCATCGATGAAAAGATGGAGGTAAACGACATTTCCTTCCGACCCAGACGCATCGTCCATAGCAGTCGCCGACCATCCATGCGCTTCAACAAGCACTGCATATACGTTGTGCAGCATGTTAGCCCATACCTCCCTGATATCTGGGCATGACTCCGTTAGCACACAGTTTAATTTTTACAGAGAGGATGAACCATGAACTTCGGAGAGTGAAGCAAGTGACGAGTAACAGAGGGGATTGACAGCAGGATCTGTGGAGTATGGGAAGCGGCATACACTGGCAGTATTGTTCAAGACCCAGGTTCCTGTTACAAAGTCGGTTATGTTCCCGCTCTTTTGTTCCGTCCACCTAAACGTTTAGCATAAGTGTCATGATCAAAAGGAAAGGGAATTCGATCGACGTACTCTGCCATCGCATCAGACCAACCTGAGAGAAATGAAAGTCAAAAAAGGCGCTTTCTGAATGCTAAGATACTGCACCTTCACCCAAACCCCGAGATTCAGTGATCTGCAAGCACTGAGCTGTTCCGCTGCCAGTCATACGATTAGTGAGAACCATGCATAAACTCATGAATGATGATATCATTCTGAAAGTCTCCATCATGATGGGGGGTAGTCAAAGTAAAAATGTACATGTGGCAAGTACCATTCTGGCCACTATAACTAAAATGAGTATGCTTGTCAAATAATTTAAACATGGACTTACTCGGGAAGAGTCTGAAAATTGGCGTTATTGAATCCAGAGGAGTCCTGTACCGACATCTGCACGCGATCTCCTTCTGCTCCTCCCTTTCCGAAATTGTCCAATTGGAAATTGTACGTCGCCTCAGTCCAGCCATACTTGTATGTGAAGTCGTGGACCTTGTTAATGATATAGAAAGTGTTGGTACGGGCTGCATCAATGTTACCTCCCTCCGTTGGGTCGAAGTCGACATCATATGGATAATCAAATGTGTCGGTGGATGATTCTACAGTCGTATTCGTCGGAGTTCCCTTATAGGCCATGACATTGTTTCCGCTATCAAACAGTAAGTGATTTTACTCTGAAAATGATGAAATGAAAGACTAATGCGGTCTCGGCATTCTGCACCCATCCTATGGGAGAAGAATCAAGGTCCTCGGGATCGACCAGAGTTTCTTCGCCCTCCAACACATTCTGTTTAGTTATAGGTAACACCGTGTACTGTAGATGTATAAGACATACATCTGAAAGCAAGAGGTGGAGGAATATTTACTGTAGCTTCAGCGAGGAAATCAGTGAGGGCAAGGATATCTCCTGAATGCACATCAACAAATGCTTCGTAGCCTGCATTGGTAGTGACGTTTTGGACTTGAACTACATGAGTGAGTGCAATAGACCCATCCGACTGGACGAGATATTCGAGCGAGTTCATGCCACTGTAGGTGGCAGAAAATGCGTCCTCAACCTTACTAATCATCGAATCGATAGCGATGGATGGCGCGGATGATGCTATGTTTGCTATGTATGACGTCAATGGTAGAAAGGAAGACAATAGTCCAGTTAACATACAGGTATCCACGAATGATGACCCAAAGACAACTGCTTTGCCATTCTTGAAAGCCACATTTGCAACCGCGTTCGCCAGAGGAACCCCGTCCTGCAAAAGATTAACAAGTGACCTCGTAAGAGGAGAGAGGATGCCGTACGTGATACTGCTTCGCATACGCGTAGCTCATTCCGTTCTCTGCAGTGTGGCCAGAGCTATAGGCAACGGCGGAAGAATCAATGCCGAGCTCTGAGGCAACAAAGGAAATGGTAGATGTCTGTAGGTCACCGTTAATGAACGAGGTGACCTCTTTCCCTTCTCCATAAGTCTACAAGACACTATCAGACTTGCAAAATTAATCAATGAACCCAGATAAGTTACCTTATATGACGCCGTCGGATGGTAGCTCTCGACCTTCAAGTTGCGACTGATGATCTTGACTTGGTGAGTAGAGCCCTTTGAATAGGCTGGGCTGGGCGCAGCCTTGACAAGGAGTACAGCAAGGAATACGGTAGAGAAAAAGTTGGTACCAAAAGTGCGCATATTCTGTTCCGCTTGAGTGGATGATAGAAAGACGAGGAAATATCCTGTGAAGCTAACTCAAGCTGTCAAGACAGGTTATATACGAGTAACCATTTTCTACAAAGGCTAGCCATGATAATGGAGAAATATTTGGTTCCACAACTGATGAAATGGCGAGTCCATTGAAGTTCGAGTCACCACATGCACACATCCCTGAAGTGACAGAAATAGAGAATTCCGGAATCCAGGCAAATGGCTGATACGTGGCGAAAGCAAGACAAAGAAAAGCAGGTAGACCAATGTATACTATTTCCCCCATTCCAGGAACACTGATACTGTCATGGGTTTCAAGACACCGATCAAGTACCACGGGAATAGTCATCTTCGTATCATAAGTTTTTGTAGTTGCACTTGCAGCGGATAATCAATACGGCATCAGCTACTTATTACGAGAGGAAGCATGTCTCTGGTCGACGACAAACGCAAGGGAAGAGCTAGAGAAAGGAAGTGAAAAGAATTGAGCTGTCGAGACCACCTCGCACGGTCCAGAGGAGAGGGAACAGCGCTACAGCATTCATGGGTAAGGTTGCACTGGTCCAAACAGGGAATCTATGCTAAGCCTGACGTCCGCCCTGAATGCCATGCAGTCCCAGCCCGATGTCCTTGCCAGTTATGTTCCATTGCTTGAATCTGTACATGGTTTGAATACCTTGCCGTGGTGTTTGGTTTTGAGGAACAATCATCATCGACATTAAAGATGTAAAGAAGTATAGTCAACAAAGTAGGATGGGCACTGTCATGTTGTGGTGTGGTGCTCCTGGCATCAGCCGCATCACTGCACATCACTGGGAGGAAGACTCATTAACATATAAAAATCTTATTGAAGTTACTGGTGAATGTATGAGCGGTGGGGATTAACCAACTCTGAACGTATCACTTACCATCTTGTACTATTCCTTTCTTTACCGTTCCCAACATGTCGGCTAAACAAGGTGCTATTTTCATCCGCCCCCAGTACTCAAACCTCAGCAAATCTGTCGCTAGAGAAATGGAAGTCGAACCAGGTACATTTCATCGAACAATGTCAGCCTTGTGCTTCAGCTATTAATGTCCTGTCAGAACGGTAGAACTTCATCTGTGGTCAGCTATTTGCATATGAAAGCACCACAAGCTGTATTCAAGGGACTAACTGGATCTTTATTGTCACATCCAGATACATCTTTTGAATTCAGGTGTTTTTGGAGCCCGGTAATACAGAAGAATATCAGAAAGATCGACTACATCACCAGACAATCGAAGAGCCAGTGCCCTGAAAAACAGCAGAAGTAATGAAGACTTCATGGCACTATTTAATAATGTTTATGGGTGTGGAATTCCACTGTAATGAATCCATAATTTACCGAAAAACAGAGCGGCACTTAGCGTAATTGAGGCATAAGATAGTGTCATATTTTCAATTTTCAAGGTGAAAGCGGCCAGCGTCTATGATCACACCTTCAGGTCGACTAACTCAACAATTTAGGGAGTAGTGTCTTGTATATCATTTCTTCAGCAATCCGTTGTCTGCTTGAACCATAACCAGAGGATACCAGATTCCCGAGAAACAGGAGCAATGCGACAAGAGAAAGACAAAGAAAATCAGGATGGCCAGGATACACGATTTACATCACCCCAGGAACACTACTGATACCACATGAGCATACAAGACGCCGATCTGATTTAAAAATGGCCGTCTATATGCTCGTAGTTGCCTTTGAAACACCATATGAGATCAATCATTACGTGAAAGTAACGTCTTGGTTTTGTGCTAAAAACAAGGACAGCACTGGAGAGGTGCAGTCCAAAGATGAGAGCTTTGTAGGTCCAATTGTCTTCGTTTGCATTGCACTTCTTGGATATGTACCATGGGGCTGAGTATCTTCCCGGTGAAACTTGAGCTCGATGAACCATCAGAATTGGACTTAGAGTTGTCGAGAAGTAAGAGTACGAGCAATGAAATGAAATAGAACGGCATTGATATTGTGCAGAGTGCTACCACCACCGGCAGAAATACTAGCCAGACTAGCAAACGTGCGCATGCTCAATACGACTCAAGAATCTGTCAATAGGGAATGGAAGTTGCACCAGGTACCTTTCTCACCGAACAAAGTCTACCTTGGGTTGGAAATCCATTCATGGCGGTAGAACTTTTCCATCGTCAGCTGTTCCAACATGAGAAGCACAGTAAGTATCAAGATGTATTCTATGGAATACTTTCGCATTCTTGCAACCACCGCTTTGTTTTGTATTCAGGCGTTTTGGGTGCCCAGAGGTGTATCAGAAAGAATAGCTGGGTCAGCAGACAGTACTCATATGCAATCTTTATGGTCGAAGAGTCAGCACCATAATAAACAGAATGTGGAACGACTCATCGTAGCAAAAAAAAGTGTACAAAATCACCACACGACGGGATTGTCAGTACCCTCACGACATAACACGAAACCGCATCATTAACCTGGCGCACGAATACTCTCCTTCCAAAGCAGCGCATTATCTTTTCCCGGTACCACAATCTGACATCCAAATTCCTCCAAGGCTTTTCTCGTCTTGACCACTATCAGCATATCTCCGAAAAATTTCGTCTTGCATGTAATACATAAGTCTCCAAGATGAGGAGAGTGTGTCAGATCGAACACATCTTGCGTGTTCCCCGTTCTGACGACAGGATCAAAGTGGTTGACGGGACACGAGAGAAGTTTGGTCAGAGAACCGATGCTGACGTACTTGTTCTTCACCGACTGCGTTGAAGACGAGGGTGCACCTACGCGGGCAGTGAACGCGTTGATCCAGATGTCAGATATATCAACGTCCGTAGCCGGGGTGATGGCCGGGTGTGAGACCGACAGTGAGGAGTGAAGCACAGAGAAAGATGTGTACGCGCGTGCACAGGAACTTCGGTGAGAAGACAGCATTCCAAGAGTTATTTTGGTACTTCTGAAACTGGGAGGGCACACAAAGCCCCGACTGTTGACTCGAAGCAGTAAGCTGATTGGCCTCGAGACGGTGACGTGCTGGGCAGAGCTGATGACCGCCCATTCGAGGTGGCGGAAGGAGTGGGAGTTGCTAAAAGGTATGATATACAGTCAGCTGATGCTGAGGGCATGTGGGTGGGGAACCCGAGGAAAGACGAGCAGGGGTGAGGGGACCCGCTTCTTGAGCTTCTTGAGCGCAACGAAAGCCGGAGCGGACTGCACCAGAGGAGATGGAGCGCATGACACGTCAAGGCTCCCGGATATACTCCGATGCAAGCCCAACATACGAATAGCCCATGCTCATCGTGAGCTACAGCATCGGCATATATGCAACAATGTCATGCTGTGATGCACACACAAGGAGAACCAGCAGGAGAAATAGGGCCGGTGAGCATAAAGAGTGATGTTTAAGATGGTCACCCTGGGAACGTCGTCTTGTGTGTGTAGGCAGGGCGAGCAGGGTTGGGCGAGGCTGCCCATGTTGATCACGTTGAGCCTTACGTCTGCTATGCTTGGTTTTATCAAAAGAGCCAGGCGAATGGGTTAGGAAAGGGAGGTGATATCGATGTTAATGGTGTAGGAAAGGCTATTCCGTCGTAAATACCTGAGAAAGAGTTAACTAGCTCATTACAGATACATGGAAACGTACGATTGGCAAACCGATGTCAACTGATTTTTAAACAACGTTAGCGATGCACGTTCCTAGCGTTTCCAGCGATCTATGAATACATCAGCGATTGAGCGGAGACGTATAACAAATAAAACTCAATAGTCCTACCGTGTAAGTAGCCGTGCATATGAGACGAAAGACCGATAAACGAGGGTGGAGAAAAGCACCTGGCTGTCGACTCTCTAGGTCGTCGCCCTCGATTCACTCCATGATAGAAAAGGCAGGAACTACACATAGTCGTAGTCGTCAAAGTGACAAAGGTATATCATACAAGCAAAACTTACTTTAAGGGACGCCAGATCGAATTATGCCGGATTCAACTCGACATGGACGCTTGACATCCTGCAAAAATAGTATGAGCTGCGTAAAACGAACGACCCGACAAACAAGCCTGTACCTCTTTCCTCCTGTCCTTCTTTTACCGTCTATATACCGCCGACACGTCCATCATCCCTACAGCAATATTCGAGCGTCATGGCAGAACACGAACGGCCAATGTACATTCGGCAAAACGATGGAAGGGCGGAGGTAGAGAGGGTGTGGTCGGCAGCGGTAACAACGACCAGACGCATGCAACCCTAAGTGGTATGGAAAGGGGTAGGTCTTGCGTGTGATACGCGAATCTTTGTCCCATCAGGTGCAGAAGCACACTGAATTTCTGCCCTTGCTGGTGTACCTGCTCTCCTCCTCGTCCACTGTATGTACTCTGTGCTGACCGGAAAGCAGTACATCATCTCGGGAAATTTTCCACCCATTCCTATCACAGTGACACGAAGGTCACCGACTTCGTGGTCAAGGAAACCGGCCGAAACGTAAATCGCAGGAGCGTGGTTCATCCAGTCCATAAAACGCTTGGCGGTCTTCGGGAGAGGGCGGATGTCATAGTCGCATGAAGGCAAAAAAGAAAGAAGCGGGCTTTGTTTGGTGCCTTCGGTGCCAAACAATCCTGGCGCGTAGTCGGCCCGTGCGCATGTGGTATCTCGATCAATAGCCTTCTCGTAACCTCCATCGCACTGCCCACTTCACCGTTCCATCTCGCCTCCTCAATACTCCATTCCCATGATTTCTTCAGTCGAAGTCCTATGCCACCAACCTTGCACGAGTCTCCGTCTCATAATCGGCAGCCTAGCTTTCAGAAGATGATTCATGAAAGGAAGCCTAGCGTCGTCGAGGTCGCAAATCACGCCAAGGATGAATAACCAATGAGGCGTAAATGTGTTGGACTATTTGAGGTTTGAATTTGAGTGGTCACTTCCATTCTCTGTTGTAATGTTTTGACGCTGAAGAAGGTTTCTTATTCCGAATCCATAAATAAGACGAGCCCCGCAGGGTGCATCTCACGATGCTTTGACGATGTACTTCTTCATACAGACGACTTCTTGTGGAGGCCCTGTGGACGTCATTCGGACTAACCCCAATGGGCTGTGCCTCTCAAACTATTTGAGAGAAAAACAACTGGTTTGTCGAGTTAGTCCCCTTTCGTTGATAAGAGTCTCACCTCACCTCTTGATAGTGTGCTAGGAAATTTTCATTGGGTGCGAGGTCAGCCATGCTTTTTGTACATAACTATACGGTTGCTATCTTTTTTGCTTGACCGCACATGTTCTGAATTACGGTTCTGAATGTATTCGTCTATATTATTTCAAAGCTATCGTGTTTTGTTTTCCAATGTCCTGAATGCATGGGAACCAAGAACCAAAGACCAAGAATTGAGCCGGCGGCTACCTATAGTCCGACACCCTGTCATGGATTTCATGTCTTTTCCGGTCTGTACACGAGTCAACACATGCCTACTCTCGGCCTTCTCGGCCTTGACCTCGGCTTACTGGTATTTTCTCTCATTTTCTCTTACTTTCTCCCTTTTTCTTTACAATACTAGAATAATAATGACTCAATTCCTTACTAGTGGTATATAAGTATTGTACTTGCCATTGTATTAGGATCTCAAGCTAATTTTACCCATCTTCGAACATCCACTTAACTGTGTGAACTAAGCAACCCTGATCGGTTACGCCTAGCGCTTGCCAATCAACTGCTTCCTGACTACGCCTAGCGCTTTTCGGAAACCCTGTTAGTTATGCCTAGTGCTTGCTGATGCCCCGTTAACTACGCCTAGCGCTTGTTAGCACCCTTACGGATCCCTCTTGGTGGTTGGAACTCGGCTTACGGACATCCTCGCTCATGACTTGGGTTTTACTCGAGTACTCATTACTTTGTGTATTAGCTCGAAAGACCCTAATCCTTAACACACCCTCCTTAGTCTGCCATTTCTTCTAATCAGCAGTATGACCTCCCGCACTCAGACTCGCCGTCTCTCTTGTCAGTGTTTGAAAAATAGACATCCGTTTATCTCTCCGAGCGCTTGATAACTGCATTTCTCAGTGATTTACTTACCGATTTCCGCTGACGTCAAGCTGAAGTTCGCGTGTCGTCGAGGAATCATACCTGTGCACCGGGTTGTTTAGTCGTGTATACTAAGATTTCGTGGTGCATTGCAACAATTGTCAAGAAACTGGTACATTTTTATTGCACTGACATATTTGAAGGCTAAATTAAAACTGTAGGAACATCTAGCTTTACATTTCAGCTTCGAATTCATAAACAAAACAAGCACCCTTCACGTTTGTCCCGATTTCAGTTCTGTCTTTGGATTACCCATATCCTTCTAATACAGCTGACGTGAATCTCAAGTTGGCATGTCGTCGTGGAATTATACCTGTGCACCTGGATCTAGTCGTGTTTACTAAGATTTCGCGACGTGTTATAAGGGTTTCCCGGAAGCAGGTACATTTTTGTCATATCTATATCTTTGAAAACTAAAATCAAAAATGCAGCGACATCCGGCTTTCGAGTTCAGCTTTGGCCTCATGAATGGAGCAGGTACCTTTCACGTTTGTCTCGAGTTCGGATTTCCCTAGACGGCCTTTAATGGCAACAATGTGTTAACATGTGCGTACGATGTCGTTTCACTGGTTTCTCTCGTACTTATCATCATCGATAGGGTGTTTGACCAATGTACATCAACAGTCCTGGGTTGTCATCCTTTCATTTGTCTTCAGCATAGCCTGATTATGCCGTGTGCCGTGAAGAGTGTGTGCGCTTCTAAGAATGCTTGTATGTGCCCGCATCGCATTCAAATCCCAAATGAGGGCGAGGATGGCTATTACCTTAACCGCCTTGCATGAGTATCCAGTTAAGGGCAGTCTTCCTTTCACCAATGTCAGCACTCGGGTAAGATTTCAAGTTTCGTCGGTATGAATATTAAATGTTAAGATTAACCTTATCTAGATGAATGGATTATGCGGACTTCACTAGTCGTGGCTCCCTGAATTCCGATGTCCTCATCTCCTACGACATGTGAACCTCGGCTAAGAGAGCTATACTTACGCAAAATGGAATAGTATTGCCCCTCGGCTTCCCTATACGGTTCACTCAGAGAATAACTGCAGCTGTTACATTATCCAGGCGCACCGAGAGCACGTAACAGGGCTGGGATACTTGTGCGGACATTTCTTTGTCTTCTCATATGTATTTACTAATGGGATCTTGGGATCAGTATATGGAATATGTAGGTCGATGTCTGGACTGTATCCTAGACATGGACGGAGCCTAATACAATGTGTATTCGTCATTAGCTTTATCGAGCAATGTTCGTTCCTCCTGTGTGGGTTTCATTGTCTGATGGTCGAAAACTGACCCGGACGAGAATTTCGGGTCGGCGTGGTTCACAGAAAAGTCGAAGTAAAGAAAGACGCCTCTTCACCTCCCACTGCCATCTTCCCCGACTGTTTCTATCATCATAACTCTGACAACAGAAAAACAGAACGAAACAGGCCAGAGTACACCTCACCATTCTCGAGGATGTACTTCCACTGGATCTTTCGTCTTGCAGACAGAATCTATTGACCTCGTTCACACTGATCTCAATGGCTCGTTTTTCCCGACGTGTTTGACAGGCAAATATCCGGGGAGTCGGGTCCCCTTTTGTTCATATAATTCTGTATCCTAGTGTGTGCGTTGCTGTCCTCAGCTTAATAATGACTGTTCTCACTCATTGCGCAATGGTTTAGATGGTAGTTTCGTATATTGGAATGAGAAACCGCAACGTCTTCAACTTCTGCGTGCACTGTATATTCCTATTATGACGCAAGGAATTCAAGATCGAGACCGCGCAGTGCCGAAGTAGCATCGTATAATCTGAAGCGGCCTGCCCTGCGTTATTTCTTCCACTAATCTCCAGTACGAATTACTGCACTTGGGCTCTCAGCTTCCCTTGTAAATTGCCAACAACAGTGGCTATGTCGCTAACCTTCAGTACATTTCATGTGTGAGGCCAGCCTTGTTCCTTTCCGCTGTGATCTGGGCAGATTTGAATGCCATCACCTATTCTTTATGTAAGAGAAATGGTTAGCTGGTCATGTACCTGTAGCCTTCCGAAACACAAATCAGACTGAAATAAGAGCGGGTTAGTTCAAAGTTAAAGGGAGACAGGTCACCACATCCTCTTTGACAGTTTGAATTTCTCCACTTCTTCTGGGATTTCTCAGTAAGGATCAAGGCTGAAACACGCATTGAACATAGAAAACCTGAAAGTATAGCATAAGAAAGTAGGTTGAGAGAGATAGAAACAAAATAGAGGCTATTGCGACCCCTTCTAAGTGTAAATGATGCCCCAGCCCTGCTCTTCATCCTGCCTCTCCATCATAATACTTGCGCAAAACAGGCCATTAGCCTATTTTCAGCCAAGGAATATTTTACAATCGACTTCTACATCACGAATCGACCAAGGGTCCCCAAATCCGTGAAGATCTGCAAGTTGGATCACCGACACTTTTTCAAATGTCCCATCCCGTCGTTTCTGCCCAACTGCCCGATGTCTTGAGATTTCAGAGGGATAGGAAAAAATACTGTCGCCGATGAGAGTATATGAGCCATCAGGTATTGGGTATGCATGGTCAGCGATGTACCTTGATTATATGGGGTGGCCCGGTACGATCTCTGATCACCAACTCGCCCTGCCGAGGTATCCCTTTGTTTGATATCTCGCCCAATCCCCGCAAATAACCTGACTCGACACAGGGGCCCTGATATGAGTCAGCACCTATCCAGTCAGTCCGAGGTGTCTCTGACTGCCACCAATTCCTAGTATGTGGTAGAATTGCCATCACCATTACCTGGTGCCATGACGGTCGCCAACGTCTGTGTCCATCTCCAGGTTCAGGGTATAAGAAGAGCAACTCAGAACGATACCGCTCAGACATCATCTCCGTAAGCGCCGCCCAGGCATCTTCTTCGGATTGCGACTCATCGTATATCGGGATAGACTTCGTGGAGAGAAGGTATGCCAGGCCTGCCACTTTATCGAGAGGCTTCGTTGACGCACGAATCTGCATCTGCCGCAGGATGTCAAACACATTCTGTCTCCTCAAACTCTCCAACGAGTGAAGTTTTATATCGAACCTCCGTTGTACGTTTTTAGTCCATCCTGTGAGTATGAGTCGCCCCACCTATGATATATTCTTCGCTGACCTCCTGTAGCGCCCATGCACGCCTGAACCAACACCGATCGCTTTCCAAGTCGCCCGGCTTCAAACAAAATGGTCGACCCAGACCGCTTAGGTAATATACCACCTTCTGGATGCCATTTTGATAGATAGCCCCGATGATAGGCACGTCAACCTTCCACTCTTCCCTGCGCAAATCCTCCCTCTTCCCACCTGCTTGCCTCAAACACAGAACATCTAACCACACATACTGTGCCCCGAGGTTCAACATCTCAATCCGGATGTGATTAAGGTCCGCATCTTTGGGAATCGGCACAGGCCATTCATAGCCATTGATAGGCGTCTGCACGTCGATGCGCTCCTTGTCAGACATCCACGCATGCGATATCGCAGATATATCCCATGACATGAATTGATAGGAAGGCCAGCCAACGCAGAATGGCAACACCCGATTAGCATACAGATCCCAAACACGTCGAGGTGGAATATTTCCATCCGAGATCCTGTTATTGGTGACCACATTTTGTCGCATTTCCTGATCCAAATTACATGCTTCATGGACGCTTTCGACAGTGGTCAAGCCATACCAATACAGACGCAAATTAGCATAGAGAGTGCCAAAGTCGTGATCTTGTCTGATGAAGGATTCGAGAATGGGGGGCAAGATGGGGTTGTCGAGAGTATATGATGTGCCAAGTGTCACATTGAGCTTCTCCAAGACCCCATTCATACCGAGTTTGGCGCAGGGAGTGTCGGCGAGAGCGGATCGTATGGCAGGTATTCTACCAGTGTAGGAGCGCTGCATCGGTACCGGAATACTTGATTCTGCCTGACCGGTCTCAGTGATGGCGGAGAAGGTGACTTCGGGGAGTTTCTCATAATTTATACGGGTTAAAAATCTCTGAAACGTGTTATTCCTTGCCTTTCTGTACATACATTGGGGTGCTTACCAGTTGAGCGAACCTATCCCCTCCGGACCACCATTCCTCCTCCTGCATCCCTCCTATGTAGCCATAGCAGAATAAGAATCGCAACGATGGAAAGTCAGACAACCACACATACCATCGACAATGCGGATTGGCATCGATATGTGGTCGCACAGAAGGTGTTACTCGTCTTGTCCTCGTGGTAAGAAGGAAGTTATGCACACTAGCACCCGGACCATCGAAGTGTGCGACACCGTTCCATCAGCCGCACTGCCGAAGATCCAGTAAACTTAATGCTGTATACAAATCATCATGACCAATCACGTACCCGTGATTTGTGTTCTTGACGGTGGTTTGGCCCAGAAACGACAGAAAGCTACGTGCGACTCGTTGAGAACTCGTGTTGAAAGTTATGGTATTGTCCAGAGCACACATTTCTGGAGAAGAAAGTTTCCGAATTCCTCGATAATACTCTTGTCTGCCGGACATGTCATTCATACAGTCGTCAGTCAGGCTGACTCTTGCGCTCACTGCGAACATCAATGTGGAGAAAAACAATCAGTTACCTGACGTTTATGCTTCTTTCGGTGGCCAGAGGTGGCGTCTACAAGCAGGATAATCGTCATCCACTGTATCTGAAAAGACGAACATCAAGAAGCTACCAGGACGCCAGCACTGAGGGGAATTGAACGTCAGTCTTCCAGATTTTCCCCTGTCAAGAAGTGAGATTAATTCAAATCGGAGTCTTGATGGTTGGGATTCCACCCTCTGAGGTATATATGTTCGTTTACATAGAACGGCTGTCAGACGTCAGTGAGCTTGCGAATGCTCCCTCTTCTGAGTCTCAAAGTTCTCCATATCTCGGTTTTCAACTCCAAGAGTTGATGTCGCGTTCTCCTCTTGCTTCCATCCTTCTCTAACCGTGGAGTTCTTTGCAATGCCTTTTCTATATCATGGTTCCATCTACCTGAATGGATCCGTGCATGGCGACAAAAAGGAGGGCTTGATCCGCTCTTTGTTCCATTCTGATTCGCCTGTGGATACATGTTGAGGTCTCGAGCATACCAAAACATTTCGCACGAATCCTGTAAAAGACGACAGAATGTTCAATTCCAGATGTGGATTATTGTAGGAAATGCATACCAGATACAGGACGAAGTACAAGTTCGTTTAACAAATGCGCGTTCGATCCACGAATCCAGACATCGAGTAGGGCTAGGAGGGACAACTATTGCTGTCATATATAAATTATCTAGGCTAGACGTCCAAAGAAATGAATGACCTGAGAGGACAGTAGCGAGCGTAGATTGAAATCGTGGTCTACCGACAGCGAAACTAGTAGAGCATACTTAACTGGATTGTTCCCTCTCACCTCATTTTTCCCATTTCTCAATGAATGTGAGGCAAGAACGTAGAGTGTTGTCAGCGGAAGTCGGGGTTAGCGAGATTCCGTCGTACGGAAGGATTATCCGTACGGTAGTGTAGCTCGAGGGGAAAGAGCACGAATGCTATATATTTGGCTAAGCTTCGTGTGATTCAGCTGTGATTGGCGTTCGGTGTTGCAATAGATTTGATTGAGTTTGATTTTCGTAGCTCAATGGGGTAGTTACGATATTGTGATGATGTGAAATGATATAAGTTCTGATGGCCGTGTACGGCAGTGATGGCATTGATTGTGGTTGCGATGGTAATTTCTGAGTGAGTGACTATTCTTAGTTACTCACTGAGTAAGTCTGAAGCTTAGTTCACTGGATGTTCTTAAGTCGTTTGGTTGTAAACTGTGTAAAGTGCATAAAAGCTACTCATTGTGCTGTTTCGGTCGGTATTTATACAGTTTTGTAGACTACATGTCCTACTCATCCCTCGGTCCGTTGTTTTCAGCGGTCAGGGACCGGCCCTGACGGTTTTAGAGCTGCAAATGCTGCCGTGAGTGATCATCGTGAAATCCAGGCTCAGCAGGAGACACAGAATAAAGAGAGGTCGAGGACGCAAGGGATTACTCTTTGAATATCATATCCTGAATGATGTATGTTCTCAGTATCATGACCAGGAATCATAAACGCTGGCACGTACATGTGTTCTCGAAAAGAATGATTCCTTTCATCGAAGCCTTGCCAATAGCAAATCATGTCGCAAGCTGGGGGGAAAAAGCAATGGCTGGAGACATATTTTCAAGGAGTTCACAGCGGAGATACGTGGCCAATCTATTTGGAGGAGAAGTGAAACTAACGTGGGCAGGAACAAGGAAAAACGGACAGTAATATAATGTTCTAGTACCATCCTTCTCGTTTCAAAGGTTCGCATCATGATGTGGAATCTCTGACATCACGAGGCTTGATTTTTAGGAGCGGTACCTAATAATTTGCCTATTCGACGGATAAACGCAGAAGATCAATGCGATACTTACAAGCGACGGAAGGAGCCAGTGAAGCAGGCAAAACGGTACCTCGGCAAACTGGTACTAGAAACTGTAGTTATTGAGTTAACAACATAATTAGTTGAGAAACAAGAGAACAACGTGCTTGTTACTACTCAGTTCCATGGGGTTGATACGGGTACGAAGTCGGTTGAAGTTGTGGAAGCCCGAAGCAGAAAACAGCAAATCGGCCCGGATGGATCCGGGAAGATGATGTCTGGATCATTTTTTGCTTCCCACATGTACTTCAATAATCGGAAGCGATGACCCTCAATAAGCCATACCATCGGGAAACGCCCAACTCGTCTACTTACAAGCCTATCAAACAATGGTATATATTATGGGATTAGCAATACAGAATGACTAGCTCATGGTCAGCTCAGTCAGGACTCAGCATCTCGATAACGAACGCGCGGGAAAGTCCAGACAGCATAAATGGACGAGGCTTTATGATATCAATATCTTCCTTTTACTGATAGCTCTATATTAAAGAATTTTCGCGCGCTGCATCCGGCTTCGACGTCAATAGGTCTTCCATCGCGGCTTGTCCATGTCGACTGTGGCGGAGCCGCTGATATAGCCGCGATATAGGCGAATAGGCTTGTTTCTTACAATTATCTTCTGCCATTCTCTTGCTGTCCAGGAGGTTCGATAACCGTAAGTCACTTCAAACCTCGAGTTCCTGGGGGATGACAAAACTTTTATAGACAATGAACAGCTTTCATTCTTGGCAAGCAAACACATACCTCGAATGTATCGCCCGGAGCAGTCGCGACCCTGACATGCAAGGCTTTGCGGTACGATTATCCAGTGCGTCTCATTGGTTTGATCCAAATACTCTGTAGTGAGTCTAACTTGAGACGATAGCCTTCATTACCAATGTGATGCTAGGTAAGTCCTGTACGCTTTGAAGCTTCCGAGCAAGGACCTAATGGCCTTCCAGCGATACTCATTAAATGGTCTCGCGACGACGTGCACAGAGTCCGTACGTGTCGTGCTCTTACAAGTCTACAGCATTCTCCTTGTCACATTCTTCAGCATGTGGCGGAGAAATCTCTCCATGGCTGACGCGCACTTTCGCGCTCTCTATCACCATGTCACCGCTTCTCTGCATACTTCTTATATTCTACGTTCCGTGTTTGTCTGAATAAAAGGAACGAGCTGTATGAACGTCTCGGGAAGTCCTAAGATAACTTGTTGGCGTCCTCACCACGATCATGCTAATTCTTTGGATCGTTTTGGATCTTCTGATATACTTCGCTGATGTATTTGAGGGCGAGATCTGCCCTTCACCTACAGTCGTCGGATGGTTCATCTATCGTTCGATTACTGCAGCGGGGGCCCTCGAGATAACGGTTTATTTCTTACCTTTGTTGCCATTCTTTTATCTTGTCTATTCCCTGCGCCATTTCTCGGACATTCGTGGAGAGTACCGAAGACACATGCAGAAGGTGGTTTTTTGGCATCATTTGCGATTCGTTCAAACGATGTGGTTTTCTGTTCGGTCCTTTTTCCTTGCGCAATGGTCAGTCTTTGTTTTAATTGATTATATGTGTTCTGAAATAAGGTTTCAGGATCGTTATCACGCGCGCACATCCCTGGACAAAAATCCTTTGTATCCTCCTGGCATACATGTGCTGGGCGGGAACACTCAAAATATGGATCATCGACATGGATTATTACTACTACAAGCTTCTCCAGAGTTTCGGCGACTCACTACCTTATGAACCACGTATTAATTATGATCCCCTCGGTTTCGGACAGGTAGGATACCTCTTAGGCTGCAATTGTGTTCCTCCATTAAATCGTCCATCTATATAGCTACTTGCAGCTACGGTCGCTATCGAGCCCATCTATTCCGTATGTCTGCTCATCTGGACCAGACGAGTCGACTCATGGAACTTCATCCGATGTCTGCCCTCCGAATTCCGGGACGGTGTTATATTCATCGTTTCAGGGCGAGGCAACCCATGGAGAATCATGCATTCTTCACAGCAGGATATCTCTCCTCAAGAAAAGCACCCCTCGAACACGGCGAGGGGCATCCATCCCTCACCGACAAGTCCTTCACAACGCGATTCTCCTCCGGGCAGGGCGTCTAGCTCGAATGCCGCTGTTCAGGTGCCAAAACCATATGACTCACTTCCCAGTACTCCCACTCCAACTCGAGATAGATGGTATGGAAGACACACGAGACATAACGGTGATCGACATTTACTCGCCGTCGATTCGCACGATCGGTTCCCGAGCAATGCAGCACCAAATATACCATCGGATTCCGCACATCATCGGGAGAAGCCGTCTGTGACTGCCTATGACCCTCCTATGGTTTGATAATATTTTCAATTATGATAGTTCTATATTCATTTCTCCATACCTCGATTTGACTGTGCCGTAGATCGGCTTCATAGACTAGCATAAGCCTCATTCTGCAGAAATTCAGTTTACGAGTTTGGGTTCATGGAGGTACCCGATACCGACCCAGAATTCCTGGAAAACGGAGAAGTGGTCAAACGGGGCGTCCTGGTACATAAAAGCACTGAGGACGATGCCGCTGATAAGTAATAGAAAACTGTACACAATGAACACAGTACGAGAGGAAATATCTGCGTCTACGTTTTGACAGACTCAAGGATTCATTATAAACGATATTCGGAAGTTCGAACGAAGCCCGCGAGGTGGGCAATGCCGACACCGGCAAGCTAGTCCGCTGTCACACGCCACCGACGCGATTAACGCGTCATCGCATCACGTGCTCTTCATCTTTTCTCCTCTTACCCTCACTGCCGCGTTTTCCGTTCCTTTGAAATCATGTCCTACCTACGCCGATTCATGTCCACAGCTAGCGCTGGAAAGTCTCTGTATGTGCATCCACTCGCCAGTACTGCCCTGCTCATGTTTAGCTTCTTATCGTAGGGCAAACGTCTTCGTGAGTAACCGGCATACCACGCAGCAGGCAGAAGACCTAATGCTAGTATCACCAAGTTCGACATTTCCATCGGTCCCAAGCCTGCAGGTCGCATTGTCTTCAAGCTGTATGACGATGTCGTTCCCAAGACGGCGAAAAATTTCAGGGAACTGGCGACCGGAGAGCACGGATTCGGATATGCTGGTTGCGGCTTCCATCGAATAATTCCTGACGTGCATGTTGGCATTTCTTTTCCTGGGAGCTCCTTCTCATGCATGCTCCATGTTCTGTAGTTCATGATTCAGGGCGGCGACTTTACGGCTCATAACGGTACCGGTGGAAAGTCGATATACGGCGCCAAGTTCAAGGGTACGTCGCCTCTTGCTTTTCACTCTTGTCTCACGTGGAATCTGACTGAGGGAATCAGACGAGAACTTCCAGCTGAAGCATACTAAACCCGGCCTTCTCTCAATGGCAAATGCTGGCGCAAACACGAACGGTTCTCAGGCATGTCATGGGTCATCAAAGTTTCTCTGGTATTTCTAATCAGTGTTACAGTTCTTTGTCACGACCGTAAAAACACCTTGGGTCGGTCATGTTCCTTTCGTCTGCATTGTTGCTGTTGCTAACTCTTCTGTAGTTGGATGGACGTCACGTTGTTTTCGGAGAGGTTGTTGAGGGTATGGATTTGGTGAAGGAGATCGAGAAGCAGGGTACACCAGGCGGCGAGCCTAGGACCCAAGTACTGATCGCGTCCTCGGGTGTGGTGGAGTAAAAGTACGTGGCAGGTTTAACGTTTCTCAAACTGGGCTAAATGATAGGTAATCATTTAGCGCCGATTCTCGAGCTCTGATTCCAATTGTGCATACAATGTCACAGATGCCTATGCTCTGTTATGTAGCACTCAAAATGTTTAACATGATTTCAATTGTGAAAGCAAACTACTCGTCTCTCGAAGATCCCCACGAATCGCCGCCCTTCGAGGCATTGTCCAGGTTCACTTCGCAAACATACCGAGTTCTGCTCATGAGAATTCCTTTGTGTCTATGAGTACCTATCGAATCGAATAGAGAATTGTCGTGCTGAGGAGAACACGACGAATAGTGGTGATGGCGGCAATAAAAGGGGACAGAGCCTTGCAGGTCGTTCCGGTCCTCTTGGACTTGGGAATTATAGGGTTTGAAACTTGTCGCTCGTGTTTTCTCGCATAAGATGTTTCGTCACAGGCCTTATCTCTATCGGTAAAGTGTAGACCGTCCAGCAGCACTTCTCCTACACCTGCTAAAGGGGCTGACATCATTTGCCGGCTAGGAGAAGGCTTCTGCTTCGAATTTCGTTCTTTGTATGTTACGATACGGCCAGGTGTGACGTCTGGAAATGATGTGGTAATCAAACTTACTAGCGCAAACTCGACAGATGCGGGAAGGTAGTGACGTCTCAAAGCACTCTTCCTTGAAAACTTTCGCCGAGCAACCGTATACTTGAATGTTTTCCTATGGGCGTCGATGTCAGCTTAATTCTGGACCGTGTTGGGCCAACCGTAGCACGCATAACGAATTGGGCTTTCCCCGATCAAGCTTCCCTGCGAATATTCAGGCAGGTAATCAAACAAGTACTGTTTGGTTCAGACTTCTTTCATCGCGTAATGTGGAATGGCTAAGCGTATCGTTTGCTATGAAAAAGCAAATTGCTAATCTTCGACAGCTTTATAACTAGACAACTTTATCCTGCGTTTGGCAAAGATACTGAAACGGGAAAACCTGGACATTGAACTAAATCAATTCGTTCTCACGTATCTTTGTGTCCAGAAGCCAGGTGCGCGTCTTACTCGATTTATGCCATCTTAACGCATAGTTAGTTCGCAATATAGAAGAGCCTTTCGATGGAACCTACAATCGTATGGCCAGAGGTTTAGCTTGGAATTCGGTATGGCCCATTCGATGATATACGGAGCTTAGGCTGTTTCGTACGTCGCTGAGACTAAGCGGGATACATCTACTTACGCCTGTACCAGACCTGGCTCTTCAACACAGAGGGAACGTTTAAACTGTCGACAGATGATGACGCTCTCCTACAAATGGTCTCCTTGAACGGTCTTGAACTTTGTTCTGTCGATGTATTGGCTCATGGGAAATACAGCCACAAGTTCTTCGCTAAGACGGGTAACTGTCTCCTACCTCAGGTTTTGACTAGAGTTTGACTCAAAATCTACAATCGAGCTGTGTAGAAAGGCTTCGTGGGTACGAAAGCTGGAGCTCACCCCATCCGTAGATTGCTGGAAAATCGATTTCAATTGCAGTGTGAGGACGAGCCCGATTTCTTCCGCATGCTGCAGTTTTATGAGGTTCTATCAAATCGATCTTGACGGTGATCACAAGTGTTTCTTGTTGGTATAAGAGGAATATTCGATAATAAAGTACAAACAGGACCGAGATTCCCATGATATACCGCTGCTCCATTACTAGAGATAACCGGTTTATACAGCTGATTGGCGTTCACACCCCTACGCACTTAAAGCAAGGCATAATTAATTCTGACGATGATCCTACATCTGCAAAGCGAATTTCAAGGTATATATCCTAAGAACCCTGCCCACTTAAGCCGGAGCAGTGCCGTTCCCAGGGGGCGGTTCCATTGCCGCTGTCCTGACCTCCACCTATGCCTCCACTGCTCTCGGACATCACACCACCATCCTCGGTCAATGTGGCCGCAGAGGAGATAGTGTAGCTCGCGGAGAGATCAATGGCCATGGAACCCCAACTGGAAGGGTGAACATCAGCTAGGGAGTTGCAGTCGCAATGTGGTAAACGCTCACGCAAGAAGACCATCAGAAACGTCATTGCCGAGGTAGACATATTCCAGGACGGGGTCGATGCCGTCTGTTGCGTCCTCAACTTCCTCTGCCATGATTGAATCGTTAGCATTAGTGGTGAGTTCCTGGGTGTTGGTAGAGTAAGGAGAGGTAGCTTCGACAGTGGTGATGAGGTCTTGGTCGAAGAAGAATTGTCCTAAGAGTGTGTTATTTCTGTGTCACATAATGTCGTAGAAACCAGACTTACCAACGTGATAATCACTGGACTCGGCCTTGAACGTGCCATTGTCGAAGACGGTTCCGTTTCCGTGAGCTATGATATGGATGTGGGTAGCTCGCGAGGTGTAGTGGCCTGGGAGGCGGAGTTTCAGGAGCAGGTAAGACAGGAAAAGCGGAAGACATACCAGGAAAGATTGTCTCGAATTGGGTATAGCCTTCCTCGTTGGTGGGTTGGATACCACGAAGGAAAGTCTTGTTCTAAGGGACAGTTGTTATAAATGAAATCACAAAGTTAAGAGGAGCGAAGAACTCACCACATTGGTTGCGTCGTCGGAATTGCCATTCCCAGAGGCGACCACACCGGCATAGACGCCGGTCGCGTTACAGTGCCAAAAATCGATGTAAACATCCGAAACCGGCTCGCAAGTTGATACATCAATAAGCTCCACGTCGACGTAGGTGTAGACGCCCTCTTGGTCTTCGGTGATATTAGAACGGACATATTCACCGTCGACGTAGTAGGGGCCCTGCGTGACCTCGGGTGCAAGGACACAGGACGCGTTTCCACCGAATGGATCAGAGTCGACGGTAAGACCCGTCGTGTTCGATTCATGGCTCGTAGCTAAGACTTCGTCCATAGTAAGCGCGCGTTTGTAAGGAGTGCCTGGAAACAACGGCATATTGAGAGACACAGTTAGGAAGAAAGAGAAGAAGCTTACGAGCTGCAAGACCTCTCTTCTTACGGAGTTCGTCAGCGAGAGCCGCACGGCGTGCGGCAGACCTCTCGAGGTGACCTCGACGCTTGAGCTGGTCCTGGCATTGCCCGAGAGAGCGACGCGTAGCCTTTTGGAACTCGGCGCGGCGGGTGAGCTCACCCTGGCTCATATGAGCTGTTGGGTGAGCAGCGGTAAGGCTCGCGGCGAGAAGAACGAAGGAAGTGAGAGCGGAGATCTGGACCATGTTGTTGTAGTCAAAAGGAAAGAATGAGATAGTACCGATTCGTTCAATCGATGTCTAGCATATATACCCCAGCGATGCGCAGTGGGAGTAAGCGCAGCGCTCCATGACCATTGTGCTTTGGCTCGGGTTTACGTGAAGTATGCGATGGGGCGGTGAACCATTGAACTAATGAACGTCACTTGATTTCAAGCGATGGTGCTAGGGACTTCTAGTTCAGGCATCGGCTGCATCGGAATATTACGCGGTTGCTGATTGGGAGCGATCGTTAGGGAGCGATCGTTAGGGAGCGACCGCAGTGAAAGTCCGTTTGTTCGGGTACGTCTGAACGAGCCATCGCGAGAATCATCCGCAGGAGTACTTTGGAAGTAAAAGAGTGCACACAAAAATTCTATCGGAAGGTCTGCTGAAACAAAAATAGAGAAGAAATGAGAGGACAGTCCTTACATTGCTGAGACCGGCGACTGTTGTACACCTCCAGGCCAAAGTCGGCTGTGACATGTGTAGTAAGGATCTCACAGCCAATACGTTTAATATGCTGAAAATCATAGCGTTAACCTTCGCAGACTGCGATTGACTGCGGTCAGATTTGCGAGGACGACGACAAATTAGTCCGGGGTATGCCAAGACAATTTGCCAGCAAAAGACCCCGAGAAACCAATCAGAACACGGTGGTAGGTAATGGGCATGCCAACCGCTCACAGAGAAGAACTGTAGGGCAGTTCGATACCAAAGACTGCGCAATATATGCTCTTCAAACCCGAGAGAACTAAGAATCTGTTGCATAAGAATCAAAAGAGCTGGCAAGTATATGAAACACAGACGTTTCAGGCTTAACAATAAGGACAACGTCTTTGTTCAGAGGAGAGGCTGCCGAGGGTAATGTAAGAAAGATTCAATGAATCAGTCGAATAAAAAGTCGCTACGGGTGATTGATCCACAAAGATCGTACATTCCATAGCTCTCTTAAATCTCGACGTTCCTCCTTTTCCACGCCTGTTGTAGCTTAACCCTCCCGTCAACTTAGATGGGGCCAATGCTATATGTGCCGCACCGGGCGATGTGCTTGGGTCGGGATCCTATTCTTCATTCGTAAACCTATTCTGAAATCTCATTAGCGAATGTCCTGACGAAGACGAGGAGATATACATACAAGTATCTCCCTGCTATTCACTCTCGACGCTCCGAAACGGCGACGACAATACGATCTTCAACCGTCTCCTGAATTCACTGCATAGCGAGGGTGGCGGGCGTTCCGTGAAAATAGCTATTTTTGCAGAGGTTTAGCGCATCAGAGGAGACGAGGGCAAAGGCATTGACCGGGCCTCTTTTGGTGAAACGTGCATACTGCAAACGTCTAGGGATGGAATGAGAATGAACTTGAACCTAGGAACCAATTTACGTACCAATAAAGACCAGGCATCAACACGGGCAATACGGAGGGAAGCATGGGCAGTAACCCGAGACTGTTAGGGCACATTATTCGACTACTGGAACTATCCTATCCACGGCATTGAGTATAAGAATACTGGGTAAAAACACAATATACGGGCCATGCCTCACTAAAAACCCGGATCGCTTGAGAGGAATATATGTTGTCCATGGGATTCCGAAACTAGATCCGAAACCAGGACACGAAAGGATCCAATTCAATTGCTAACTAAGACGATTCACGAGCCCGAACCTGAAAGCCTACGACTGATATGAGCGTTTAAAGGCAACCATGCTACACAAACATACCGCGTTTCGGGAAGCCTTTCGACGTCAACCGGGATAACCAAGTCATTCCCTGACGACACATCCCCCTTCAGATTCATGTCAGCTATATCAGAAGACGGGTCAAGGAAAGCACACACCATATCTTATCCACCAGCAAGTCAAAATGCAGTCCTCGATGGCGCTCCGCAGCCAGGTCATCCATGACCCACAGCAAAGAACAACACGTCAAGCCTCAGAGCGTTAGGCGTCAGACGCCATGATGCCTCAATTCTTGTGTCGTCACTCGAATCCAGGAGACACTTTCAATACAAGATATCAGCTTCTGGCGACGACGAGAATACACGATGACTCACAAATGCGAGCTGGGTCCACAGAGAAGGCGTAGGAGGGTGACAGATGTTGATGGTGGTGGTGGTGGTGGTGTTACCGGCGCCAGGTCCCAATAAGGAACGGCCGGGTCCACAGCCCTGACATGGCGAACCATGCGCTGTGGCTGCGAAGGCTCATACCGTTGTAATCACACTATTGAGTGCGTCTCGCGGAGTAGAGACTCTTCGCAGGGTACACAATTGAATGAAAAGTGATGGGGATGAGACAGAACATAGATAACAAAGCACGATCGAGCACGTAGAACCAGCTCATGAGACATGCGCATCAGCAATGACGGTGAAAGAACATGTGAACAAATGTGAAATACGTAACGGGAGAGTGAGACATGGTGCACGGACCATGGGGTGTATGGAAAGTTACAGGTCAGCAGCAATGAGAAGATATCGAGCACAATGGGAGCGTACGATTCATCCACCAAGGAACAAAGAGCCACAAACTGTAGGAACGAAACGCAAGCATCAGGTGAGCACAACAAACGAGGTCCGCTATTTCGCAGAACAGCGTGCCTGCAGCGATGCTCGAGCCTTAGCCCATGAAAACGATAAAACGGGAACCAAGAACGACGAAACAGGCAAGCTCCTTCGAAAAAGAGACTGCCTTTGCGAACGAAACACCGAGTACCACCAGACTGGTGAGATCCTTCGCGAAGGACACCACCAGCGGACATAACAACCGAGTACCACTGCACAGGTGAGCTCCTTCGGAAAGGACCCCATCTGCGGACGTAACCACTGCACAGGCGAGATCCTTCGCAAAGGACACCTCCTGTGGACGTAACCACTGCACAGGTGAGATCCTTTGTAAAGGACTCCATCTGCGGACGTAACAACGGAGCACTGGTGCACAGGTGGGATGTTTCGCAAAGTAGGAATGAGGGAAGAGTTATGGCAAGAGAGCATGGACGCGAATGTCAAGCATCAGAGGAGAGCGGCAGTATCGCCCGGAAACAGGAGGTAAGTCAATGGAAATGAATGTGCTGGACCTGGGCGGGATAATTCGTGCCATCCTGCAGAAGGAAGAGCCTTGGAAAAGAACGGTAAGAAGACAAGTGGTCGTGGTTTCACGGTGTGAACGTGGTTAAGAAGAAAGGGTATGAGAGAAAGAAGGTTCATGAACACAGTGTGATCGATATAGGCAGACAAATCTGCGACATACCACCATTATCCGATGGTACCTGCAGAGCCGGTGAGCGATTGAACAACAGAGAAGGAGGCGTCGTAGTATCAGGCAAGTGCGAAGTGAGACCAAGTGAACCAAGTGAACATGTTGGTGGTAAACGGCAAAGAAAGATGGTGGTCGGAGAGAAGACGCGTCGTTATTTGCGCTAGTTTGGATGGAAATGGAAAAGAGCGCGTGACGTCATCGGGTCCGTCCTTGCTTCAGAATATGAACGCGAGTTGTATTTCTATCTCCAGTTGGTCTTTTGGGTTTCAAAACAACTACAGATTTCTCACGCTTGTGAGCTTCAATTGCATCTCAGAGCAGGGCGGCTGCAGTACCATCTATTCTCCAGAACAAAAACCGACAAATTCAGCTCACACATCAAAGCCTCTCATGACAACGAACATATGGTTTATTACTAGAAACGAGCCGAGCCTTTTCTTCGATAGTTGGTCTTCGTTTAAAAGCAGTAATTGTTAAAGCAATACGCATAATTTAACACGTACATCAATGCTTGCTTCCCTCATTCCCTCCCAAATTGGCCTTGCACGGAGAAAACCCCCCCGCTCCGGCGTTTCTCGCCGATTTCAAAGAGAGAGTACCTCACAGCGCCAAAATCAATGGGCGTCTCATTGATAATACCGACATTCTTTCCGCACTAACCGTTCTCAGAGTACTCGAATTAGCAAACCTGTGATTCTCCTCTATGGCGGACTACTTCGTATTACTAGCAAGTCTCCCGTCAACCGTGAAGGAAATCAATGTTCATGGGAACTTGTGCCTTGATTCACACTCCACTTTGGACCGTCGGTCGTAGCATCAACATTGAGAGGCTGGAAACTGGTTCAGCTACCGACTTGAAACCGTCCCCTTGAGATGACTACCCAATCTCCCTCCTATCCCTATGAGTAGTATGTCTCCGACAGCATCGTCTTCAAGACCTCGAGAACTCGTTCGAACCGGTGCCGACCCTTCTAAATTACCTATCCATCGAAGTCGATGGATCCCAAGGAGGTACGAGTTCCGTCAAGGCAACCATAAATCACCAACTTACACCTCACCAGTTTCCTTCCTCCTGACCCGACTCAAATCACTCTCCATAACATCTCTCGCACATATCCCATCTTTCTCTTATTCTTCTTCTTTCTCTGGATTATGCTCGTTAGAAACCGTGTACCTGGCATTCCCGTACAATTGGTTACTGAATGCCGCTCAGCCGATGGATGTTCGCAAGTTGTGTGAGGATGCTGTCGTAACCTCAGTACAGTAATCTGACGAAACTGGACTTGAGTATGCGGGGACAGCAGTAGCCTTATCCTGATTGTTCGGACGGATTCAAGAAATGAGTACAGAAATTCGAACGTGATCTTGAAGCGGCGGGAAGGAGTCCGAGGATAACTATCACTTCTGAATTTTTGGAACACGGTCGTTGATGTGGGGAAGCCAACGAGTTGTAGGTAAATGAAGATATTTATTTCCCTCTTCGTCGAAATCGCTTAATACTTCCGCGTGACATGAAGCGTTGCACTAACTATTAACGATCATCGTAGTCAGCATACAAGGCGCACGCGATCGATTTCGCCGGACATCCGTCGTCGCGACATCCTCCGTTTTCAAGCTACTCCTTCTGTTCTCATATCTTGGTAGACTACTGCATAGTATCTCAACATATCTTTACACCCTCCTGCTTATTAAGCCTGGGTTCAGAAAAGGGAGGTCGTCAACACCTTCCGAAATGGATAAGAAACTGTATCAACGCGCTGGAGGGTCGTAGGGTGTTACAGACGACTTCTCCCGGTGGTGAGAAGAAGCAGATGGCCTGCTGGGTGTTGCATGTCCCGGCCCACTATGGACCCGAGCGTTCGAACCGACTGCGGGTGAATATCTGTCACTGTTATGTCTCCCGCGTCTGTCATGCCGCCTGTCCCGAGCTGGACGTGAAGAAGTCGGAAGGGAATGATATAATTTTGGCGTCTGCGCAGCAACATCCCTGCCCGAATGAGAATGTGGATTTCCTGAGGAGTGATGCTTCTCTGAGTGAGATGGTTTGGGCGTCTGAGCAGCAGCATCCGAGCCAGAGGCCCTGCCCGAAGGCGAATGTGATGATTTTCCCGGGGCTTGCGGCTTCTCTGCAGGTCTCGTTGAACTGCGAGGAGGAGGAGCTCGATGCGGAGGGTTTTTTGGCGCCGGATAGGCGTCCCTCGCCCGGCTCGAAGGGTGCTTTTCTTGAGGTGATATGTTCTGTAGTGGATAATGCATGATTCTCCATGGGTTTCCTCGCCCAGAAACGATGAATATAATGCCGTCTCGGAATGCAGAGGGTAGACGTCGGATGTAACTTCTTAAATCGGCTCGTCTGTTCCAAGTGAGCAAGCATACGGCATAGATAGGCTCGATGGCGACGGTAGCTGCAAGTAACTGGAAGGAAAGACGATTCGATGAGTGTATATAGATGTAACCGAAGCCGTATCTTACCTGTCCGAAACCGAGGGGATCGTAATTGATACGCGGTTCATACGGTAGCGAGTCGCCGAAACTCTGGAGAAGCTCGTAGTAGTAATAATCCATGTCGACGATCCATATTTTGAGTGTTCCCGCCCAACACATGTAGGCTAGGAGAATGCAAAGGAATACTGTCCAGGGATGCGCTCGAGTTATAACAATCCTGAAACGTTGAATTCAACAGACATATATCTGCAATTAAAACAAAGACTGACCATTGCGACAGGCAGAAGGACCGAACAGAGAACCACGTAATTTGGATACATCGAAAACGAGGCCAAGGAACTACCTTCCGCATGTGTCTTCGGTACTCTTCTCGGACGTCGGAGAAATGACGTACGGCGTAGACGAGATAAAAGAAAGGCAGCAACGGTAGGAAGTAAATCGTTATCTCGAGGGCCTCTGCTGCAGTAATCGAACGATAGATGAACCATCCGATCACTGTAGGCGAGGGGCAGACCTCGCCCTCGAAGACGTGAGCGAAATATATCAGGAGATCCAAGACGATCCAAAGAATTAGCATGATCGTAGTGAGGACACCAACAATTATCTTGGACTTTCCGAGGCGCTCGTACAGTGTGTTTCTTTTCTTCAGACAAACACGAAGCGTCGAATATAGGAAGTACACTGAAAGAGGTGACACGGTGATAGAGAGCGCGAAGTGCGCGTCAGCCATGGAGAGATTTCTCCGCCACATGCTGATGAATGTAACGAGGATAATGCTGTAGACCTGTACGAGCACGACACGTACAGACTCTGTCACGTCGTCATGAGACCACTTAATGAGTATCGCTGGCAGTTTTGGTTAGCCTTTAGCCTTCGCTATGAGCAGCTCCAAGGACTACGCACCCAGCATGACATTCGCAATGAAGACTATCGTTTCTAGTCAGAAAGGTACAGATCATTTAGTGAAACCGGTGAGGCGCACTGGACAATCGTACCGCATAGCCTTGCATGTCGGGATCACGACTGCTACGCGCGATACATTCGATATATGCCGTTGCCTGCCAAGAATGTATACCATTCATCGCCTATAAAACTTTCGTCGTCAAACGGTAAACCAGCTGAGCTTCGAAATGGCTCACGATTATTGAGTCTGCTGGACAGCAAGGGAGCGACAGCAAGGTAGGAGAATTTAGCCACGCCTAGATCGCGGCTATATAACGGCTCCGCCACAGTCGACATGGGAAGTCCCCTCGGGTGCACGCGATGGATGACTTATTGACGTCAGATTAACGTATGAAGGCTACTTAATGAAAAGTTATTAGCATCCGCAATCAGGTGAACGATAATATACCCTACTAATTTGAACTTGGGTGCACGGTCCTTTTCAGGATAAGTCTACACCCCTGCGATATGATGAGGTGCTCATTCTGCACTGCTAATGGATAGTATGAGGTTGCTGAGATTCATATGTTTCTTCGCTTCCGATTTACATGCTGATGGAAATTGGATGGAAAGGAAAGATGACGCAGATACTTCCGGATCGATCCGGGCCGAAGCGCCGCTTTCTGCTTTGCACTTAACTACCTACTTGCTACCTACTTCAACAAGACCTCATACCCATATCAACTGCAAGGAACACCATTAACAAGCAAGTGGTTCACTTGTTTTCCAGATAGACTTCGTGTTCCCCATTCGTGCCATCAGCATTACTCCCCGAGATTCGGAGGAAGGAGGGTCCACGAGCACACTGATGTAAGTCGTCTTTCTCTATGGCTAATCAATCTAAAACGTTTGACGTGAATTGAAAGCCGCCATTTAATCAAAGGATATCAACGTACAGTTAAGTACACAAATCCGAGTTATCACTGTCCGCAATAATTGACTTCTGAGTCATACACTATTGTTAAGAACCAGGGTATTTCGAGCTAATACACAAAGTAATGAGTACTTGAGTAAAACCCAAGTCGTGAGCGAGGATGTCCGTAAGCCGAGTTCCAACCACCAAGAGGGATCCGTAAGGGTGCTAACAAGCGCTAGGCGTAGTTAACGGGGCGTCAGCAAGCGCTAGGCGTAACTAACAGGGTTTCCGAAAAGCGCTTGGCGTAACCGATCAGAGATGCTTAGTTCACACAGTTAAGTGGACTTCGAAGATGAGTAAAAGTAGCTTAAGATTCTAATACAACGGTAAAGACAATATTTATATGCTACTAGTAAGGAATTGAGTCATTATAATTCTACAATGTTCCGTAGTATTCTAGTATCAGCAAGAAGAATAGAGAAAATACCGGTAGGCCGAGGTCAAGGCCGAGAAGGCCGAGAGCAGGCATATGTTGACTCATGCTCAGTTCGGAAAAGACCCCGATATCCATAACAACTATGCATGCTGCAACCCAGAAAGGTATGCAGATCGTAAGAAATAGAAGGAGAACCTCCATGATAGGAGCATGGCTGCCCGCAGAGCGAGCCTATGCCTATGCCTATGCCTATGCGAAATGCTTGCTACGCAGATTCTAGATCTATTTTGAGTGGGAACCAGCCTTTCAGCGGTGAGGGATATGTGTACGTTCAATCTGTCTCGCGAAGATTCAGTCAATGAATTCCCATAAACGAGAAGGGTACGCACTCACGAGTGTCGATATAACCCTACTACCAATCGGACTAATGTAATGCAGACCGTCGTTATTTCTGGCTTAACCACGCCGCGGATGTCGGTAGTCCTCTAATCGATGCGAACTACAATCTTCACAGCGGTCTGCACAGTGGGGCCAATGTTGAACTAATAGATTGCTATGAGGAAGCGCCTCATCCAAGTCTCGTAAGGTTTATTCTGACCCGGCTTCTTGAATCGGAACGATAACCGTTCTTCAACGTCAGAATGTTATAATTAAAAAAGAAAATCACTTTCATTCTAAGATATACCAACCAGTATCGTGCATAGTTTAGCCGAAGCTCTGTTGCTTAATGGTATCGACATGTACATTCGCCAGGTATGGAGTCCACGCATGTTAACCGTTTTGTTTCTCAAAACTGCAGCTCTCCTTAGCATACGTTGAGGACCAATTAAGGCCTCACATCCCTTGTCGATTCAAATTCATCGCCTCCGCGACCAAACTAGCATCTTGGAGCGTACGCGGTGAACCGGAATAAGGTACGTACTCCTCAGCTAAGAGCTTACCTCCCATGTCGCGGGATAATGAACCGTTCGCGTAGCCTAGCGAGGCATCCTTGCAGTTCTCGGAAACTATCAAGTGTTGATTAATAAAGTGATACGTGGGTAGGCGACCTTTTCCCCTGCATGTATAATTTTTCTAACGACTCTCTTTTATAGCTCTGGACTGGACGAGCGCATAAGTTATTGAGTGATAGTTAACGTGCCGGTATTGGAAATAAAATTGTCTCTTTTGAGACGCTTCGACCTTTGAGTCGAACCTTTGAATGATAGTACCTAGTCAATGATGGCCTGTGAACGACCTCGCTCTCACAGGCGTTCGGACCGTTCTCAAATGTGCTAGGTATGTTGTTCCCAGTAAATCATCTTCCACCGAGCTGATAATGCCGACAACCATGTTAACTTGCAAAGGAGTATTGGCCTTGTGCATCGGCCACGTTGCGCTTTCCGACTATCAACTGATGTTTCATTCACTACCGTAGGATTACCTCAACGACTACCATTTGCTGTTGCTGTCACACACAAACACAATCTCGGTGAGTCTGATACGTTCACCTTTCCTTCACTTTTTCTAATGTATCGTGTGGAATTGTAGGTTCTTCGCTGGGTAGTGAGAACATTGCGGGCCACTGCCTTGTGTCGCAGGCCAATGAACGCGATGTTGAAAACTTTGATGTATAGGTATGTTTCGGCACTAGCCCCCTCTTTTTCTAGTTAAATGGTTAAGCAGCATGTTAAGTCTGCGACGAGCTTCTGCAAGCTGCTGAATATTTCATTCTCTTTTATAACCTATAGGGTTATCACGAGAAATTGAAGCATGCATGAGATGTCAACATAGTCCAGCTCACTGTTTCAAGAACGACTGATATAGGCAACCCGAATGCATACGAATGGAGCGAAGTGCAGGTCAGCGAGGGTTATACCGAGGATGGCGAGGAAGGCCCTAGTCAGGTCGAAATCGCCTTTACAGGCAAAGAAAACGTCAACATCGAATGATAACATCATTTCATTGCCGCTGCAGTGCAGGATGAATACATGCTAATCCTTCTGCCCAGCTTCTGGTACGATTGCTTGAATATAAACATAAGCATCTCATTCTACAGTACTGACACCGTCTCCTGTGTAGCTTTCCTGCATTTTATCTTATGCTTCCTTCGTACGGAACTGGATAAGAAGGACCTGTTGCAGCCGCCTATTTGACAGCGAAAATGTCGACCAATGCCCAACTTCTGATGATCTGAGTGTGCCTCATTGAGACTAATAGTCTTTAAGAATGGGAGGGAAGCCTACTTCGAATATTATGTTGAGAGATAACCATTGCCTTTATCGACTTCGACACTGATTTCTTCTTTCTGAAAATTCTCCGGGAAAGATCCAGGTTAGTGAGCTGGGCAACCAGGCTTGAAGAAGATGGTCTTCTATGAACGTCCCTCGACCAACAGAGTTCGACCAATGACCATACGCTATCATACGGCAGCTCATCATAGCTGGGCCTAGCTGGTCGAAGGTCGTTCTGCCATACAGCAAGCATAACGGCGATATCTTGTTTAATATTCCAAAATGGAATTCGCCCAGTGAAAATCTAACAGACGTAATCAGGCACGGAGGACCCAGGACTTGATAAGTCGACGTACCTCGATTACAGTACATCCAAAGGCATATATATCTCTAAATGTTTGATACTGCCAATTGGAGGAAGCGTCAACCTGAAGAAGCTCAGGTGCAAGCCATCTGGAAGATCCTTTTCTCGAATCTCCATAGCTTCCGAACCCACATGTCATCACAGCCTTCGCAAGGCCAAAGTCTGCTAAGCAGCAGCGAAAGTCCGCATTGACAAGGATGTTGGCCTTCCACAAAAATGAGTCAGGCCAGATATTATACTGTGCAAGGAGAGACGCTTACCCCACGAATGTCAGCATGTATGACCGGAGGTTTATGTGAGTGAAGGTAATCGAGCCCATTTGCTACTTCAATTATCTGTTCATCATATTGACATTCTAAACATCGAAGCATTGAATAGTAATGAAAATAAGAACATACACACTGTATACGATTGTGTTCCGGATGCTGCGATAAGAATGAAATGATATTGCCATTCTTCATCCAAGGAGAGATGAGGCAAAAACTTGGATGGAATAGATCTTCGTTGATACCAATGACACAGAGCACGTTGGGGTGTTGCAAATTTCTCCAGACTAACGCTTCTCTGCAAAAGTCCTAAAAGCCTTTCATTAGACAGGTGTGTTACAACCGAGCTGTCTAGGCAGACCTTTCTGATATCTCCCCTAGACTTCGTCTCATCGTCGGTGAAGATCCGCAGAACTTTCAGGCAAACATCAATGTTGTTCATGCGGCCTTTGTAGATATCCTGTATAGGACAGGTACCAATGTCAGGTCGAAATTTCATGGCTAATGTAAAACGTTAGAACCTACCGCAAATCCTCCATAACATACTGGCCGTCTCGTATCACACCTAATATTTGATATCGTGAGGCTTGTGGGAACGACAAGGTAGGTTTCAGCAACTTGTAGCAAGCATTTGATGCAGCGTGCACGATAGTAAGCTTTATTGTAGACATAAGCACGGGTGTCAATTTCCTGTGAAGGCAATGAGACCTATACAGTAGTATTCAAAGCGTGCTGGAGGATATCTACTTTCTGCAGAAAGTTGATCGCCATGAGTGGGTTCTTCGCCGCTAGAGGTATGATATTGCGCCACGAGTTGGTCGAGACAATGAATTTTCGGAAAGAATGATCCAAATTCCGGCCTCCTGACAGCGCCTCCTGTATCTCGCGGAGAAGATCGCTTCCGGAAGCGACGTTAGTTGATTTAGGAGGTCCTCTGTCGAGTATTTCAGAGATTTTCTGTTTTGCCCAGTTGTATGCCGTCCGTTGGAGGTAGGGAACCGGGTCTGGTTCGAAAATAAACAGCCTGCAATAGCTATAATCCCTTTCAGCTGGCTGTAATCACAAACGAAGCGTGATATGGGTCTAGACGTACTTGTGATATAAAGGATTTGTCAAAGACAAGAGGATCTCTTCAACGAGATCAGGGGATTCTTGTACAGTGGTGTCCATGGTATATGTTCCCGTTCGAAGTATAAGCGACGAGGCATTAAGTCTGCTGACGTTTGCGAACCTGGTCCGGATGTTGGCGCTGGAGTGAGTAGTAGTAAATAATATTGAGGCAATATTTGACAGACGACTGATCATCTCCATTACATCGTCAAGGATATTAGGCGAATCGTGGTATGCGTCAATAGCATCGAGAACAACATAAATCTTCTCGAAATTGTCGCAAGCTCGGATGAACAGATCTTCTATGATACTGACGTTCTTTGTGTTGAGGACATGGCATAGAAGCAGAGGCGATATATCCGTTAAAGGTATTTGTTGAACGAGCTGATACAGAAGTGAGCCGACAATGTCGTTGTACCCCTTCTTTCGGGTGCAAAGATAATACGCTATGCCGGATGTAGCCTTTAAGGATATCTTCAAGTGAAAAAGGCATTCTGTTGCGATCAGTCTGGTCGTTCATATGAACATACCTGTACTCGGACTGAGATTCACAACTCACGCCGGTACCCTAGGAAGACCTTCAGAAATCAGACAAATACTTGATCGGATATTCCGCAAATTTCTCACCATTTTCTAACCATAATACCGTAGGCTTATCATCTATCCAAGAGAAGAATGCTCCATAGCGATTTATAGCGCCGGTTGCATGAAATGGACTGTCGCCTATTTTCCACAAGTCTCGGCGGCGAAGATTACAGACTTTAAAAGTATCCGGTTGGAATAAGATGTGCGGTAGGTTTGGTTGATGCATACGGTTGGTCAGGGAACACTGTAAACTATGAAGTCGAAGGTATCTTTATATTGTCTTGAAGATGAGTGTGCTGTGTAAACGTTGTTCAGAGAAGTCGCGCACTGCATCATACATTTGACTTCGGACTAGATCACTCCAGAACGTATCAAATCTAGCCCCGCCCAGGTTTATAGCACACCTGAGAATCTCACGAATCAAAGTCAGAACTGAATGCGAGTCCATTTTTACCCTAGTGAACCTGCGTTTAAAAACGAATGCAGAATAATGATTTACCCGATTTCAAGAAAAAGCATACCCATTGTACCACAACGGTGCTTGAACCTTGGTAGAGCTTTTAAACTTGCAAAGTACAGCATTGGTCTCCAAGATCTAGACCCTTAGGCGTCTGTTGTTGTGCTGTACAGCGCCGTACAGACGAACACCACCGGGATACCAGTCGCTCCTTGCCAGCCTCGGACCTCCCAAATGGCCTCACAATTTCAGCGTCTTAAAATGACACGGCTGTAGACGACACAAAGGGTATGAGTATAGCACGTAAAGTTTGGACCCGGACCGGACCTCTGATTCTCTGATCGCGTGTACCTGAGGGCAGGTTGTGCAGCATTGATTGTAAACCTGCGGCCGTGGCTGTATCCTGACCATCATGTGAACTTGTCCGTGAAGTAAGAGAAATCAGCGAAGTTTGCTGAGAAGGGCATCCTCTGGAGATTTTGTAGTTTATTTTGTAGGGTTTTCGCATGGACCATTGTACCGATGAATAAAGGAACGATATGCAGAAATAGATAAATGCACCACTACCCAAGTTGTGGACCGGTCGGACCGTCCCGGCAAAGCCTTTCTCTGACCGCCATCACCTTCTCTCTCTCTCTGTCCTGTTGTTCATTGGTACGAAAGTCAGCTCCTAAAATCATGTTTATCCTCCCTCATTCTGGCTCCGGATGTTCCGTTTCACTGAAAGCGGATTCACCAGGCCGTAGATATCAAACACAGCATCTAGTCTTCGAATCCCCGCTGATGCCGAGCTGTTTCTTACCCGCTTTGATGATCTGGGCGCTAGTCCGTGCAGCTTCCTTGTCATAGGTTTGGTGCGACCACAACTTGCTTCCAACCTACGCCGTCTCTGTACATTCGTATGTATGCTTGTTTGTCATTAGATCCTTGATTGGTATATTCATTCTGCTACCACTAGGAAGAAAACCTCCGGGTGCAGGGGAAGGGATGGTTGATCGAGGAGTCCCTGACTGAATGACGCCGGTAAGCGCTTCGAGGCGCACGGAAAGGCAAGAATTAATGCGTTGCAGAACGTACGAACGTGTGTCCCGTATGAGAGTCTTCCCTCTCCGCCCTCGCCGAGATCGCTGGTCAAGCAGAATCAGCCATTCCAATGCCGATGCAACGGTCCTATACGGGTAGAAGGTCGGTTATACAATCCGCTCAGGCGAATACTCCCTGCATTGACCTTGGTATTGACAGGGTTTTAAAGGAGCTCAATACGACAGTCGACGCACTATATATTTCAGACGACTCGGCTCTCGAATCCTTCATTTCATAAAATTACGACTTTAGCACTGCCTACGCTAATTTCCGTTCTTATTGGTATGAACTGACTATCATCATGCGCATCCACGAAGCTCGGGGTCTGGACCTGGACCGGGAGATACATCAAAATATGATCATCGATAACAGCATGAGTCCGACAGAAATATCTCCCATCGACATATTAGGAGCTGTACACCAATTGGGTCGTGCCATTCTGGGTTTTCAGAGAATATGCATGGGCAATTCGTTAGATATCCATGCATGTGATATTGCCAATATCGCATGCGTGGATATCTGATGGGGGGCGCATGGATCTCTGGATGCCCGTCAATGGCCCGTCCTGAGCGCGTTCTGATCGAGCCTTAAAGACGCAGATCGAAACGTTGAACCTGTGAGCAGAGTATGTATGGTTAGATGTTTTGTGGTTGAGGAAAGAAGATGGGCTTAGGGGGGGATCTATGTATAGACGAGTGGAAAGTCGTTGTGCCCACCGTCAGATCATCCATCGCAGTGCAAAGGCGGTGTGCTACATCAGCGGACTGGGTCGGCCTTTTTGAATAAAGCCAGACGATTTAGGCAGCGATCAGTGTTGTTCAGGCGGGCGTGAACATTGCAGAAAGTCGGCAATAATTCGTTCATGGGAGGGGCAACCCGGATCCGGCACTTCAACCGTGTGGAATAATTTCGTCAAATATTCATAGAGCCGCAGGATAAAAGAGAGACATACGTGATGAAGGGGTTCAATGAGGTGGGAGCGCATTGAAGGCAACAATGATAGACGTCAGGAAAGAAGATGGAAGGCCTGGCCACGGCGGACTATCAACCACGGCTTTATGACCGGGCCAGACACTGGGTGCGCATCGGCCCGTACAGCAGTTCCATGGGAATATTTGCTTTCCTTTCGCTCTTTGTGCTAGGAACGAGCCTACCAAGCCTTGGAAGGAACACTGCCATGTCCCCTATTGGCTACTATCGATACCTCCCAGCGGATTCCCAGCACCGGGTTCGCTGTGACAATGCAATCCTTGGACGAAGAAAATCAAATGGAAATGACACGACTGGCAATCATATTATGGCGGGAAACAAGATGGTGTTTGATATCGTCTCCGAATCCGTTGTTGTCAGGTCAGCAACATTCGATTTCGTTAAATAAGATTCAGAAGGGATACGTGATTTGCGTTATCAATATCTTCCCTTCCTCGCTATATTTACTGTATTCGTCTTCATAGACAGTATCTCCATTTCGCCTCGATCCAGGGAACATTGTTACTTTTTCTTTTTCTTCTTCGAGAACTCCGAGTCTCATTTTTCCTCACTGACCGCCATTTACGGTACCGTTCGTATTGGGGTTACAACGGCTCTGTCTAAACAAGTAGGTTGATGCACTACATCCAAAGCAAGCCCCTCAGTCAGGTACTGCGTTGATAAGAATTTTCAGAGAGCGCAGTGTTATCCCAAAGTTATGATTTACAACACTTTTCAGCAAACAGACAGTGTATCCCAGTTCTGGCTGACAGTCGTGTACAGTGCATGCAGAAGAATCGAGAACATCGTATTCTTTGATTTCAATGTACACGAAAATGATCTAAAACGTTTCATGTGAGTCGAAACTGTCATTCCATGGAAGGATGCCAACGTACTGTCAAGTACACAAAGCGCAGTTAGCGCTGTCTACGACGAATGAATTATTCTGCAGGCATGCAGCAGATCACAGGAAATGGAGGAAATGGAAGCAAGCAGCATTGCTGTCTGTTACCGGGAGGCCGACGCCGAATATTCGTCACACGGATCCTCATGAGATTGGGTCGATTTTGAAAGTGAACCAACCTTTGGGGGACAAGTGTACGTTGCGTCTGCATACACGAAGAGTTAGTCAACAAATTCCATGAAAGACAAGGGTTAGCATTAACGAGATTTGACGTACCCCGTACTACTAATATCTTCCGGCACTCCGAAGCTGCACGGCATGAAGCAGGTCGAAGTCGATTTCAGGCATAGGCGCATAGTTGGCGGTCCATCCGACTGGGAGGTTTATTGTGATGACGGTCTACATATCGCACAGGAAAGGACGCGGGGATGATGAAAGACGAATTCAAAATCTAAAGCAAGGCTGAGGATACATTTCGTTCTGGAGAGGGATATACGTACCAAGGAACGCGCAAGGATCTGCCCTGAGATCTGTCCTCAACGTAGACCCAATGTGTATATATGGTGACTGACGGACTTCACGACCGGGGACCACTGTAAGACTTAACAGATGAACGGGCTACCATGGCAAGAACATGTTAGCCAGAAGACGAGAGAATGAATATATTTTAATACCAGTCTTTCAATGAACATGAAATCAGGACATCAGAATGAGGAAGTGCCTCGTCTAAATCTTGTGAGGTGTGTCCTGGCCCGGCTTCATTGAATCGGAACATAACTATTCTGCGGCATCAGAACGCTACAGCGAGGAACGAAAATTACGTAGCGCGCTCAAAGCTTAATATTGCTCCATGGACAGTACATCTCCGACACGAATTGCGAGCTCGATTGCTAGATATCACCAGATAACGATGCTAAGTTTCCATTCATTTGCCATCATCTGATAGCTGAGCCGCCGATTTGGGACCAAGATTCTTCAATAGTTGGGCTGGCGATTGCGGGACGAAGACTCGTGTCAGGTCCATGGTGTAGACTTGCCGTTGAAAGATTTCCCGGCAGTGGGTAATGAGAAAGCGAGATGGACTAAAGAAGCGGAGATCGCCACAATGGTTACGAGAAAGCATTTGATGGAAGCGGTTGCCGGTACCCCAGATACCGCCTGCGCACGGGCCCGCTACGCGCCGGGATTGTTTGGCACCAGAGGAGCAAACAAAGCGTGCTTCTTTCCTTTTCGCCCTTATGCCGTTGTTACTCGGCGCCCTCTCGAAGAGTGCCGACCCGTTTATGAACTGGACGAAACCCAATATCTAGTTTTCGAAGAGTATCGAGTCTAATCTGCCTACCTAAGCTCCCGCATTCCACCTTTTCAACGGTTTCCTTGAACACGAATACAATGACCTCCACATCAATTTGTGCTGCCTGCGAGTCGAATTTTTGCCAAGACGGTGTGTTCTTTCCGGCAAGCAAAGAGCACGCAGGGAGGACGACGAGGGCAGGGCGAAAGTGCATTGCGTTGAGAAGGCTCCTGTACCTGATAGGACGACGATCCATGTATCACACGCAAGACCCACCCTTTCCACGCGTCAAGGGATGTACACACCTGGTCGTTACTGCCACTGCCAACTTGGTCTCCATCTCATCGCTTCGCCCAATGTAGAACGGCTGTTTGTTTTCTGACATAACGCTCGAGTTGTGCTGTAGGGGATGGATGTGTTGGCGGTATATAGCTGGTAAACGAAGGACGGGAAGGAAGAGGTAGGTGCCGTTTGTCGAGTCGTTTTACGTTGCTAACGCTGTTCCTTGCAGGATGTCAAGTATCCATGTCGAATTGAATTCGGCGGAATTTGATCTGACGTCCTCGTAGTAAGTTTTACTCCTACGATGCATCTTCATCGCTTTGATGAATGTGTGTAGTCATTGCCTTTGTAACCATGGTACGGATCGAGGACACGATTATGGAGTCGACAGCCGGGAGCCTTTCTCCAGCCCCGTTTATCAGACGTTCATTCTCTCCTGTGCAAGGGGGCTTCGATGGTAAGGTTCCAGATGCTTTTATGTTATGTGCTACTGCTCGACTGCTAAAGCATTCCTAGATCACTGCCAAATGCTTTATTCTCGTTCGAATATTAAGTAGTTGTCACGGGTTTTCTATTGTACGTTCCTGGGATTCTCTAAGGAGCCAGCTAACTTTTTCGAAGGTATAGAATGTCCAGCTTCTGAGCGACCCAAATAACCTCCTACAATACTAATCTCGATATCACCTCCCTTTCCTAAGCGTTCGCCCAGCTCTTCCCACGAAGTCAGGATGGCAGACGTAAGCTTCGACGTCCTCGGTTTCGCCCAAGGCTGGCTAGATGACTCTGGCCTTCACGGATCGTCCACCTACACACATAAGACGACGTTCCCAGGCTGATCATCGCAAATACCACTCTTTTCACGCGCCGGCCCAATCTCTCTTGCTGGTTCTCCTGTGGAACTATGACCCGACGTCGTCTAAAATACAGACAGTGCTCGCTCCCATGGCTGTGTGACGTCGTTATCCGTACCACGACGCCATGGTCCACACCGAGCACACGCTGTTCGTATTTCGGATTTTGATCGGAGTACATCCGGGAGGCTAGACGCGTTATGCGTTGTTGCTGTGGCTCTGCCGCCCCGGCATTCCAGGACTGTATTTTAACAAACCTTGCGTTCGAGAAGCTCGATTCGGGCGTCTGACCAGCTCTGCTTTCCTCTCTCCACTCCTCGGGAGCCTTCGCCTACATATCCTTGATATTGGACAACTGTACAATGTAATTTTTAGCCTGTAACACTCCCTTCACCACCTCGAATATACAATAATACATTCGATGCGGCTTATCTCCATCCCTTGAAGACGCCAATCAGCTCACCACTTCGAGCTGAACCTCAGGTTCCTGTGCGTAAAACCCCACCCAGTTCGGACGTACCAAGCAAACTCCCGGAATGCTGTGTTCGGACCGAAGTACCCGGGCGCCAGCGAGCATATCTCACGCCCCACTATCATCCTGGGTATGGACGCTGATATCCTGAACAACCGTCACATACATAACCTTGGTTTATGAACTGGACGAGCCCCGGTATCTGGTTTTGAAGAGCGGCGAGGCTAATCTGCCGTAACCAAGTTCCCACATTCCACCTTTTGACCGGATTCCTTGAACATGAATACGGCGATTTGCATGGCACTCTGAGCTGTGTGGGAGTTGTATTATTCTGCACAGGCGGTGTATTGCTTCCTGGCAAGCACGGGAGTACGCTAGGTGGACGACGAGCAATGCAGGTACACCAGCAAGGGCAGAATTGCAGTGTTCCCGCTCCTGACTAGACAAAGATATGTATATCATTGCTTCGCCGGAAGTAGGATGTCTGTTCGTGTTTTCCCGTGATGCTCGAATCGTGCTATAGGGATGAAGGTTTTGGTGGTATGTATACGGTAAACGAACGACGGGAAGAAAGAGGTACGTGCTCGTCTGCCATGTCGTTCGTTTCACCCAGCTGATACTATTCTTGAAGGATGTCAAGCGTCCATGTCGAATTAAATTCTGGCAGAATTCGATCTGGCGGCCCTTCTTGTATGTATCATGCCTACAATGCACTCTTCATCGCGTTGACGGCTATGTGTAGTCATCGCCCTCGCAATCAAGGCACGAACCAAAGACTACGACTACCATTGGCAACTATAGTCCACTGGCAAACGCTAGGATATACGCTGTTGCTCCTGTTCAAAATTGCATTATCACTGGTTTTCCACACGTACGTTCCCATGAATCTATAACGACTGACTTAGGTTTTAACAACGACATCGAAATAGCCTCCCTATACCGCTAATGCCGATATCGCCGCCTTTGTATGCCAAGCTCTTCCCACAAAATCACGATGGCAGACGTATGGCTCGATGTGATCAACATCGGCAGCCTCGTCCAATACCGGCGGGACAGCATCCATCAGCTCGAATCAGACTTCACCCGCCAACACACGCAAGTCGACATTTCCAATCTCGCACTCGAAAAAAGATCGCTCGTTGTGCGCGACCATCCGCCATCTCCCACTGGAACTACTTATGTTGATGTTCCGTCAATTCGAACACAATACTAGGTTAAGCGATCCTTGTTCCGCGTATATGCGTAGATCACGGCATGTCCTTGTTGCACATAAACCGAGGCTGGGGTCTGCAATGCGCATTGGCTCTTTGGTTGGGATTTCCATTGGAGCATACTTGGGAGTGTGCACGTGTTATGCCCGTCATCCCCTCTGGCTCTGCCACCCCGGTATTCGAATATTGTATTCCAACAAACCTTGCGCCTGACAAGCCCGATTTACAGATCTTCTCGACTCCGCCTTGGCAGTCTCCGGGTGCCTCGCGTACATATACTCTCAGCATTCGCCGACTCTACAACGGTCCTCCCCTCCCTCCGCCACCTAGAATGGGCGCTCAGCGACTGTACACGGCTTATCGCCTCCACCAACAGTACAAACCAGCTTACCCCGACTGTCGAAAGGGCCGTTCCCATGCAAGCTACCCATCGCACGCAACTCGCTCGGCCTCCGTCTCTATAAACCTCGCATATATTTCCTTCCCTGTCCTTCACGTCCTCAAACCGGTTTGCCGACACTGTACTCGTCACTCTGGCTATCAGCCGGGCACGCTGATCTTCCATGACGTCATCGGCATTCATTCCAGATTCTCCTCGTGCCTCCTCACCCGCTGAAATCTGCTCGTAAGCAACGAGAGTGTGTACGATGTCTTCCCTATCTTGAGGACTTGAGTAGTACGCACAAGACGAGGCGGTTCGAGGAGATGCCGAGGATGGTCAAAGCGAGGAACGATTGCCAGCACAACGACCCATCAAGTTCAGCCATACTAAGAAAACTCCTCGAATATTTTCTCCCGATCAAAGGACCCGGACGCTCGCGTGCATATCATTCTCCCTGCTTCACTCCCTCACTATCAGTCTGATTCCTCCTTCTCATCCTGGCTATATGGATGTCGATCTCCTTAATAACTATCATAGTCCCTGTCTCCGCACGTTCATCTTTAACATCGTTCTCTTGCCATGCTCCTCTCTTCCCCCCATCAACCGCTTAGATCCTGTCGTTGGAAGCGAGCGTGTACGGCACGCCCGATTTCAGGGCTGCATCACCCGTTTCATCCGGGCGTAAGTAATGAGAGTATGTAAGACCTTCTTCCCTGTCTCAAGACACAGACATGCTCAAGACAAAGCGGGCGCTATGGATGACCAGACGAGGAAATGTTGAAGGAATTTGGATGTTGGGTCGTGGTATGGGGAGAGGATAAGACGCCATTTTGGAAGGAGAGTTTCCATGGTTGACGTTGAAGTTTTATGGCGTTCTTTTAGTTTCTTTTGTGGGGTCTGAACGTAGCAAGCAGCAACATTCTTCACCGTCGGCCGCGCCTTCCCAGACATATGTAAGCAGTAGAGAAGGAGATTTCGCATCCTACGGGGTTTGCGTAAAATAAGTGATAATAGATAACATTTCTACTATGCACCTTTGGCGCTGGAAAAATGGTATTAGCGATGGAAAGCCTCAAGATAGAGCGTCGTGAAGCCGATATGTAATATTTTTGTGCGTGCAGTAAAGCTTTGGTGGGAGGAGGAGGCGGCGGTTGTCAAGTGATAGCAGCGGAGATAGCCACAAAGAAGTTGAAACCGAAGCGCGCCCCTACGTCCCTACGAGACTTATGTCACGTAATACCCACAAATCAAACGTCGAGATGTGCTCTGGGCAACTAATATTGCTTTCAACACGAATAATCAATAAATCGCTTGTGGCCTACAATATTCCGTCATCTCTGTGCCAAATCATCGTCGAGAACATGAATCATGGGTATGCGATTGATCGTGATGGCGAGGCACAGGGTTGCACAGCCATAATCCGAGGCAGAGAAGAGCAATAAGATTATCGACATTTTACCCATCACACTACACACTTACAACTACTTCAAGCCATATTGAGAGAAATAACAAGAACTACCAACACATCTATTCTAGGCTCGCTCGTGACGCGCTCTCTCAAACTACAAACCCCATTTCTAGGCACGCTCGTGACGCACCATCAATCAAACATATCACAGTTCTAGGCTCGCTCGTGACGCGCCCATTTTATTAACTACATTCATCTAGGTACGCCTGTGACGCACGCTCCAAAACCCTTTAAGTCACCGAACGCTTACCAAACGCAACATCCATCACCCACCACACGGTTACACAAAGTAACTCGACCACAAAACCACCCAACCTCAGCTAGTGAAAACCATAGCATTCGTGCTTGAACTCCCGAACTATTTACAAAGGATTCGTACTAACCCCAAGTACCCCTGACAACGAGTAACACATTCTATACGACCACAGCTTGATGTCAACCGGCATCATCTCTGGTATGTGTCGGTGTTTGACCTTCAATCCTGGTATCCTCATTCTACTACGGCTAGGAAAAAAACCCGGGACGCACGAAGAGGAATGGTGGGCCGTACAGGATAATCGGGATCGATTTGTAAGCACTCTAATGTGTGCACAGAAAGGGAAGTAATAACGCATTTCAGAGATCTTTAACATATCACAATTATGGGAAACTCCCCAAAGTCACACTCTCCGCCCTCACTGAGACCGGCAAAGCAGAATCAACCATTCCAGTGCCGCAGCAAAGGTCTTACACTCGTAAAAATCCTGTCATACGATCCCACTCTCGCTGACACTCCCTGTGCCGACCTCGGTATGAATGGGGTCTTGAAGGAGCTCAATGCGACACTCGGAACGTCATATACTCTCAACAACCCCGTCTTGTCCTCCATTCTTGAATCCTTCATCAGACAGGATTACGACTTTGGCACTCTCTATGGTAATTTGCGTCCGTATTGGTATGGCTTGTACGTTGCCGAACACATAAGCCAAGAATACAATCGGGATCGGGAAGGGCGACAAAATATGGTCAAAAATAGCAGGATCTCCGATGGGAATGTTCAACCCCGGCGTGTTTGGGACCTGTATGCTAATCGAGTGGTGCCATACTGGGTTGCCAGGGATTCTGCATGGGCGATATCGCATGCATGGGTGTCTAGTGAGGATCGCATAGATCTATGGACACCCATCAATGGCTATGAATGGCCTGTGCCAATACCGAAGGATGCGGACCTCAATCTCATTCGGATCGAGTTGTTGAACCTCAGAGCAGAGTATGTTTGGTTAGATGTTCTGTGCTTGAGGCAAGAGGGTGGCTGCAGGGAGAATCTGCGCCGAGAAGAGTGGAAGGTCGACGTGCCCACCATCGGAGCTATCTATCGCAAAGCAGTGGTAGTGTATTACCTCAGCGGGCTGGGTCGACCATTTTGTTTGAAGCCGGGGGACTTGGAAAGCGATCGGTGTTGGTTTCGGCGTGCATGGACGCTACAGGAGGTCAGCAATAAATATGTCATCGGTGGAGAGACCGATGATCACTCGATGGACAGAGACATGCGACAAACAGTCGAACAACGCCTACATTCACTGAACTTGGTGAATCCTGGTAGTGTGTTCGACATCCTGAGGGAGATGCAAAATCGGGTATCGACAAAGCCTCTGGATAAAGTAGCGGGTCTGGCATATATTCTCTTCCGAGAGTCTATCCCGATATACGATGAAACACAGTCTGAAGAGGATGCCTGGGGATCACTTGTGGATGTCATGTCTGTGGGGTATCGCACAGATTTGCTTTTCCTATACCCTGAGCCCGGGAATGGATGCAAACGTTGGCGACCATCATGGAACCAGATAAAGGCGATGCCACCTCGACCATGGAATCACTTTGTTGCATTTTCGGCAGCCATTAGGACTGATGAGACAGGTGTGGACTGGTGTAAGTGCGCATACATCAAGTCAGGTACTGTGCATGGATTGGGTGAGGTATCAAACACAGGGATGCCTCGACCGGGCGAGTTGGTGGTTATAGGAAGTACTGGGGTGCCCTGTACATTAAAGATCCTCGCTGATCATGCATACCCCATACCCGATGGCTCATATACCCTCATTGACAATTTCTCTACCCTTTCTGGCTATCAACCGTCATTACGTTGGGCAGTTGGGCGGCAACGGTGGGATGGGAAGTTTGAAAAAGTGTCAGTGATTCAACTGGCAGATATGGACGAACATTGGAAGCTTTGGTCGGTCCCTCAGGTGCATGTCAATGGTAAAATATTTCTTTGCTGAAAATAGGACAATGGCGTGCTTTGCGTCGGTCTAACGATGGAGAGGCATGATGATGAGTAGGACTAGGATATTGTTTCTGTTTCTATCGGCCTACTTTCTTATGCTATATGTCCATAATCTCTACATTGAATGCGCGCTTCAGCCTCTACTGTACCTTTCGTTCAATTCGAACGTCACGCCTCACAGCGCAAAAAATCTTGGACCGCGTTCAAATTGATTGTAATAGTCCAGTATCTTCGGCTAAGCAATCCAAGAAGAAGTAGGGAAAAATTAAAAGTCATCGCGGACCTGGTGATTTCCTCCTGCATCACAGGTATTCATGATGGATTCATTCCCCGTTGCAAGCGAACCATTGTTCTTAAAGAATAGGCGACGTTGGTCGAGCCTTCCCATAACCTAGCGGAATAGAACACTTCGTCTAGCATTCGGACAGGATGAGCATGCATACAAGCATTCTTAAAAGCGTACACACTCTTCACGGCATGATCAAACTGTGTTAGAAGTGAAAGCATAGGTGAACCCAGGACCGTTGCTGTACATTGGTCGAAACACCCTATCGACGATGATAAGTACGATAAAAATAAGTGAAAGAACGTCGTACGCACATGTCAATACATTGTTCTCACAGCCCCCATCCCTTGAAAGGAAGAAAGGTCGTCTAAGGAAATGCAAGACAAGTGAAAGGTACCTGCTCTATTCACGAGGCCAAAGCAGAGCTCAAAGTCAGACCTTGCTACATTGTTGATTTTAGCTTTCAAAGATAGATACAACAAAAACGTACCTGCTTCCGGGAAACCCTTGTAACGCGTCGCGAAATCTTAGTAAACACCCCTAGATCCAGGTGCACAAGTATAATTCCACGACGACATGCGAACTTGAGATTCACGTCAGCTTTACTCGAATGAAATGGGTAATCCAAAGACAGAAACGAAATCGAGACAAACGCGAAAGGTGCTTCTTTGGTTCACGAAGCTGAAGCCGAAGCCGAACGTGAAAGCCAGCCGTCGTGACTGTTTTTGATTCAGTTCTCAAAGATATCAATACAACAAAAACCTACCAGTTTCTGGACGATCGCTACAAGGTGTCACGAAATCTTAGCAGAGATGACTAGATCCAGGTTCATAGGTATAATTCTGCATTGACGCGCGAACTTCAGATTGATGTCAGCTGAAGTCGGCAAGGAAATCGCACCAAGCAACGTGAAAATATAGTCCTCGAAGAGGTGAACAGGAGTTCTGTGTCTGTTTCTCAAACGTTGAGGTAGTAGGTAGGATCAAACGGCATGGTCCATCGGACGCCGGGAAAGAGAGGCGGCGAGTCTGAGTGCGAGAGTTCATAGTACTGATTAGAAGAACTGGCAGAATAAGGGGAGTCGGACTATATGTAGCATTGTGAATTGCAATCCTTGGTTTTCCGTTCATGTGCCCAAAAAATTTCGACAACGCGGCAGTTTAGAACTCCAGTATGCAGCAATACAATCTGAATGATAAGTCAGGCAAGCGACCGTCAAGCCGAAGGACGGCAACAGACCGGTATGTACCAAAAATGAGGCTGACGTCGTACTCAACTGGTTTGTCATGGCACACTATTGAGAAATGAGGTGAGAATCCTATCAACCAAAGGGGACTAACTCGACACACTGGATCTCGTCCTTTGAAGTCCTTTGGGAAGAATGGCCCATCCAGGTTAGTGCAATTGATGCCTACGATTGTCCACAAGAAGTCGTCTGTATGGAGAAGTGCATTGTCGAAAGGCCGGGCTTATCTTGTTTATAGATTCAGAATCGGAAACATTCTGGCCACCGTCAAAACATTACAATGGAGAATTAAAATGTCGCACCACCCTCTAAATTTCCTGGAGATTTCAACCCATCTCTTCTCCATGGGTCAACCGGTCATCCTCCCCAACCCAAATCGCGAGTTCGATCGCACAGATTACCAGCTACGATGTGGAGGTTTCAATTATGAATGGTCAATTCATCCAATAGCCGATCTATCCAGAACGAAGAATCGTGTCAGGTCCACGGTGGCAACTTTTCATTGAAATAATTTCTGGGAACGGGGTGATGAGGAAGCGAGATGGACCAGAACAGTCGGGACGACGATAAATATTACGAGAGAAGCCTTTGATCGAAGCCGTTGACGGTACCCCGGACACTGGTGCGCATGGGCCTACTACGCGCCGGGATTGTTTGGCACCCAGAGAACCAAACAGAGCGTGCTTCTTTCCCCCTTCCCCCGCAAGCCTCTATGCTACTTTGACCTTTGCGCTCTCTCGTAGACTGCGTACCTGGACCAACCGTGGTATCTAGTTTTTGAAGAGAGAAGAACATAGCCAAGTTCCTGCATCCAGCTTTCGACCGGTATCCTTCACCACAAATCTCAATATCACTCCTAACAACCCTCGCATTGACGGTGTATTTTTTTCCGGCCTATATGGAGCATGGAAGGAGGACGAGAAGGAGGGCAGGTACATTAGCGAGGGCACCGCGCCTGACAAGACGACGATTCACGTATCACCCGCAAGACCCGGCCCATCGTACACATTAAGGGATGCATCCGCCTGATACCCACTGCCACTACCAATGCATTCTCTTCATTCCTACCATCCCATAGTTTTGCCAAGTGTACAGTGACCATTCATTTTCTGATGTGACACTCGAGTTGTGCTGTATGGTTCGACATGCTGGCGGAGGTGCGTGCTCATTTGCCGAATCGTTGGTTCTACAATGCTGAGGCTATTATTTCAGGATGACATGCGTCCATGTCGAGTTGAATCCAGTGAAATTCAATCCGGCTCTCTCGCAGTCTGAGTAAGTTTTACTCCTACGATTCGCCTCCATCGCTTTGACGAATCCATGTAGTCATTGCCTTTATAACTAGCGCTCGAATCGAGGACAAAGACCAAGGAGCCAGCGGGCGCCTTTATCCACCCCCGTTTATTGGTTATTCATCTCTCTGAAAGGGCACTTCGATGGTAAGATTCTTGATGTTTGTATGCCATATGCCGCCATTCAACGGCATTCATAGATCACTCGCAAACGCTATGAATGCACACTGATATTCTCGTTCAAAATCCATTATCCCCGGTTCGCCAATGGTACGTTTCCAGCAATCTGTAATGAGCTTGCTAACTCTTTCTCAGGTGTTTAAGACGATATCAAAAAAGCCTGATACACCACTAATGTCCATATCACCTCCCTGTCCTAATCTGTTCGCCCAAGTGTTCCCACAAAGTCACGATGATATACGAAGATCGATGTATTCAGCATCGGCAGCCTTGCCCAATACCGGCTAGATAACTCCGTTGTCAGAAATCGCCCGCCTACACACGACGACGTTTCCCGAATTACATACGTAAACACCAGTGTTTGCACACGCCGCCCCCACTTCTCCCGCTAGCTCTCCTGTGGAACTATACCTACGTCATTCAAAGATCCGACAGTGCTCGTTCTACGGAAGGGTGCAATACGTTACACGCAGATCAAAAGCGAGACGGCACTCGTTCCCTTGGACGTGGGTGCGATGGATGTGTGCGCCTCATGGTATGACCTTGTTGCACGTACGCGGAGGCTGTGATCTACAATGCGCATCGACTGTTCGTACGTTGGGTTGGCATTGGAGTCTATCCGGGAGTCTAGGCGTGTCTTGCAAGTCATCTGCTTTATCTCTACCGTTCCAGCATCCGTAGACTGTATTCCCTCAAACATTGCTCTTCAGAAGCTCGATTTACGGATCTTCTCAGCTTTGCTTGCATCTCTCTGCTATTCGGGTGCCGTCGACTACATACCATTAATATTGGTCGACTCTACAACACATCTTGTACTGTATTTCCCACCTTCCACCCCCCACTGGGCGATCAATTCTACTCAACATATCACCCTCCTCGACGATTCTAATCAGATTACCTCTCCGAGTCGACTGTCGGGGATTTGTCCAATACAACCTACCCAATTCGGAGTTCTGATAGCTCCTTGAGCGCTTTCTCCTCGTGCAAAGTATCCTCTCCCTCGCATACATATACTTTCCGTGGTTAACCTCTTCACTCTCGATCTCGCATCCCAGCTACGGACGTTTGAATATCCTGAACAAGCTTCACTACCCGGGTCGGTGCACGTTCGTCTTCAATGCAGTCATTGAAGAGCGACTATGTCAATGTCTGTCCTCTGACAAGACTTCTCCCGCGTCCCATCAACGACTTTGATCCCGTCGTCAGAAGGGGAGAACATGTACGGCGTACTCGATTTGACGCTTCTTCCTCATCTTGAGGACTTGTGTACTAGGTGCAAGACGAGGTCATTCGAGGATATGTTGAGGATGATCAAGACGAGGAATGCCTCGAGGAACTTGAATACCAGGTCGTCGTAGTGGGAGAAGATGAAGGCCCAGATTCGGAAGGTGAGTTTCCGTGGGCCGGGACCGCCGGGTTAATGACAAGGTTTCATGGTCTGTTGTGAGAGGACTGAGAGGCGCATCGTGTGGCGGCTCTGTAGACTTTTTCACTACGATGATTGTACCGATGAATAAATGAATTATATGCCACAAACAATAGAGAAATGGTACCGCCACCCAAGTTGCAGACTGTCTTTTCCGGGTCGGACCGGCCCGTGCAAATAAAGATGGGCCTCTCTCTCTAACCGCCATTACCTTCTTTTTTCACACTCTCCGCATACTATTTCTCCGCAGATCAGCACGTATGTGAAAGGAGAAAGTCGTTTAAAATCCTTGCTACTCACAGATAATCCGTGTGAGGTGCTGTGCAGACGCCCACTTTAAATTTTCCCTTTAAGCTGATATACTCGTATTAATACCCGGAGGTGCTTCTAGGTGGTTCTCTCGTTCACTGCGGCTGAAGTACAAGACCGAGTCTTTGTCTTTACATCTATCAACGAAACTAAATCCGGTTCCATTCCGCTGAGGATGGTGGTGGAAACACGAGCGAGCTGGTACTTATATTTTCATTGCATCTTTCCTTAGCTAATGTGTTCATTCCACAGCGGATTCGGGTACGTTTGCGTGCTCTCATTGTCTTTTAATGTTCATATATATCAGTTGCTCCATTTCACGTTAAGGTTCTTACATCTTTTTCTTCCCATGTTTCTTATACGTAACACTTCTGATAGGATACTTCCTGCATCTCAATCAGAGGAACTCAACAGTCTTGGGTTGGCCATTGTCCCTCTGTATCGTCTGTGTTTATTGGTGCGAAAATCGGCTCTTAAAATCAAGTTTATCCTCGCTCATTTTAGCCCCATATTTTCGAATTGCGCTCGTTTTTTCGAAGGTGGCTTCATCAGCCCGATATCAAGCGCAGCATCTATTCCTTGGCAGGCAAGGAGATGCTGAGCGTTTTGATGATCCGGGCGCTAGTCCGCACAGCTTCCTTCTTACCACGAGGACAGCACGAGTGACATGTTTGATGCAACCACAGCTTGTTACCAAACCACGATGTCTCTTTACGTTGGTATGTGTCGTTGTCTGACCTTCGATCCTTGGTATCCTCAGTGCACGGCGCTACCAATAGGAAAGAAACCCCCAGATGCAAAGGAAAGGATGATTGTTCATGGAGTCTCTGTCTGATTTCGACTGGATGACGCTGGTACGCACTCCCAAGGCTCATACAAAGGCAAGGAATAATGCATTGCAGAAAGTACAGACTCGTTCCTCGACGGAAATATTGCACCTCGATCTGTATACCATTCTGGATTGCCAGGAAACGTCATGGGCAATTCGTCAGATATCCATGCATGTGATATTGCCAATATCGCATGCGTGGATATCTTATGAGGAGCACATGGATTTCTGGATGCCCATCAGTGGATGTGAATGAGCGCTACGAACGATCCCTAAAGATACGAACCCTGGTCTCATTCGGATCGAGAGGTCGAACGTGGGAGAGGAGTACGAGTGGCGAGATGCTGTGTGTCTGAAGGAAGCAGGTGGGATTGGGGAGGATCTATGCATAGAAGAGTGGAAAGTCCTTGTGCACACCATCGGATCCATCTATCGCAGTGCAAAGGTGATGATTCGTGAATGACCTCAGCGGGCTGGGTCTGTTTTTTTAAATGAATACAGGCGATTTAAATAGCGATCTTTGTTGGCTCAGGCAGGCGTGAACATTGCAGAAAGTCGGCAATAATTCGTTCATGGGAGGGGCAACCCGGAACCGGCACTTACTTCAATCGTGTGGAATAATTTCTTCAAGTATTCATAGAGCCGCAGAATAAAAGAGAGACATACGAGATGGAGAACGATGAAGGGGTTCAATGAGGCAGGAGCGCATTGAAAGCAACGATGATAGACGTCAGGAAAGAAGATGGAAGGCCTGGCCAAGGCGGACTCTTAACCACGGCTTTATGACCGGGCCAGACACTGGGTGCGCATCGGCTTGTACAGCAGTTCCATGGAGATGTTTGCTTTCCTTTCGCTCTGTGCTAGGAACGAACCTACCAAGCCGTGGAAGGAACGCGGCCATGTTCCCTATTGGTTACTATCATTGGACTCCCAGTGGATTGCTAGCACCGGGATCGCTGTGACAATGCAATCCTTGGACGAAGGAAATCAAATGGAAATGACACGACTGGCAATCATATTATGGCGGGAAACAAGATGGTGTTTGATATCGTCTCTGAATCCGTTGTTGTCAGGTCAGCCAGCAGCATTCGATTTCGTTAAATGAGATTCAGAAGGGATACATGATTTGCGTTATCAATATTTTCCCTTCCTCACTATATTTACTGTGTTCGTCTTCATACGCAGCATCTCCATTTCGCCTCGATCCAAGGAACATTGTTACCTTTTCTTTTTCTTCTTCGAGAACTCCGAGTCTCATTTTCCCTCACTGTCCGCCATTTACGGTACCATTCGTATTGGGATTACAATGGCTCAGTCTAAACAAGCAGGTCGATGCACTACATTCAAAGCAAACCCCTCAGTCGGGTACCGTGTTGATAAGAATTTTCAGAGAGCGTGGTGTTATCCCAAATTTATGATTAACAACACTGCAGCAAAATAGACAGTGTATCCCAGTTCTGGCTGATAGTCGTGTACAGCGCATGCAGAAGAATCGAGAACATCGTATTCTTTGATTTCAATGTACACGAAAATAATCTAAAACGTTTCATGTGAGTCGAAACTGTCATTACATAGAAGGATACCAACGTACCGTCAAGTACACAAAGCGCAGTTAGCGCTGTCTACAACGAATGAATTATTCTGCAGGCATGCAGCAGATCACAGGAAATGGAGGAAGAACCTCAAAGCAAGCAGCATTGCTGTCTGTTGTTACTGGGTGCCGACGCTGAATATTCGTCACACGGATCTTCATGAGATTGGGTCGATTTTGAAAGGGAACCAACCTTTGGTGGATAAGTGACTGTGTATGTTGCGTCTGCCTACGCGAAGAGTTAGTCAACGAATCCTGAAAGAGACGGGGTGACATCAGCGAGTTTCGACGTACCCGATACTACTAATATCTCCCGGCACTCAGAAGTTGCACAGCATGAACTTCAGGGAGAGGCCGGTTTCAGGCCTAGGCGTATAGTTGGTGGTCCGTCCGACTGGGAGGTTTATTGTGATAGCGGTATACATATCACGTAGGAAAGGACGTGGGGATTGATGAAAGACGAATTCAAAATCTAAAGCGAGCCTGAGGATACATTTCGTTCCGGAGAGGGATATACGTACCAAGGAACGTGCGGGGATTTGCTCTCGGTTCTGTCCTCAACGTAAACCCAATGTGTATATACGGTGACTGATGGACTACACGGCCTGGGACCATTGTCAGACTGAACGGAAGAAAGGGCTGCCGTGGATAGAGCACGTTAGCTAGAAGAAGAGAGAACGCGAATGTATTTTAATACCAGTCTATCACTGAACACGGAATCAGGAAGTCGGAATGAGAAAGTTCCTCGTCTAAATCTCGCGGGGTGTGTCCTGGCCCTGCTTCATTGAATCCCAATAATAACTATTCTACAGCTTCAGAACGCTATTTTGAAGAACGAAAATGACGAACCACCCTCAAAGCTAATACTGCTCCATGGACTATGCTTCCCCGACGCAAATTGCTAACTTGATTGGTACAGATAACCAGGTAACGACGCTTGGCTTGCATTCCGATACCATCTTTTATCTGAGTCATCAATTTCAGGACGACGACTCGTCTCAAGTACATGGAACTTTGTCGAAGCGAGATGGGTCAGTGAAGTTAGGACCGCTATCGTCTTTCTTCCCATACTTGGACAGCTGATTTTGGGACGAGGTCTCGTGTCACCGGGCTCGTAGTATAGAAATTCAATTGAACAAATTTATAGGAATTGAACCTTGGGGAAGCGAGACAAAACCGTGAAGCTTTGGAGTGGGGAGCGCAAAGGAAGTTACGAGAAAACCCTTGATCGAAGCGCGTCGAAGGTACCCCGGACACCAGTGGGCAGCGGCCCGCTACGCGCCGTGATTATTTGGCACCGAGAGAAGCAAACAAAGCACGCTTCTTTTTCTCCCTCCATGCTGCCGTGACATCTATACCGTCTTGATGACTGCAGGCCCGTTTATGAACTGGAAAAACTGCGGTATCCAGTTCTTGAAGAGAGCAACGACGATCAGCCTTAATCATTCATGCGCTCCACCATTCGACTGGCTTTCCTTGAACACGAACACGATGGTCTTCATGTCACTCTGGGCTGACTGCGAGTCGAATGTTTCGCCGAGGCGATGTATTGCTTTCCGGCCAGCATGGGGCACGCAAGGTGGATGACGAGAAGTGCAGGAAAACCAGTGAGGGCAGAATCGCAATGTGTTCCCGCTCCTGACTCGACGAAGATCCTTGTATCACGCGAAATGACCTGCCATTCTCCACGCGTTAAAGGATGCACTCACCTAGTCCTCACTGCCGCTGCCCGCCACACCCTCTCCGGTCCCATCGTCTTATTGCTTCGCCGGAAGTAGGATGGCCGTTCGTGTTTTGCCGTGATGCTCGAATTGTGCTGTAGGATGGACGTTTTGGTGGTGTATAGACGGTAAACGAACGATGGGAAGAACGAGGTACGTGCTCGTTTGTTGAGTTGTTGATTTTACGCAGCTGACGCTGTTCTTGCAGGAAGTCAGGTGTTCGTATCAAGTTGAACTGGTGGGATTCGTCAGGCGTCCTTCCAAGTACGTTTTTCCTCCTATGATACACCTTCATCATGTTTACGGCTGCATGTAATCGTTGCCTTTGCAATCAAGGCACGAATCAAAGTCCACGACTACCACTGGAAACCATATTTCACTGGCAAACGCGAGGGATACGAACTGTTGCTCCTGTTCAAAATTGCATTATAACTGATTTTCCAAATGTATGTTCTTGCCGTGAACCTGTAACGAGTGACCTAAATTTCTCTCAGGTATTCACGACGACATCGAAATAGCCTCTTACACCATATCGCATTCGTCTCCTAGTTTGTCTTCCGGCAAAATCACGATAGCAGACGCATGACCTGATGTGATCAACACCGGCAGCCTCGTCCAACGCAGGCTGGACAGCATCCATAGCTCCAACCAGACATCGCCTGCCAACACGCATAAGTCGACAGTTCCAGTCGCACACTCGAAACAAGGATCGCTCGTTGTGCGTGGCCATCCCCTATCTCCCGCTGGAACTTCTTATGTTAATGTTACGTCAATTCGAACACGGTGCTATGTGATCCAAAAGTCAAGCCATCCTCGTCCCCGCGTATGTGCGTAGATCACGGCATGTCCTTGTGGCAGATCCGCCGATGCTGTGGTCTGCAATGCGCATCGGATTTTTGGTTGGGATTTGCGTTCGAGCATACTCGGGAGTGTGGGTGGGCGTGTTATGCCCATCATTCTCCTGTCTCTGTCACTCCGGCTTTCGAATGTTGTATTCTAACAAATCTTGCACCCGAGAAGCCCGGCTTACAGACCTTCTCGACTCTGCTTGACACTCTCGGGGCGCCTCGCGTACATAGCCTCAGCATTGGCCGACTCTACAACGTACCTTCCCTCCATCCGCCACTTAGAGTAGGCGCTTAGCGACTCTACACTGCTTATCGCCTCCCCCAAAGGTGGTAACCAGCTTATCTCGACTGTCAAAACGGCCGCAAGCTACCAATAACCGTAACTCACTCGGCCTCCATCTCTACAGTCTCGCACACATTTTCTTTCCTGGCCCTTCGCAGCCTCAAATTGGTTTGTTGACGCCGTGATCTTTACTTCGGCTATCCGCCGGGCATGCTGATCTCCCATGGTCTCATTAGCATCTATTCTCCCGCCAGATTCCTCTCGTGCCCCATCACCCGCTGAAATCTGCTCATAAGCAACGAGAGTGTGTACCGAGGGATGACTGTCAGGATTTTGTCCTCAGCGACCCATCACATTTAGACATACCTAAGCAAACTCCTCATATGCTTTCTCCCCATCAAAGGACCTAGACGCTCGCGGGCACATCCTTCTCCCTGCGTCATCGCCTCACTATCAGTCTCATACTCCGTTCTCACCCCGGTTATATGGGCATTGATATCCTGAACAACTATTATAGTCCATGTCTGTGCACGTTCGTCCGGTCGTTCTCTCGCCGGGCTCCCCTCTTAACCCATCAACCGCTTTGATCCCGAATTGAGATGTGTACGGCACGCTCAATTTCAGGGCTACATCGCTCGCTTCATCTGATCGTAAGCGACGAGAGCATTTACGACCTTCGCCATCTCGGGACGCGGACACGCTCAAGATGAAGGGGACGCTATGGATGACCATGACGAGGAAATGTCGGAGGAATTTGGATGTGGGGTTGTGGTGTGGGAGAAGGTCAAACGCAGTCTTGGAAGCGGAGTTTCTGTGGGTTGATGATAAGGTTTCATGTTATGTAGTGTGGCGACTGTTGAGGAGAGGTTAGGCGTTCTTTCAGTTTCGTATGTGGGATCCGAACGAAAGTGGTTAGCACGTTCTTCACACCAGCTGCGACTTCCCCGATATATGAAAGCTGTAGAGAATAGCCTGTAAGAAGTACAGGGTTTTAATAAGATGAATGATATAGATAGTATTCCTGCGACGCATCATTGGCACTGAAAAAATGGTATTCGCGACGGAGAGACCTCAAGGTATACCGTCATGAAGCTGATGTGTAATATTTTGATGCATGCAGTCAAACGTTGGTGCGAGGAGGTGGCGGTAGTCAAGTGATAGTAGTAGAGACGGCCATGGGGAAGTCAGAATCGAAGCACGAGCCTACGGCCCTACGAGACTTACATCGCATAACGCCCACAAATCACGTCGAGATGTGCTCTAGACAAATAATATTACTTTCAACACGAGTAATCAATAAATCGCTTGCGGCCTACAATATTCCGTCATTTCTGCGCCAAATCATCGCCGAGAACATAAATCACGGGTACATGATTGATGGCGCTGTATCTACAGCATTAAGTGCACAGGATTTTCGGCAGTGCCGCTGATGGCGAGCTGTGGCACACATGATGGTCCAGGCGCTAGTTTGAATAACCTCCTTCTTACCACCAGGACAGCACGAGTAACACATTCTGCGCTACCACATCTTGATGGCAATCCGCACCTTGGAAGGTATGTGTGGTTGTCTGACTTTCGATCCTTGCTATTCTTATTCCGCTAATAACGCATTTCAGAGAACCTTTACATATTCCAATTATGAGAGCCTCCCCAGGGTCACACTCTCTGCTCTCACTGAGACCGGCAAAGCAGAATCAACTATTCCAGTGCCGATGCAACGCTCCTACACAGGTATAATGCCTGTCATACGATCCGCTCTCGCTGACACTCCCTGCGCCGACCTCGGTATGAATGGAGTCTTGAAGGAGCTCAATACAAAACTCGGCACGTCATATACTATCAACCACTCTATTTTGTCATCCGTTCTTGAATCCTTCATCAGACAAGATTACGACTTTGGCACTCTCTATGCTAATTTGCGTCCATATTGGCATGACTTGACCACTGTCAAATGCCTCCACCAAGCATGGAATCAGGATCAGGAAATGCGACAAAATCGGATCATGAATAAAAGAATCCCAGATGGAAATATTCCGCCTCGGCGTGTTTTGTCAACATGAATCTGTCTCCCCCGTGTACACGTGATTGATATCAACTTTCAGTTTCTTGAGTATCGTGAGCGCTTACAGGCCCAATCAACATCATCCGACATGGGGGTTATCCTCAACTCAGTTGCCCCAGCGAAGCTCAAAGGTTAACCCTGAATATTGACTGTATGTTGAGTACAATACTGATTCCTGTAATCTAGCATCGGCTTCTGATGACTGGATGGATGCCATGATACGTGCCAAGAGAAAGACAAAAACCCAGCCGGCGATTACAAGCCCAACAGCAGAATTTGATCGCTATTTTAATTCAGCGCCTGTTGAAAAGGAACTGTGTCCAGACATCATAGCCTGGTGGGGAGTGAGTTGCGTTGATAACTGTTTTATTGCTCTGACTGATCTGCTTGCAGTTGCATCGATCTGACTGGCCAGTCATGTCAGCTATGGCTCGTGATTATCTAGCAATTCCTGGGTCGTCAACGCCTTCGGAATGAGCTTTCTCAAGCGCTGCAAGAACAGATGCAAAGCTCCGGCACCGCATGAAGCCAGAGAAGTTCGGCGGCCTCCAGAGGCTCAAAGGGGCATACAGGGATGGTCGCATGAGCGCTCAAAACGAGGCGTGGATGTCAATTGAGCCTGATTTTGGCCCTTTTGAGGACTCAGATGACGAGGATAAATACTTAGATACTAAAAAAGCCTTTATGGCCTCTCGTCGTAGTTTAGAATAGCATAGATCGTAGTTTAAAATAGCATAGGCTTAATTTTGTAAAAAACCTGGTTCAAACCTGGTTCGCACCTGAACCTGAACCTATGAACCCGGTGCGATGGGGTGCAGGTTCTGGTCCATCTTGGGTCTGCACCGAACCTGTTGGTGCAGGTTCAGGTTCAACCAAAATTGGCTGAACCTGAACCGCACCGAACCGCGGAAACACTAGTATGGGATCTGTTTGCCAATCGGGTGGTGCCATTCTGGGTTGCAAACAAATGGCCTTCGCCCATATCCCATGCATGGGTGTCTGACAAGGAGCAGAGGGATGTGTGTACATCAATCAATGGATATGAATGGCCCGTGCCAATTCCCAAAGATGTGGACCTCAATCACATCCGGATTGAGATGCTGAACCTTGGAGCAGAGTATGTGTGGCTAGATGTCCTGTGTTTGAGGCAAAAGGGTGGGTGCAGGGAGGATCTATGCAGAGAAGAATGGAAGGTCGATGTTCCAACCATTGGAGCTATCTATTGTATTACAGGCTTCAGGATGGTGGTATATTACCTCAGTGGGCTTGGTCGACCTTTTTTTTTGACGTCAGATGACTTGGAAAGTGATCATTGTTGGTTCAGACGTGCATGGACACTTCAGGAGGTTGACAAGGATTATGTAATTGGTGGGGAGACTGAGCATCACTGGATGGACAAAAACATGCAAAGAAGAGTCAACAAACACCTACAATCATTGAAGTATGCAAAGGGGCCTTGGTTATTTGACTTACTGCAGGAGATGTGGAATCGTGTGTCAACAAAGCCTCTCGATAAAGTGGCAGGTTTGGCATACTTTATCTCTAAGAGTTCTATCCCAATATACGATGAGTTGCAATCTGAAGAAGATGCCTGGGTAGCACTTACGGAGGTGATGTCTGAAGATTATTGTTTGCAGTTGCTCTTCTTATACTCTGAGCCTGGGGATGGATGTGGACGCTGGCAACCATCATGGAACCAGTTAATGGTGATGGAGATTATACCAGATGATAGCCTTATATTGGGGATAGGGACACTTGGGACTGAGGAGACAGGTGCTGACTGGTATGAGGGACCCTGTATCAAGTCAGGTTATTTGTGGGGATTGGGTCAGGTATCAAACAAAGAGATATCTTGACGGGGCGAATTGGTGGTCAGAGATCATATCGGAGCACCCCATATAATTGGGACCCTCGCTTACCATGCATACCCGATACCTGATGGCTGGTATACTCTCTTCGGTGAGGGTTATAATTCCTTCGGAAGCTCATTATATTGGGTGGTAGGGCAAAAACGATGGGATGGGAAGTCTGAAAAAGTGTCAGTGATCCAAATCACAGATCATTGCAACTATTGGGAGCCTTGGACAATTAGTGATGCACAAGTCATTGCTAAAACATTTCTTTGTTGAAAATAGGATACTTAATGGCTTACTTTGCACAAGTGTACTGACAGAGAGGCAGGATGAAGAGTAGGCTTATGGCACTGTTCACTTACACAGTTACACTTAGAAGAGATCTCAATAGTCTGGATTTTGTTTCTATCTCTCTCAATGTACTTTCTTATGCTATACATCCAGGATTTCTACATTTAATGCGCTTCAGCCTCGATCCAGCGCTAAAGAACCCAGAAGAAGTAGAGAGAACATCAATGGAGACCAGATGAACCCCCTCCCCCCCCCCCTGGCTCATTCTTATTTCAACCTGATTTGTGTTTCAAAGGCTACAGATACTCATGATGGATTTATCCCCTATTGGAAACTACACACATGTCAATAAATAGTTCTCACTAAAAGCCTCAATCTCTTGAGAGGAAGAAAGGCTGCCTAAGGAAATGTGAAATGCAAGAAAAATGTGAAAGGTGTGTTGAGATAAATACCGATACAACCATGCACCTGTAGATACTGTAATTAGAATATTTGTATATATTATATTTCAAAGCCTCCACAGTGGCAGCCACGTAGCGCTGCCCATTCCTTTCTTGTTTCCTCAGTTCATCATCATTACGACTGAGGTATGTTTCTTACTTACTCATTACTTTATTCTATTACTTACTTCTGATGTAGTATATTAATTTAGACTTCATCAGGTTATGGGCCCTGCACTCTAACCAACCCTGATCTCGTGCTCAGACTGTTCCAGATGTCCTCACCCCCTTGTGCCTCACTTGTGACCACCAAATCAAGGTTTCACTTTGATTCCATGCTTCTCTTTCCCAGACCAGGGTTTTACTTTGGTTCTCCTCTGATCCTGGCATCTTTCTGCTGGCACTGCCATGTCATAGCACATCATGTGATCAGTTTGCCATGTTGTTTCATATCACATGACTCCATCACATTCCGGATCCCTCCATTCCGTTCCATTTATGTCCAAAACTCTGGCTGACAGTCCTCCCGCTAAAAGTACTGTTCAGTCTGCTCCCTCCACTATGTCCTGGGAAATTCCTAGTGCCAATGCTACCTCTTACTTCCCTACAAAGAAGGATAGCAAGCTTGTAGAAGAGGAGAATTATTTAGTTTGGGCTGCACGAATGAAGACTGCATTCTTGATCGTAGATCTTTGGGATATCATTACAACTGATTGTCAATGTAAGGATTCAGAGGTGTCGAAGATGTGCCAGCCACACATGGCAATCTGGCAATCGGATTAGAGTTGAAGCCACATGAGAACCTTCGTGTCTCTTCTCCTCGAGTCATTTGTTCGTCTGCTCACTCAGCAATGAGTCAGACATGGACACCAGTAGGTAGTAGTATATTCTAGAAGTACATACCTTGTAGTATATATACCAGGGATCTTAGCCTCCAATATTCATTGCTTTAGGACCTATTAACTTAATCTCTCTCAAACGGTCGAGTCTCTCAGTTTACCACTGCACATACCACCTTCATTACATCCTATTCTACAACAAGAGGGGAAAACCACTCTTGCTCTGTGGACGAAGAAGAATCTTGTTGCTCTAGGACTAATGCAGAGCTGCCTCAGCGACAAACTCATTGCACTGACAACTAACAAGACAAATGTCTTTTGTATCTGGCAGATGGTTGAATTGCAGATGAGTCAGAAAGGTTCAGGATCTATCATGCTATGGTTCTGCCAGCTTACCAGCCTGATGAACCTTGGATCTGATATCTCTGAACACATCGCACACTTTCAGGAAGCCCTTCACCATCTTGCTATCACTGAATGGGTTATTCCCAAGCATATTGCTGCCTGCATCCTACTGTCCACGCTCCCGTATGACCCCAATGAAGCCGATTCTTGGGATGGAACAGTGAAGCAAATCAAAATTGACAAGACCAGCACCACCTCTGCCACTATCAATGTTCTCCTGGATGAGAAACGTCACTGCTGCTGCTAACATCAATGAGCAGCAAAAGTAGGAATCTGCTATGGCTGCACTTGATTGCCAGGCCAAGTCCCATGGCAAGCTCTATTGTAGCAATTGCCATAAGGAGACTAATCATATTGCTGCTGACTGTTGGGTGCCCGGTGATGGAAAGGAAGATCAAGGTCCCAAGAAAAAAGAAGTCTAATACTAGGGGCAAAACTAAAAAGCATGATAAGGGCAAGGAGAAGGCCCAACATGCTACTGATGATGTATCCTCAGAAGAGGAAGATTCCAATGTAATTATGATCGAGAAAGCTTTCAATACTACTACTTCCCACTATGATACGTCCGATCACATTGAGAATCCAGCAACTAAGGACCAAGTGTACAGTGCACATACAGCTGGCCAGTCAGCTATCATCATTGACTCTGGAACATCCTCACATATTCATTCTATTCAGTCCAATTTTAAATCTCTCTCATCCTCATCTGGCAATATCAATGGTTTTGGCAATGGAAGGAGGAGAATTGAGGGAAGAGGTGAAGTTCATGTTACTGCTAAGCTACCAAAGAAGGGTTGTGCTCATCTAAAACTCCAGAATACCTGCTTCGTGCTGGATTCTCACCCCAGTCTGATTTCTGTATCAAGACTTGACGATGCAAAGTGCTATACTCTCTTTGGAAATGGCAAATGTGTTACCTTCGAAAAGGATGACCATGGTAAACTCATTCAGGATGCTATTAGGATGGAGAACATCATATGTACCACCACTAAGCAGTCTTGACCGCCTCTATCACCTCAATGTTCCAGGATCATCTAGGGATACCTCATACAATACAACAACTTCCCTGAAGCCAACAAAGCTACAGTCCTTGCATGAAGCATTGGGACACCTTGGTCATTGCAATATCAAAGGCATGGTTATCAAGGGAAATGTTTTGGGGATATGCCTTTCTACAAAGGAGTTGTCTGAGGATCCAGGCATTTGCGCTACATGTGCACAAGGCAAGAGCAAGCATGCTTCATTCCCACCTAGGGGGAGCAGCTTAGCTAAAAATATACTTGACCTTGTTCATTCAGATCAATGGGGACCTGCCCCGGTCCAGTCGTATCATGGATACCGATATCTATACACCTTTACTGATGACTGTAAACGTTGGGTCTGGGTTTATTTCCTTAGGAGAAAGAGTGATGCCTTCCAAGCCTTCAAGAATGGCTCACTGAAGTGGAGAGAGAGACTGGTTGAAAGCTCAAAAAGTACCAAGTCGATAATGGTGGAGAATTCATCACCAATGAGTGGAAGAAATTCATGCAAGAGCATGGAATTCACTACTGTACCTCTTCTCCTAATACTCCTGAGCAAAATGGAGTAGCTGAGAGCCTGAACCGTGTCATCTTTGACCAAGTTTGTGCTATTCTCATTGATTCTGGTCTTCTGATGTTCCTATGGCCTGAGGCTGTACAATACATCATCTGGAACAAGAACCGAAACCCTGCCTCTGCTCTCCATGGGAAAACTCCTTATCAGGCTCACCATGGCAAGCCACCAGATCTCAAAAATATACATTGTTTTAGTGCTAGAGCATTCCTTCATATTGATAAATCTCAGAGGGATAACAAGCTTGCTCTGAGAGCCACAGAATGCATTTTTGTAGGCTACTCAGACTCTCAAAAAGCCTTCAGAGTTTATATGCCTGAGAAACGTAAATTCTATAACTCAGTGCATGTTAAGGTGGATGATACAATTATGGGATACAGTCACAAGACTGAGAGGGAGAATTCTACTCTGACCAATTATTCCATTTTAAAACCTCAAATAGAAGAAGATAAAGATGAAGACAGCCTTCCACCTTCTCCCTCCACCAAAAAACCTCCTGAAGCACCCACCAATCCTGTCTCTGAGCCAGCACCTAAGTGCCAGCAGAAACCTAGGGAACTACCTCCACCTCATGATAAGTCCAAGCGTATAATGGGACTTGAACCCAATACTCAAGCCAGGATATTGGAGGAACCTGACACAACTCCAGGGGGAGATTCCACTTCTGTTGACAACTCTGAGAATGATCCTCTCTCAGAAATCGCTCAACTTGCAGTCGCCATGTTTGTTTATGCAAATGAAATTGCTGGACTGACAGAGGAGGAGACAAAGCAAGAGCCTCACTCCTACAAAGAAGCGATGAACTCTCCTGACTGCGATCTTTGGGAGGATGCCATGATGTCTGAATTCTGCAAGGTTACAGCCACTAAAACCTACGAGTTGGTTGATTTACCTAAGGGATCTAATGCACTTGGCAGCACTTGGGCATTCAGAATCAAGCACGATGAGACTCATGCTATCACTGAGTATAAGACTCATATCTGTGTCCAAGGGTTCACCCAAATTCCTGGGGTTGACTATCTAGATACGTATGCTCCCATGTCCAAGATTGAAATTGTGCGCCTTCTTCTTTCTATGGCTGCCATTCATGACTGGGAATTCCATACTGTTGATGTCAACTCCACTTTCCTGAACAGTGCGCTACCACCTGATCAGACTGTCTATGTCAAACAGCCTCAAGGATTTGTTGTCAAAGGCTAGGAGAATAAAGTCCGGAAGCTGCTTAAAGCCCTTTATGGCCTGAAGCAAGCTACTCTCCTCTGGTACAACAAGCTGAAGACAATCATGATCAAACTGGGATTCAAGGTTTGCATCAGTGATCCTTGCATCTTCATCCATGTACATTCCAGACAACTTTCCATTGTTTCTTGCCACGTTGATGATTTTGGTCTCTTCTGCAATTCAGTAGCTGAAGTCAAGCTCCTTAAATCTGAGATAAGCCAGCATGTTGCTATCAAAGATGGTGGTGAAGGACATTTCCTTCTTGGCATTGAAATCATTCATGACTGGAAAGCTCATACCATTTCTCTCTCCCATCGTCACTACATCAAGGATTTAGCCAAGTGCTTTAGACTTGATAATGGGCAAGATATTTGGACACCGATGAATCCCTCTGTCAAATTGTCTAAGGATGACTGTCCAAAGACTGAGGAAGACATCACATACATGAAGACAGTTCCCTATCAATCTGCTGTTGGTGGCCTGATGCATGCTGCTGTCATAACTTGTCCTCATCTGGCTTTCTGCACTCATAAGGTTGCGCAGTTCATGCAAAACCCTGGTAAAGCCCATTGGAACGCAGTCAAGCACATCATCCAATATGTGTACACCACTCGCAATAAGGTCCTTACACTAGGGGGAGCTTCTCCAAAGCCTGGAGTTTCTCCACTCCATGTATATTGTGATGCAGATTATGCCAATGAAAAAGATCATGCTTGTTCAGTGTCTGGTTATGCTCTGTTCTATGGAAATCAAGGTGCATTTGCCTGGTCAGCAAAGAAACAGACTGCCACTGCTCTCTCTACTGGTGAGGCTGAGTACTATTCTAGCACTCATTGTGGACATGAGATTGTTTGGATCTGCCAATTCCTTTGTGAGATTGGATTCAAAGAATCTGCACCAACTCCTCTCAAAATTGATAGTACTTCAGCCATCCATACTATTGATACTCCAGACCAAGTCAGCAATCACACAAAGCATATCAATATTGCTTATCACTGGATCTGTGAAGCAGTGAGGGCAAAGATCATGCAACCGGAGTATGTGCCTACTGAGGAGAATGTTGCAGACATTTGCACTAAGTCTTTGATGAGACCAAAGCATGAAAAGTTCTCTCAAATGCTGGGCATGTGTCCTTGCCAGGATGCAAGTTGAGGGGGAGTGTTGAGGTAAATACTGATACAACCATGCACCTGTAGATACTGTAATTAGAATATTTATATATATTATATTTCAAAGCCTCCACAGTGGCAGCCACATAGTGCTGCCCATTCCTTTCTTGTTTCCTCAGTTCATCATCATTACGACTGAGGTATGTTTCTTACTTACTCATTACTTTATTCTATTACTTACTTCTGATGTAGTATATTAATTTAGACTTCATCAGGTAATATATCAAGTTCATCATCATTACGACTGAGTATATTAATTTAGACTTCATCAAGGTGCTTGTATGCTGAAGCTGAACTTGGAAGCTAAACATCATGACTGTTTTTAATTCAGTTCTCAAAGATATAAAACAACAAAAATGTACCTGTCTCCTGTAATATGTCACAAAATTTTAGCAGACACAACTAGATCCAGGTGTACAGGTATAATTCCTCAATAACATGCCAACTTCATATCCATGTCAGCTAGAATGGGTAAGGAAATCACCCAGTAACATGGAACTCTGGTCCTAGAAGAGGTGAACAGGAATTCCATGTCTGTTTTTTAAAGTTGAGGTAGGTAGGATCAACCAATCCATCAGGGGACGCCAGGAAAGAGAAGCCATAAGTCTGAGTGTGTGAGTTCATATTGCTGATTAGAAGAAGTGGCAGAGTGTTGGGCTGTCCCATTTCAATCATTGGTTCTTGGTTCATGTGCACACAGAAATTCAGAAGCCCAGTAGTTTACAGCTACCAGAATACAGGAAATACATTCTCAGTCCCATGTCAGGACAAGCAAAAAGATAGGAATCATACAGTTATATACAAAGAGTGGGGCTGATGTAGCACTCAATTAATTTGTCATGGGACACTATCAAGAAATAAGGTGAGAATCCTATCAACTAGATGAGACTAACTCAATAAACTGGATGTTGTCCTCTGAAGCTCTTTCAGAAGGATGACCCATTGAGGTTAGTGCGAGTGACATTCATGGGTCTCCACAAAAAGTCATCTGTATGAGGAACTGCATCATCAAAGCCTCGTGAGGTGCACTCTGCCAGCTTGTCTTGTTTATGGATTTGGCATAAGAAACCTTCTGCAGCATCAAAAAATTATAACACTGGAGAATAAAGATGACTCACCCCTATGCCTCAGGCCTCAAATTCAAAGCTCAAAGAGTTGAACCCATTTCTAGTTTTTGATCCATGATTTGCAACCTCAATGACACCAGTCCTGCATTCATGGATCATCTTCTAATGGCTAGGCTGCCAATTAGAATATCGACTGAAGAACCTTTGGAAAGGAACAGTGAGGAAGCAAGATGAACCTGTGAAGTGGGAGCGCAATTATGGTTGTGAGAAAGCCTTTCAGATTGAAACAGTTGCCAGATGTGCATGGGCCTGCTATGTGCTGGAATTGTTTGGCACCCATGCGACTGTGACATCTGCACTCTCTTGAAGATTGCTGACTGGCTGAAGAACTGAATGATCCCTGGTATCCAGCCCTGGAAAAGGATAGCAAGGCTAATCTTCCATAATCAACTTCCTGTGCTCTTATCTGTTGACTGGTTTTCCTTGAACACAAATAGTATGGTGACCTCCATGTTACTCTGAGCTGCCTGGGAGTTGATTTTTTTTTGCAGATGTGATGCATTGCTTTCTGACTGGGATGGAATGCACAAAGAGGATGATGAGGACTGGGCAGAAGTGCAGTGCACCAAAAAGGTTTCCATGCCCAACATGATGAAGATCCACTGATCACACACAAGACTAGGGACACTCATACCCAGTGGTCCTTACTGCTACTGCCAACCTGCTGAAGAGGCTGGCTGTGGGCACCTGTGGAATAGTGAGCGGGCTAAAAGGCGAACCTCAAAAACCCACACACACACTCACACAACTACACAAACTACAATCACCCTCATAAGTTCTCAGGGGAGCGATTATTTCTAATGCGATCTGACTATACTTCAATATCTCGAAGAGTTTCCCTTATCCTCAGTGCTCTTAGCGAAGCTAAGCTTTCTCTAATGAATTCCTAAGTCTAGGAACTTTTTACAGGAAGGTCGTTCACTGGCGCGACGCAACCTTCAAGGCAGATTTGAGTTATAATACACAAGGGACACTGATCCCAACAGAAACAGAGGCAATACACACCGAAACTTTAGTGAGCTCACTAAAAGAACACCACAGGCAAGCACTGACTTAGTCCGCTCGCTACACAACTGTATGTAGGGGTTCTCCAACTAACTCCAGCAGGTTATCTCGACTCAAGAACACTTCAGAAGCACTCGGAAACAGATTCAGAAACGGAACTTCGAACAGAACTGACATGGAACAGACTGAAACAGAACAGAACAGATCTCAGATTTCCACTTCAACACATTCTCTGAACAGACTTATCA